TCAACTGTTCTCCATGCTACATGACGAGTCCATCACATACCGTACTTTTCCTGATTTAATTATCTATGTATGGCTCTACAGCCATTGTGGGCATTGGCCGCTTTTTCAGTTTCTATCTATACACAGTCGGTAGGATTCCTTGGACGGGGGATCAGTCAGTCGCAAGGCCGCACATAAAATAACACAAACATAAACTGCAGACATTTATGCCTCGAGTGGGTTCGAACCCACGACCCCACTGTTCGAGCGGGCGAAGTAGATTCATGCCTTTGACCGTGCGGCCACTGTGATTGGCTCCTGAATTAATTACCGTAACGATAACGGATATCGGAGGCATTTAAATTACAAATAGGTCCGTATAGGGTTCCGTCATTTTCTTCAACCCCTGTATCTAGCTTATCCTCAGATGGAAACTCAGCATCTTCTTTTCGAACCTCCTTCAGTCTGTTCTTTCCTCAGACAAACCTCAGGTTTTATATCGATACAAACAGGCGCCAGTTTCATAAATGGCGTTTTAATGCTTTCTTAAAGCTGCGACAAGAAAACATCTAGAAATGTATTTCCAGCGTTTATTCTGACCTTAATCGCATTATAAGGAACTGTTCTTTCAAAACCCTATTATTGACCTATGCGTGTCTGTCTGTCTGCATATCTCGCCTTCTAATACGGATAATATTGACACTAATTAAATAATTTTCTGAAACTTCGCACAAACATCAAGTCTGTCTCTCTCCTTTAATACCCAACTCCCGACATAAACGTTAATTCGGTGACCATGCGAAATTCTGACGAACTATGCTCACATTTTTAATGATCATATAAAAAAAGAACTCTGTGGCCTGTAGTCCGCAAGCGAACTATACCGACCGGGGGACCGCCGCTTGTCGGTGAAGTTACTGCCAACTTTTACGGATAGGGGCGTCGCGTGGTCAGCGCAACGGATCCCCACGGCCGTTAATCTCGGTTTTATAGACCGGAGCCTCTATTTCCTTGAAATAGCTCCTCAATTATCCTCACGAGGCTGTGTGGACCACGTTCCAGACCCACTACTTCTCAGAAAATCTGGTAGCGCCAGAAATCGAACACGGACCTCTGGACCTGTAGCCAGGAACTCTGACCACTACACCACAGAGGCGCAAACAGGCATAAATTAAGACGCGAGCTCTCCAGTTCAGAAATACGAGAGCCCATGGTATCCAAATTTTCCTGAAATCGCTGCCAGTTACTTATTGGCAGAGAATTCATGCTCCAAAGATACTGACATTTAACAATGTGTATAGACTCATGTCTTGTACAGTACACTAAAGGCCCTAATACTCCAAGTTCCGTGCCTACGACATGCCATTTTCAAATAAGAGACATTTTAGAACAAGGAGCCTACAAATAATTCCAAACTGTCGTAATGCGTATGTATTGCGTGCTGGGCTGTAAACAGGGGGGGAGGGGGGGTACACACAGGTAGATGCCGTGTTCCCAGTTCCAATAGTCGCTATTTCCCGTTAACTTTAGAGCCAGGGGCACGGGATGACTGGCTCTGGGGCCCCCACCCAGCCTCCTATCCAAGGAGCACTGCAGGCTCTTTCCCCGGTGGGGGTACAGCGCCCGGTGCGTAAAACTGACCACCCAAATTCACCTAGTGCCGAGGTCAAAAATGAAGCTATGACTCCACCCCCTTATTACGTCTTCAATGCGTGATAATTAATTAAACGCTGGGGGGCAACTATTTTCCAGTTACTTTGGATCAACGATCAGTGAGCCCGAGAATCTGCGCACAGACACCGGCTAGTTCCGGTAGGCCACTCCTACCCTCGCTTACGTGCCCAATTTAACGGTTTTTTAGTGTACATTATACCACTGCCATGCCGGTCACGGTAGCCCAGCGATCTAGGGCATGTCTTCGCTTGCTCGGAAGCCGGGATCGTGGCTTTGAATCACATTCAGGGCATGGATGTTTGTGTGGGCTTTTCTGTGTTTAGGTAGAGGCCTTGCGACGAGCTGATCCCGCGTCCAAGGAGTCTTACCGCCTGTAAAATGATCAAGAAACTGAGTAATCAGCCCTATGCTCCAAAGTGAGGGCAAGGGGAGAAAAAAAAATACCGCTGCCATATCACGTGGCGAGCATGTTATGTTACATCCGTAAACCCCGTCGGGGTATGAAGGCAAGGTACAGGCACTGTATCGAGACAAATGGAATCCAAGTAACACGTTTGCTTCAAAATATGAATATAAAAACACGTGAAATAACTACGAAACAACTCTGAATCACAAACCATCCTTCCTGCCTTTCTATTTACACCGTACCGTTACCAGTATGTAATCAAAGATATGCCTTGAACTGTAATCTAAAGTCAATCCCTCCGCAGCAGAGAACCCCGCGGGGTTTTGACTGGTTTTCCCTGTCGGAGTACAACACTATTATCGGGGCCAGGCTCTGGGAGGAAGTAGCTGGGGGAGTGTTGTGATGCTACTGGAAACTGTACACGCACAGACTGTTTATACTGACGTCATCAACGGTCCATTCAATGTTTCATTCATCTTTTTTTTTTATCATCGAAGGGGAAACTGAAACGGAATTATCAAAACAACTTTCCACAGACTCCGCGTGGCCAAGGGCATAAAAAGGTAAAGGTGTCCTTGTGCTTAGCACATTAAACTGTGCCATGAAGACGTATGTGGGAGAGGAGGTACAGATCCACGTATTCTTGACCGGTGGTCAGCTTCACGCCCCGGGGAAAGAAGCTCCAGCACCCACTGGATAATAGGTTGGGTGAGCTCCAAAACTGCTCTGGACTACATGCAGAAGAAAAAATATTTCCCCTACCGGGGCTCGAATTCCGACCACTCGCCCGTAGCCAGTCGCTGTACCGACTGCGCTAAAATTGGGGGGGAAATCTAAAAAGAAAAAATGGTACGAACATCAGCTTCAGACGCTATGGGTAAAGGGTAAAGGTAAAGTTGTCCCTGCGATTAATTAAGCACTATGCCGTGAAGGTGTATGGGGGGGGCAAAGGTACAGCCCCACCATACACCTTCACGGCATTAAATTGAGGTGGTCAGCTACACGCCCCAGTCGCTTCACCCCCAGGAAAGGAAGTCCCGGTACCCACTGATGGAAGGTTAGGTGGGTCTCAGAACCGGTCTGGATACTGCGGTGAAGAGAAAATTGTCTAGGCCCTGCCGGGAATCGCACTCTGGCCATCAAGCCCCATAGCCTTTCGCTATACCGACTGAGCAATCGCAGCTCCTCATGCTTAAAAATACTGTCAAAAAATCATACATGACAATCACACCATTATGTTGAAGACTACTGACTTCTGCGATGTGATGCTGAAGTTTCGAAGGAAAATACTGCCTCCATTTTCATGGTTGAAGATGGAGGTAGTACATTCCCCGAAACATCGGTAATCTTCTCTCACATCGTAGATAATAATTCTCCTCAGTCAAAACCGAGGAAACCTGGAATCACTTGAATCATTACACTGTTTACAAACAAACCCACCAAAGAATATTGTACTTAATAATTACTGTTTATAAACACAAATTATGTATACAGAGGTCGGCAACCTTTCGACATTGGCAGGCCACGTATGTTCATATGCGGGCTGCAGGGCTAGCATTTCACAAAATAAACAAACAAACCGGTACATTTTATCTGATACCATTACTGTTTTGTAATTACTTCATTTAGGCTGAACTACTTATGGCCCTATCATCTTCAGACAAGGAAGAAAACGAAAAATTCGTAAATAAGCCTCATACAAAAAAAAAGTGTCCACGGTCAGATGCCGGTTGTCTACCCCTCCTGCAAACCAAAACGTCACGTTTAAAACGAACTGGTTGATGTCTAGCAATGCAATCCAACACTAAGAACAGCTGACGGGATGTCATGGTCAATGAACGAAAAATGGAAGAGAGAAATAAAAAAGTACAATATTACATGCCTCTGTGTTTTCTTTCATACTGCTGGTAGCTTCCTTCCCATTCCCCGTATCCTCACTAAATCCATGCATAAATCAGTCATGTGATACCAACTGTACAAGATGATGGTCTGAACATTTAAGCATGCATGCACACATGCACCAGACAAGACACGATAATATAAATTATCAAATGTAAACATGTACGTAACATACCAGCATTAAACACAAACATGATCATGAAACAGATAAGTGGGGGGCGGTACCTTACATATCCCTGACGTAATACAAACTACATTACATGATCATTGTTTTCGTTCAAAACGGCATTTTCCACGGTGTACTCCAATGTCAAACAGGGCTCTCGGGCATTCTACTTACATCAATGATTATGAAATAATATCACTGACCACGGGTATTACATATGCGTAGTCCAACTTTTTGCCATTGCTCGTGTTTAGTGCACTTCGGGATTTAGAAACATCTCGAAAAACGTTGGGCAGCAACATTTCAATATCGATTACTTGAGGAAGCTATCATGACAAGCGACAACTATGCTGTATGTTCTTACGTTCCCAATTTAATGTCTCATTCATACAAAAATGCTATACATTCCGTCCTAATAGTACTTTATAAAACAAGCCACGTGATTGTACAAAAAAAATCGTCACACGATATAGTTCCTTATAATTTATACAGCACCAACGTTAAACCAACGTATTATCAAACATAAGTGTTACGTATGTAAACTACTACCTTTTGCTTTTTTGTAGGGACAATTACGCCATGTGACTACGATGAAGCAACATGGCGAGATCCCAACAGCTGAGCTGTTCTACCGGCAAGCACGCCACGTCTAGGGACCGAAATTTCATGGATATTATGAAGCCACATCATAGCTTGTCTTCGTTGTACTGTTATTGTTTACAACACCCAATCTCAACCATAAACTGTGTGAATTTGAACTCTTATGGTGTTAACACACAAAATTGCATAGTATTAGAAAGTGTGGCGAAAATTTCAAACACCTTAATACCGCCCACTCACACGGCGGCGCGTCACAAGGCGGGCGGGTTTGCTTACCTGCACAAACTGCCGATAACTTCTTCGTCGCGGTGTTTCAATTCGTCCAAACAACGTTGCTCCTCTCTCCGTTTAAATACTGACATATCTTAACACTCCACACTATTAAATAACTGTATTTGTTTCACACAAACACAAGAAAATTGACACTTCTTGAACACGAATTCCAAAGCGAAACCGCACATACAACGCCTCACAGCGTTTTGTAATGGCGATCTTTGGCGGGAAACAGCTGAAGTGTATCACAACTTAACTACATATTACTGCGCAAAGGCTTCTCAGTTGTAAACACGTTTCTAAAAGTAAGCCGATTATGTTACATTCTCGTATTTTAGGGTAGCTGTACAAATGTACTTTTATACATTAAAAGGAACGAAATGGGGAACTTACAGTGTATTTACACTAGACATTCGGAACTACTTTTCCACGCGCATGAATTTACGAGCATACTGTAAACCGGTTACCGGGCGGGAAGCCGCCGATAAACATCTGCCAGCTGTGCTAGTCTTTACGCATGTTCATGAAGTGAATCAAGAATTAACGTATTCATAATTTCGTTAAACGATTTACTGTACTGTTAATCGAAAAACAATTACAATACCTACTGAAACAAACTTCTTTTACATCACGAGAAAACTTACGTGGTCAAATGCAGAACTATTTCCTCATCGTGTCAGTAATAATTCACCTTCGAATAGTCAATTCGTATTTAGTAAAACTAATATGCTATCTCATATTTTTTTTTCACTCATGACAAGTAAATTTTGTTAATATATATTATTATATTCGCCGGAATAAAATTTAAAGTTCATTCTTATATGGTGAAAAGTGAACTATCCTGACATCTGTTGCACTAATCTCGTACTACTACGATACCCAAGTCAAGATCACAACTGTGGATCCTTTGAGGTTAAAATACTCCGAGGTGCACGAACATTCATAACGAATAACAGTTTCGTCAAAATGTTTCTGCATATTAATTATTTTAATGCGCAAATAATGGGCACATAACCCCCCTTGTTACAGCTTTGGGCAAAAAGAAAAATACAGGTGCGCTTTATGAGATTACAAACGCAACTCGTGGCCACATGAATGTCTTTTTCCTTTAAATACGTTCTGATGAAAAGTCATCATGAGAAGCCCTCACTTCCCTTATATGTTATTTGCTGCTATCAGGTCCACAACAGAAGTTGGGTGGGGAGGTCTGGTCCTTGGGATTCATATTGGTGTATTTCACACGTTTATACATAGAATCACATTCGCCAATGCATCTCTTCCCAGACACTGCCAGAGTTTTTCGTATGGGCACACTCACACAAATATGATGAAAACTACTAACAAATATAAAATATACATTAAGGCAGGTTCTACTACAAAACTTGGCTCTAAGATATATTTTGGGGCCATTATAAACATGGCTAGATCTATTAAAACATATTATTATTAGCAGTAAAAATAGCAGCATGTCAATTACTCAATTAGATTTGACTGTTAGTATGTTAGACTCTCTTTTTATGTCAAACAGTTTTCAAAGTGTAAAATTTTTTAGTTTGCCCATTAACTAATATTTCAACATATTTGTAAGATTCTACAAGCAGCAAATACATATATTGTATCGTGTATTACACAAGAAATACATATTTTTCTTTTAATACGTACTTCGTACAGATCAACTACCTATCGTTTTTAAATTAAACTGAACACAAACTGATTACAAACTTTACATATGAAATATGCTAAGAGAATGTTGCTGCATTCATCTGGTTAAGTTTGCCAGATACTACCAAATCATTTTCCATGATGCTTTTGCATTATTTTTAAGTCAAAAATCTTAATGCTGTTTCAATTGTGCAATAATTTTAAAAACATATCAGTCAACTAAAACATCAGGGATTGAAAGAATATCACATTTTGTAACAGAGTGTCTCACGGTATATGAATACACAAATGGTATATTCAGACCACACTGTGCACACAAAATCCTCCACAAAATACAGAATACACATCCCAAATGTCACATACAAACCTTGGCCTCTGAATTGCAAGCTACAATGGTCAAGTGCATACTCCAATTCTAAATGCAAATTACTGATGGAGAAAACCTAATTCATTTAATTACAATCTGTAGGACGATGACAGGGATATGATCATTTGCTAAGTCAGAAGTTGGTTTAACAAAAATGTTTGAGGTTCATTACACTGTTTGGGAATATTCTGTAATGTCCCAAAAATCTTGCTGCCAAAAGCAATAGTTAACGCTTGCTTTCCTGTTAAACAATGGTGAACAACCATATACCAGAACTCAAAATTTAGTTTGACCTACTTTTATCTATACAGTTAAACAGAAACACAGCACTATGAACTTTACCATTTCTCAGCCTCTACAACCACTATTAAATTGTCTCATATTATTTAAAGTTTAAATACTTTCAACAGATCAGATCATGTAGTACCATGATTCCTGGACAAGAATTTTTGAAGAATGTTGAGGAAAGCAACTGTGATTTAGTTAAGGCACTAACCTGGCAGTTGCCTCCAGGCAGAGTGGGGGGGAACCTCATTCTGGATACCTGGTCTCCAAACTGAGCTTTGAACCCAGAACCTCTCGAGTATGAGAAGTTCGGTCTTGGGAATGTAAATTGCAAAAAATACTAATATTGCAGTTTGGGGACTAATGGAACTGGCACTTATCCTTTGTAGAAGAGAAATTCAGCAAGACGGTTTTAACATTCGCTTTGTTGGAGTATAAGTATAAAATTTTCAAGGAAAAAAAAAAAGTTGGGAAGTGAAGACAGTATAAACAAAATTTTGTCTTAAGCATCAATAATATAGTTTACTGTATAAATAAAATTTTGTCCTAAGTCTAAGCATCAATAATATAGTTTACTGTCATTTAAAAAACTTGAAGGGCTCTTCTTGCCACCTGCTTTCATGCTGGTTTATTCTTCAACCTGAAGATGGAAATGACATCTTCCTCCAAAATGTCAGCTGACTTTCAACAAACTACAAGGTGCTATAACCAAGAATATAAAACTCTACGAATGTACATGTTTATACATGTTGGCACACAGATTTGCTATCTCCCTCACCTCTATTTCAACTTCCTTTCGTGAAGGGGAAAAAACCTGCTTGTTTCATGAACTTTTGTATACTATGTCAGCAAGATGCTACCTAGAAAATCATGCCAACTTTCACAAGGTTCCCTGGACAATCACTATGTATATAAAATGCTCAAAATACGAATGAAATCATGTTCAATAAAAAGAAATAACCGAACATTTTCCATGATGAAGCCCACTCTTATGTTTTTACTAACACCTTCATATAAAATTATACTGCAATTATCAATGTTCATCATCAAATCAGTGCAACAGGGCACAAAGAAATGGGTTGCAAACTCTTCTAAGGGCACAAGTGCAACCATGTTGCTGGCCGTATATTACATATCATATTTTGTTTATGTGTGTTCTTAACCATACATATATCACACAACCTTGTATATACTTCTGCCATACTAAACAAAGCATCTGAATGCTATCAGCTACATGTTTGGATGGTAAAGGTAATTATCAGACTACAACATATGTAGTGTAACGATATTACTACTAAGTGTTTAAGTTATTAATATTGGCCAATACTGTGGTAAGTTTCAGTATTCAACAAAATTTAATAATTTAAGTGTAAAATTATGATATTATTAGATATATTAATTCATACATCACTATTTTACAGCATGCAGTTCACATATCAAACGCTATAATAGTGACATGCGTGAATTAACATACTGTCATGCGCGTAACTCGAGACAGAATTTTGGATTGGATAGTGGGTTTACTGACCACTTACAAAACCATAACTACGAGTAACTATAACAGCCTCACAGAATTACTAACTCCATGGAGCTGAGCCCCTCTTGAGAAGCAGTTTCCTGGTAATGGATTTTAAGAGCACAGATTATTCAGCTTCTGTGCTGACTGCACTGCCGAAGTCTTCTCATCACAGATCGCTTTCCAATTCTCCATTCTTGCTTCAGTTGTCCTCCTTATAACCCCTCTGCAAGGACCAACAGAACACAATTCTTCTATTTCTGTTTTGATCTTTTCTGTGGGAACATGTTTTGTTTGCAAAGGTTATACACAACAACAGCCATGTATACTTGTTTATAAAAAAATCTACTTTCTAGCAGCAAATGTTTCTCTGCCCACCTCAAGGCTGCTACCCAGCAACAGCTGTCATAATTTGGCATGTAATATTCTAAATTTTAAATATGTCCAATAATACAACTTTCCAGGATACTGGCTAACATTAATAACTTAAACACTTAAACGAGTAGTTCTGTCAGAATTCAAATATTGTAGTCTGATTATGGCCTTCAGTATTCAAACATGTTGCTGTAAGAAGACATTATACATAATTTGTAATTTTATATATAAAGTTGTTTTATGGCAAATATATATATCTTGATGGCTATGTTATGCTGCATATCTCCAACATGACAGTAATTTTTTTGTCACTAGAAGACAGGAGGGACAATGCATTTTTCTCTAACCCAAACATGGTCAGAATGACAATATGACTACATTAACCAAATCCCTATATTAAGGGAGGAGACAGGTACCTTAGAATTGTACGATCATATCTACGATCGTTAAGATTTTGCTGTCCCAACCTAAGCATTCCATAATCAAACTCCAGAAGTCACGGGATACGTATTCCTGAGATGACGGCAAGTAAGTTCGTGACAGATAAAACCGTATCCTTTTAATGAAAGTCCAGTTACAATACTAAACTCACTCATTTTACTTTATGGGCGCTAGGGTGCACAGAAAATACAAAAAAAAAGACAAACAAAATTTGTAAGATACTGCCAGTATAACAGAAAGGTGCATAATAAAGCACAGAGAAAGTGTACATCAGATAAGGTACAGCTGTACAAAGTTAATGATACACCCAGGGAAATTTTCAAAGCAAATCCATGATCATGCATTGTTAAGAGTCTGTCCATAAATAACAAATTTGTGAATATGGAAGAACGACTGTAATACTGCCTGAACTAATTAGAAAGGTAAAAGGTAAAGCTATCCCTGTAACAGGCCTTGAAGGCCCATACGGTTGTAAGACGTCGAGGCTCCCACATTTTCTCTAGACAATCGGCTCACAGATGGTGGTAAGGTTGTCAGCCTTAGAGGCCGGCCACTTTTTAACCCCCAGGAAGATTCCTGGCACTCATTTCTGTTAGAAGCTGAGTTGACCCAAGGGTCATAGTGTGGCTGGAAGGATTAGGTCAACTGAAAAAAAAATCCATCTCATCAGGACTTGAACCTGTGACCATCCAGCTTGTAGTGCAGTGCCTCAACCAGCTTTGTTACCACATGCCCTGAATTAATTAGTAGTGAGACTAAAATTATTAGAGCACTCCACTACTGATGAAGCAAGCCTTACCTTGGGTTTTATCATTGCATAACATGGCAATAATGTCAAACAGTGTGTTAAACAGAAGTTATTATTCTGAGTGAATATTGTTCACTATAATGTCAACATGTATCCCAAATCGAAGCATAACAGGCAGCCGTGAAGTTAATAACAAAAGCAGGTCTACTGGTTCACTCACGGACATGAAACCGCAAGAAAATGTAATGTAATTACTAAAGTGAAAGAGAACAAATTATGGCTTAGCTTAAAACATTCACTCAATGAGATACTTTATACAAGAGACTGGACATTTTATTAAAATCGGCAATAGAAAAAGTATATGAAATGCTAAAGCTTTGGCCAGTTTATCTACCAAATACTTCCTGAGGTTGAGAAACATTCCTTTTAACACGTCAAAAGTATAAAGAATGTTCAACTCCTGCATACACCCACCAAAACTTGTCTACCCATTATTCAGGTTCCAAAAGCAATATTAAATATTCCAAGCTCCTGCAATATTGTTTAAAACATTGCACGATGATTCAAAACCATACTGTTTACATGGGTACTTCAGTCCATAAGGTTTGGAAACTGCACACTTGTACTATACAAACAAGACTCAACTGATTTCTCAAGATATTTGTCCTCCTTATGCATACATGATTACGATTTTCACAATAACTGATATTAGGAACACTGGACTAAGCACATTTATGACTTAATGTAACAACTTTCATCAGTCACTGATTAATCATAGTAGAAATGAGTACATGAAACATCTGTCAACTTGTACAAAATGTGAAATTAAACAGGTACACTCTTGTGTGTACCCCCCCCCCAACAACAACAACCAGTCTATACAGCTCATATATATATATATGTATATACACAGTAATGCAGATTATGTACACAGTAATGCAAACTCCACAAATATGGCTAAGTGTGTTAATATATGGCAATTAATTCTGAGGGATCAACACTCACAGATACATTTACATTACCATATGAAAATAACTATATAACTAATATATGAGATGGGTTTTCTGAGTTTGGGCACATGTGTTGAAGCTGTTCCATCATTTCAGCACACTGTAGCTGCCATGTACAGTACGTTTTCTTGACAGTGTTTCTGCGAAGCATTCTCATTCATCACAAGTTCAGTGAAACTGTATGTTTGGAGCGCCATTCTTCAGCCAGAGAATGCACTCACAAAAATCTCACTGTATTAAACGTATCTAGTTACATTAAGTCATTATAAAGTTAAATTTGGTATTATCATGTAAACAACAGCAATGCCATATCATGATCATAACTTATCACTTCGTGTAAGACACATACGATCACACGCACAGATCACGCCCACACACGCACTATGGGATTTAAGGTACAATGAAGGGAGCAATAATGTATAATTTATGAAGATGAAGCACTATTACAGTTTCTTGAAACTAGCTTTCATTCTCTCTTGAGCTGGATTGATTTTGATCTTAAGTTGCTGTATAAGATCATAAATCTTTAATGAAGGTCCAACTTTCATTCCAGTCAGATCAATGATCTGGTCTTTGGTAAGTGTGAGAAGAGCTTTCCCATCAATTTTCTGAAACACAGTAAAACAGGAGGCATAAACATTTTACTTACATTCCCATTTGCTCAAATGTTCTTATCAAAAGATCTCTAGGGCTGGTTACCAAAGATGGAGTGACAAAGGATATGGAGCTGCTGTGAAATGACAACAGTCTGTCTTCATAAGTTATTCTCCAAATTTTCAGCATGAGGTCACAAAAATCTCTCTTCAGAGATTACTCTGAATCTGGATTACAGATCTAGAAATGCCCAACCTATCCAGTTAAGGTCTTTGGACATTCCAAGACTTGGCCTCTGCATACCAAGGGTTAAACAATCCACTTATGTGAATTTAATTTACTACTGAGATGAACATCATAACCTCAAGCTTCTGTTAGATGTATATTACCAGCATATTTATATATAAATTTGTATAATCCCTAGAAAAACTGATTTCTGTGAGGAAATAGTAGTTCACTAGCCTTTCTTTCACTACACATTTACAAGAGTATGAAACTGACCATTTATCTTCTGCACTCAGAATCAGCTGACTTTACACTGCGTCCTGAAAACACCGCCTCCCTGTGACCCTATATGTAACACTGTAGAACTTATAATTACTTCATGAATATTCATAAAATAAAACTGAATACAAGGTACAGTATTTCACAACACAACACCCACAAAACTGTGTAGAGATGTTCAAAATTGCCATGTGAGATGAAAAGTGTGAAGACATTCTGAAAATGGACTTGCTGCTGAGCTCAAATTGAGGCACACCCAAGAAATACAGGAATTCTTAGAAGAAGGATTACTAGGGTGTCCTCAAGGCCCTTACTGACAGATTTTCAAAGGCAAAGGAGCACACACCATGTATTGTTCAACATGGGAGAGATGTCGCCTTTACTGATGAAGCCCTGTATTACTGGTAATGGGAGAACAAACTACGTCGTGGAACTGACGAACTCCATTTGCCAAATATGACAGAAACTGTGAATTCACTGCACATGGTTTCATCAAAATCTATCAGAGGACTCAAACAAGAAGATCAATTAGACCCTTTAGAAGAAATAAAAGAAGAAATTTCAACATGGCACCATTTACATGACACAGTTGCTGGATATATTTTCATCATAACAGGGGGTCAGTCAGATCGTTAAGATGAATTAAATACAAACCTCTGATGGGAGGTGATGGGAGAGGCTTTAAAAGCCTAAAAACCCAACTAAAACTAATTTTTTTTTTCTTCAAATTCGCTTAGTGGGGGGTGGAGTCCAACTGGGTCCACTTGGCACGGCAGCCACACATTTGCCTATTGTAGCCTGCTCTGGGTGATTATGATAATGGACAACTTGGTGGAATGAAGATTGGCACGGGAAATCAAAGTACTTGGAGAAAACCTGCCCCAGCACCACTGTCCACCACAAATCCCACTTGACCAGACCCGGAATTGAACCCGGGCTGCCACAGTCAGAAGCCAGTGACTAACCGCTTGAGCTATGCGCGGCCTAAAAACCCAACTAACTCAGGATGATGTATAAAAGTGAAGAGACTTAAAACATGATACTGTAACAGTCATGCTGTATAACAAGTTTCATTAAAATCTGTCAAGGGACTCAAAAGAAAGTTTAATTAAACCCCTGAATAAGCGTAATAATCAAGTTATGCCAAATTCTGTCAAAAGATATATAGAAAGAGTTTAATTAGGCCTCCAAACAGAAGCTTCACACCAAGTTCCATCAAAATCTGTAAAAGGACTCGCAACACTGTGCGTAAAGTTTATTTTGATCCTTAAACCTTTGTTCTTCGTAACAGGGTAGAAAAGTTGCATAACTACTATGCAGTAGTGCTTTCAATGGGATGGACAAAGGGTTGAATAACAAATATGTCAGCAGACTTTCACTGACTACAAGGTGTCAAATCACAACACACAGAACTCTTCAAAATAAATATCACTCAAGAGAATTTATTTACAGTCTACAATACCAAGTTTAATCTATCCAGTATTTCAGTGTTGGTACTACCTGATGGACATACATGACAAATCTAACAAGTGAATTTCCTTTCATTAAATAAATGTTCACTCACCCTACGACTGAAGCTATCACAATACGCTGCACAGTCATTGACTCGTAGAAACTGTGCTACGTCAAACACATTCCATTCTGCTGGAATTAGTTCCCCAGGCTCACCCACACTGCCTGTCGCATCCACCAGTCTTGGAATCACTTTCCCACTTGCACCCGTTGACTGTAAATCATTACAAAAGGAATTCACTCTTGAAGAAGGAAATCAGAAAGAATCAGAGGTCTGTTTTCAGAACATGTGCTACCTTCTGTCTGGACACTCACTCAAGGTTTAAAGTTCTTATATAATGACAAAACAACAGGCAAAAGTCATAGATGAAAAATGCACATGAATTTTGTTATGTGATTACACAGGTATCCCTGTCTTATGCAATAGCTGTTTAAAGTGGAGACTGCATATCAGAAAATGTGTCTAATTTCGCTTTTCTGATTAAAAAAATGAATATGACACAGTGTTATCACAGAATTACTATAAATCAAAATCACACATTAGTGAACAGCATTACAGTGAAATTCAACTTATGTAACTTTTGAAGATTTAACAAGTGTTCGCTAAACAAATATTTGGGAATGAAATCGACTGCCAGTCAGCATTATTGTGCACTTGTGTCCCTAGCTTAGAGGGAACATTGCTTATGGATACCTTAAAAGAGTGTACAATTCAGAGTCATGTAACTTACATTAATATAGGAAGTGGCAGTACGCTCCCGAGGTATAGGTGGCTGTTGACCATTACTAGGTTCTGAGGACACAGGGAGAGACTGATCTGGACCTGCTGGCTCCTGTCCCATTTCAGGTTCCCGCCCAGGTCCCGGGAGTCCATTGCTACCTTCCTTGGGTAAGCCATCTGCACTGCTATCTGATGCAGCAAGCTTTGTGGCTTGTGCAGGTTCTCGAAGCATGTGCTCACTAGATGAACCATTGGTTTTCGAGTTGGCTGACATTCCTGCTGCTAAAAAAATTATTTTAATATTAATAATCGCATGTCTTTAGAAACAAAGCAGGGATAACGCAATCAGTATGAGACTGGCTATGGGTTGGATGACAGAAGTGTCAGAGTTCAAGTCCTGGTAAGGTCAAGAATTCTCTCATCTCCATGTTGTCCAGGGGAAAGTCAGAAGGAAAGAGACCATTGGGAACACCAAGGCATAGGTAGGTGAACAATATTAAAATGGATCTTAGACAGATACGATGGTATGGATTGGATTGATCTGGCTCAGGATATGGACCAGTGGAGGGCTCTTGTGAACATGGTAATGAACCTTTGGGTTCTATAAAATGCTGGGAAATTCTTGAGTAGCTGCAGAATTGGTGGTTCCTCAAGAAGGGCTCAGCTCTGTAAGTAAGTATCCCAACCAGATAAGTTCTGAAGTGCACCCAATCTCCATTACAATGCGCACCAGTGGCTCTTTCCCTGGAGACAAGATAGGCAGGATGTGAATCTGACCACTCACCAAGAACTAGCGCCAAAGTCAAGAAAACATCCAATCCCACATAAGCCTTCACGGTGTACTGCTTAATTAGTTAAGCACAGGGGAAAATATCTTTTGAAATAAATGTTTTAAATAATACTGAATTATATCTGTGTTTACAACCAGAAGTTACTTGAAGATTACTGTGTTCTGTATGCCACCATGTAGTATGGAAGGTAATTACCAACATTTCTGATAGTAACCATCTAATAAGATAACATGGTGTCACATCCCTGAAGATAGTATCCTCATACAAACTGACATCAGAACCTGAAAACATGCAAAAGTTGCATACTAACAAGACAACAGCACACAGTTCAAACTCTACCTTCTCTCAGTTGACCTAACCTAAAGCAATGATAACACAGTAGTCATTGATCCCTTCTGCTGTTCCATACTGCTACCCCACATACACAGTGCAAGGAGTTTGCTGGTCTCCTAGCATTCTGTTCATACATACCATTTTAAAATAAATCACTATGTCATGTAAAAATTAAGGAAACATTAATACTGAACTAAAAAGTAGAAATAGAAAGAAGACTGCAGACGGTGTGCTTGGAAAGCCATACTCAGTATGAAACGGTTTCACAGTCTCATGTGCAACACTTCTTTCTATTAAACTTTCTAAAAGGCTATTCACTTTAAAAGTTTTACACGTCATATAGATTTTAACTTATTAACAGTAATTCACTACATGTTTCGATCTATAAGTTCATCATCATGTGTCTTAAAATTGTAAATTATAATGAGGAAACTGTTGTGCTTCCATATCAGGGTTTTTGGTCATAACCATGCATGTGCATGTATATTCAAAGTGGCAGGTTGTTCATCCTGTTGGTGTTATGCTGTGCATCCTTCTTGTTAATTAGCAAACTGCATGCATTACTTAGCAACGGCTATTTCCGGGGCTTAACTGTTCTTACACGGAGCACATACACCACAATATTACAACATATGCATATTAATTATGATAACTGTGATGATACTGCAATAATAGAAATGCTTTTGATAATTATGGCATAACGAAATGAGAAGGTAGGTACCATGAAGTTATACTTGCTATGAAATTTAGTCTTCTGGACTGATGATGATGTGCAGCCTGGCAAACTGTTACAAAAATTTTGGAGGGATGTGTCACCTACATATTCTGAGTATAAGAGAGAGAAAGGAGTCAGTAATAAATACGATGGTTCAGAATAAGATTTATACTGGGATTCAAAAGACAAATCCAGTTTCATATGAAAGATATGCCATCACAGATATACAAACTGAAAGGTGCATACCACGTGTAATTTCAGTCCTTGCAGCTGTGGAACTGTTGCCAGGATTTTTCTTATGTGGACCCACACCACTTGGAGAACCCTTCCCTTTCTTGTGCCTTCTTCGAGGTTTTTTCTTCACACCTTTTGGAGTTTTTCCTACAAATAGAAAAGAACATAGTTGTTTAATTCGTGTAGAATAAAAATGTTACCACTTTATGTTTTATTTTGAGGGGGGGATCAATACTTGTTCCAAGAAATTTCATTTATCTGTGACAAGTGAAAAACCCACCATTATGTATTTTTCTTCATACAATATTGTAACATGTGGGCCGTCTAGGAAACAAATTAGCAAACATATTGCCATGGAGAGATTGCTTCTTGGAAAGCAACTGATTACAAAACACAGTTTTAAGGGATATGGAAACTGGAAACACTTAGAAAACTAAACTCTTGCTTGGGAATTAATACATGATTCCCATGACAACGCAAGAGAATAGTAAGACATGGTGACTTCTATCTCGGCTGCCTTGAAGATATGAAACGAAGTGTATTTGTGAATTCAAGGAGCAGAGATCAGTCTGAGATTAGTTAGAGACTAGTCAGAGATTCACCAGACAGAAGTCATTCAGAAGGAATTCAATGTGTGAGCTGTTATAATTGATTGTAATTGTAATGAAGTGCCAACAGACCCAATCATCAAATACAGATCCTATTATTACTAGTCATGCAAACCCCCTATTTGACAATATACATTATATTGTAGGATTCTGTTGCACTTTTCACTTAGTCTTTCTAATTACTTCTACAGTCATATGTGCAACATTTTATTAAAACTTAATAAATGCTAGTCTCTTTAAAAGTTTTCATATGATCTTTCGACTGGATCATCAGGTGTTAAAAGTTGTGGCTCAGGAAACTGCTGTCTTTCTGCATTCATGTTTAGTTGCTGACACATAGTTCCCCTAATGTGTTATGTTCCCCACTGTATTACGTTCCTCGTCACGTCTCCAACTGCACTAGTAGTATTTCCAACTTGCAAATTAGTGGCCATGCCATAGCTCAAGCGGTTAGTTGCTGGCTTCCCACTGTGGTGGCCAGGGTTTGGTCCCGGGTCTGGTCAAGTGGGATTTGTGGTGGACAAAGTGGTGCTGGGGCAGGTTTTCTCGGAGTACTTCGGTTTCCCCTGCCAATCTTCATTCCACCAATTGCTCCACAATCACCCTCACCTATCATTTGGAGCTGGTACAATAGGCCAGAAGTGGCCGCAGTACAAGGGACTTAGTCCCACCCCACTAGCAAAATTTGCAAAGTAAGCCAACATTTTTGTGCTCCTTTTATGTGATACCAAACTATGACCCTTCATCTGCCTGGTTTAGTTACACAACCAAATGTTCAATTCAATAGTTTTGCCATATCATTTAACACAGTATTATTCTAATGTTAATAGACCATTATAATACAAATATGACCATTTAACAAGTCATCACACTACAGTGTATAACACTCATAACATTTATAAATGGTAAAAAGCTCATTCAAATGTAAACTATCAGTAAACTTAATGCCACTACAATATTATTTGTGCTTGCAGGCAGGTCTCATTCATTTCAGAGCTGAAAATCAGAAACATATTATCTTATTTTGGACGGTGTATAGAAAAACATTGAGATTACTATGAAGGTTTAAAATTCATAACATATTTTAATTTTTGTTTGGTCTCTATATACTGGGTATCAATTTAGTACAAAATTAAAACTAATGCAAATTTCTATTTATAAACAGAAACTCACACCCTTGATTCATGTGTGACCACAGGACAGTCCTTTGTTTCATTCTTACAAACCAAGTGATGCACACAATGTAATAGGACATGTTATAAAATGTAGGCTGAGTGTTAAAATTTTAGTTCATTTGACTCTCTTACTGCCCTGTCAGAACATGTGTCTCTATTTTCTCAGTGCTGAGTAATTATTAGTCTCTTCGTGCATTTGACTACTATTAATTTAACACTACTACAGTAGCTGACTGAAGCACTAAGCTAAAAGGCAGAAGGTCACGGGTTTCATTCCCGATGAGGTTACTGAAGTTTTCATTTGATTTAATCCTCCAACTGCACTATGGACCTGGGGTTGACTCAACCTCTAAGAGAAATGAGTACAAGGAGTCTTCCTGGGGGTGAAGGCAGGCCAACACGCAAGTCTGACAACCTCACGGCCATCAGTGAACCCACTGCCTAGAAAATGTGACCTCAACATTTCACATTGCTATGGGCCTCCATGGGCTCTTACTGGGATAGTTTTACCTTACCTTTGCATTACGCAGTTTGTCAATATAAGGCATCCTGTAAAGTCATGTTACAATCACAAGGAAACTTATGTTCTTGTAAAGCCAAATGACGTCAGATACGCAGCCTGTTAATCACTGTGCTAATGAACTCACCAGCTGCTGCCAAAGCTTTGGTTGATGGAGTTCTGGGCCCTTCTAATTTGTGTCCCACAAGATCGCACCAACCAACAGGATACATGTCAGGACTCTCACAGTCCAACCATTGATCATATTCCTCCTCCCAGCCATCAAAGTGAATTTTGAGGAGGCGGCCTACAACTCGAGACACTGTTCCAACACACACCAACCGTGGATCCATGAGATCAGCTGCCTCCAATCTCATTCCCACCACAAATCCATGAGCTGGAATCTCCTGCAAGCAAATCATCAGAAGTTAACCAAAACATGTGGTGCAATCCAAAAGTTCCTGAAATTTGAATTTTGTGTGTGAATGGTTATGACTACATCAAAATACTGCTAGGTGTCTCCCCACACACCATTCTTGAATCAGTGTGGCAAGCTGCATCAAATTGAGTGGTTGGGTTTATTGTTGGTGAATGTATTTCCATTGTTGTGTTTCCGTGTGTTTGCGGTTTTGCGATGGCTGACCTGAGAGAGCAGCGTGTCTGTATGAAGTTTTGTTTTAAACTTGGGAAAACTGCTACAGAAACGCACCAAATGTTGAAGCAAGCTTTAGGTGACAACAGTTTAGGCCAGACACAAACTTACGACTGGTATAAGCATGGCCAAACACTGACTGATGATGATCATTCAGGATGGTCATCAACTGGTACCACACCAGAAAATGTCGCGAAAGTTAGGGATCTCATTCTGCAAGATCATAGACTGACCATCCATGACCTCTGTAACACCTTGGGACTCAGTTATGGTACATGTCAACGAATTTTGTCAGAGGAACTGAACATGAGGAGGATTGCAGCAAAGTTTGTGCCACGACTGCTGAAAAATGAAGAGAAGCAGCATCTCTTGCAAGTCTGCAGGGAACTTCAACAACAGCTTCAAGAGGATCCAAATTTCCTTTTGAAGGTTGTCACTGGTGACAAAAGTTGGGTTTGTCTACGACCCTGAAAGCAAGCAGCAATCATTGCAATGGAAGAGCCCTTCTTCACCTTGGTCAAAAAAAAAAAAAGCTTGACAAGTCAAGAGCAACATTAAGTCCATGCTGATCTGTTTTTCTGATACTGACAGGATTGTTCATAAGGAGTTCATCCCTCCTGGTCAGACAGTCAATAAGGAGTTCTATCACAATGTTCCAAGGCGTGTGAGGGAGGACATGAGAAGAAAACAGTGGTGCACGAACAACTGGGTACTCCACCATGACAACGCACGACCACATATGGCTTACATTGTGCAAGAATTTTTGGCTAAAAACAACATGGCAGTTGTTTCCCACCCACCATACTTCCCAGACTTAGCTCCATGCGACTTCTTTCTCTTCCCCAAGATGAAAATCAAGTTGAAGGGGCGAAGATTTGATACAGTTGAGGAAATTCAAGCGGAAACGCAGACGGTACTAAACACCCTAACAAAGAAAGACTTCCAGGATGCATTTCAAAAGTGGCAGAAACGCTGAGATTGGTGTACGCGCTCCCAAGGGGACTACTTTGAAGGTGATGGTGCAGAAAAAGATACAGGTAAGACGTAATAGTTTTTATTCATATATTTCGGGAACTTTTGGATAGCAACACGTATTCTGTGTAATATTCTGTGTAAAAGATCATACCTCAAACAAGCAACCTCATGGAAGAAACATCCCACATGTTTCATGAGATCCCATATGGCATGCCTAGGGACCACAGTTTATAGGATCAACATTTGATACCAACAAACAAAAACAAACAAACTCCATGGTTTTAGTCCACAAGTGAACTATACCGACCAAGAGACAGCCGCTTGTTGGCCAAGTTAGTGCCAATTTTAGTGGATAGAGGGTGTCGTGTGGTCAGAGCAACGGATCCCCATGGCCGTTAATCTCGGTTTTCTAGACTGGAGCTGCTATTTCCTTGAACTAGCTCAATTATCCTCATGAGGATGAGTGGATGCTGTTCAAGACCCAGTATTTCTCAGAAAATCTGGTAGTGCCAGGAACTGAACCCGGACCTCTGGATCTGAAGCCGGGAACTCTGACCACTAGACCACAGAGGCAGTCCATTTGACACCAACCTTCCTGAAATCAGTAACATACCTACAGATAATACTGAGCCTGAATATAATGCAACCTTACAGATGTTTCAGTCAGAATATATGAATGAGGGCGTACAGTCTACACCAAACCATACTCCATTTCCATTACGTGTTGATCACAGATAGGTCCAAATAAGAAATGAGGGTATAAAAATGATGGTTAGTTAGGTAGAAACTTATAAATGATCAGACATAAAAGTGTAATATACGTTCTACATTAAAAAAGTATTGAATGTCTGCTCTATCTTAGGAATAAATAACAGATTCGAAGTGGGAAGGCAGTTTCCTGCCTCTACAGTCCCCATCCTGGCCAGGAGTGCAGAAAATTGCTTCCCTTACAGGGCCAGATTCGAAAGGCTGTAGTTTATTTTTGTCTACTGAGGGCTGAATTATGGTTGTTACGACTGCAGCTTCAACGCATGAGGAAGTGCATCAGGCATCATTCTCTCAATCACAACTAGAAGAGTTGAAAGATGAGTACTGAAAATTTGAACAAACTGTAACTTATACCTTATTATGTTAATGTAAAGATATGCATGCAATGCACACTGCTGCAATGTTGGGGGTGGTGTAAGTAGGATGGCACCAAGCCAGCAAGGTGGGAATGTGGCAACTAGCAAGCAGCTACATTTTAAGGCAGAATAACAGCAACAAAATATTAAAAACCAACTCAGAATATGGAAATCTTATACATTTAAAGCAGAGGTACTCATCACTGACCCAGCATACAGTAATAGGGTGGGTAAATGATAAACCAACGTCACTCTCCATTTTAACATTACCCTGTTAAACAGAATCAGAGGTGCTGTTGTAAGATTTGACTTCTCCAGATATGTAGTCCAATCAAATTCTCTTGGTTCATGTCCTTTAGGTGGAGTCAAGGGAATGGAATTAACATCGCAAAAACCGGCAGGAAAAATGCATGGAGAGCTGGCATGATAGCAAAACCAGTCGGAACCTGAAGCATCCTCATCGTAACTGTCTATGCGTATCATTACATAATTCTCTCGCAAAACCTTCATCACTGTCGCAACACAGATAGCTGATAGGTTCAGTGGATCAATAGCCTCCAGTTTCATACCTTCCTGCAATCAAAAAATTATAGCTCTTACTCGTGTTACTTTTCAAATCAAAACAATACGTGTAGAGAAAAGGCGCTAAACAAGGAACTTTACACCTTATCTCTCCACATATTTTGGTATGTTCTACATCTAGACCAAATTCATTTCGCAAAAATTTTGACCTATGGTTTGTTTCAAAATGAGTTTTTCAAAACAGAAAATGTGATTGTGATCAAAATCCAAAATGTCTGTGTCAAATCACAAAAATGGCAGTAGCTTATAAGCTGACATAACAGCACATACTCAGCACTGGCACTAACAGACTACAGTGCTGTGTTCACTTAACTACGACAATGAACACTTAAACCCAAACTGTTCCACTTTTGCTTAATTACTTCCTTAATGGGAGAAAGTTGACTTAGAAGATAACAATATTGTCTTTTGTGTGTTCCCACGCCCACACATGCATAGGTATGTCTCCCTTTCAACTTTTAATATACACATATTTGTGTAAGTGTATTTACATTTCTTTACTATTCTTTATATATATATTATATAGTGGGTCAATATATATAAAATTCATTTTCAAGTATCAAGAAATTTATTCCGTAAAAATGAGACAATCTTGATTCAATATTCATTTCATATTCATTAATGTGTATTACAATAAACACATATATACATATTTTTGTAAAATAAATATATTTATTTATTTATTTTTAAGTAATGAGATATTTATTCCTGTTCAACAGCTTTTCACTTAAGAAAACATGTCATCTTGCAAAACTAGGTGTAAGGGTTCACCCTGAATGCTATGACATAATTAATCAGCTTTATTACGAGAATCCTTGAGATATGTATACCTGAAACGAAACGCCTAAAGGACATGAAGACGGTTGAGGCACATGAAAGTATTCATCTGTGGCATCATTTTCACCCCATGTTCCTTCTTCACAACGCTGAAGGTACTCCTCCGGAGCATCTATGGTTTGACCTACACGACTGGCCCACCCTACTGGATGTATAAGAGGCGAATCCTCATGACACCAAAAGCCATTATCATCTGGTTCTGCATTGTAGTAACACACATGAAGCCGCTTCCCAACTATCTTTCGAACTGTTGCGACCTTCACCTGAGAAATGCGGTTCTTGTCTACAACCTCCAGGTTCAACCCGCATCTGGAAATTAAATATTTTTAAAGAGGTTAATATATCAGAGCAGAGCTTTCATGACTGCCTTTAAACCGTTAAAACCTGTGTTTTCCTCAGTTCCTCCAGTACAGTACTGAGTACACGACTGTTTCCTTCTGCAGTTTTCCAATTCATAAGTCATTAATAATCATAACATTCGAGCCTACAGTCTTGAGATACTGACAGTGTTACTCAGCAAACCATATGTAAAATGGAATATTTACCTGAATCTTGACACAAGGCTGTCTGTCACTTTATTGTAGAAGTTAGATGGGAGAGTACGCGCTCCTGTCAACCGCTTCACTAGGAACTCCTTCCAGTCCTTATATTTGTCTTCAATGGCTGCAATGAGGATATAACACTGTTACTTCAAATCTAACGTTCACCTCACAACGATACACATTTAAGAAACAAAATTCCCTGATTCAAGGGACCTTCTTCAATATAAATGTTATTCAGCTGTCATTTTATAGGAACAGAGTAACCTCCAAACTCTCAAAGTTCCCTGATGTTATGCGGTATAAAAGCTTGTCTTATCATCAAAAATATTAACAAAGGAGCGTAACAGGTGTCAGCCATATATGGTGAAACCTTCGTTACCTAAGTTAGGATCCCTTTTAATATTATTTTCCCATACACAAAATCGGAATTTTCACTCACAATGGAATAACAGACACACAAGGCTCAGTATACTAATGAACTAATTATATGCTGGTATTAAAACTAGTTCAAGGAATCTCCCTCTACAACACCCCCATTCCAGATATGGATTTCTCCACCCTCAACAGCAGGGAAACACAAATTTTTAATGCTTTAAACAATTTCTGCATAAAAATTTTCATTCTTAAATAAAATGTTACACAGTTTCTAACAAATAAAGCACTACATGAAATTAAATACAACGGAGAAGCAGGATCTGGCCATCCATCTGCACGTCTCATCTCCAAAACTACAGAACACATTCAGATGAAACCTGCGGAACCTACATCAAAGCCATCATATGCAATTAATTCTGGTTTTCACGACTTCAATATAAACCTTATTTTAAATTAAAATGCATCAATTTCCTCAAAACTGGCTCGATGAAAAACAAAATTAACATATCAATATACATCTCACCGAATATATATACAGGGTGTCCCAGGAGGAATGGACCAAACTTCGGGATGGTGTTCCTTATGTTAAAGTATGCCGATATAACCCAAAACACCTATGTCCAAAGCTGAACGGTTACGGAGATAATGGCCCGAGAAAAGTGTGGTCTTCTTGCAGGTCCACGCACTGTGGACAGTCAGCTGTGACTGTTATCTGTTTGTACTTGAGTGTGGTGATGTCACACTAGCCGTGCTCTCATGCGCAACCTACCAAAGCCTACAGATTACGTTGCGGTGGGGTCGTGAATGGGTGGTAAATTAGTTGTGTGATGAGTTGCTGAAATGCCTCTTGTGTTTTCACACGTGGAATATTGTGATATGCATTTTGTGTGTGGATTTTGCGGTCGCAATGCACGTGCTGCTGTTGAAGAATACCAAAGGCGTTTTCCCGATCGAAGGATTCCATCTCGAAGTGTATTTACGCGAATTCACCAGACATTGCGTGATACTGGTTCTCTTGCAAGTGTTTCTGTGCACTCTGAAAGGCAGGATGTACGAATGATAGACACACGAGAGCACATTCTTGATATTGTTCAGTGAAGTCCGCGTCTATCACTCGTAGAATCGCCTCTCGCATCGGCGTATCACGTATTCAGGTGTGGCAAACTTTACATCATGAAGAGTTATTCTTACCATGATCAAATGGTACAACATCTGGAACCAGGCGACCATGCACAGCGTATGGATTTGTGCCACTGGATAAAAAGTTCATCCCGAACTGTTAAGCGTCATTTTATTCAGTGATGAGGCGTCTTTTACCCTGGATGGTGTAAATAATTTACGAAATGTGCATACGTGGTTCCATAATAATCCACATGAGATAATGGAAGCGAAATTCCAAAAGAGATTTCCTGTGAATGTATGTTTACAGTTATGTGGTCGGGTTATAGCGCAGCCATATTACGTCATCGCTCGCCAGTCATGTGTCATGTATAGTGCTTGGAAACCTAAGGACAATTATGACATGGCGAGCGAGTATTTCGTACTTCAATTTTATGGCTTTCCGTCACTCACAAGTTAGTTTGATGTTACGTACATTATTAACATTACAGAATCCACATATTCCTGCCAGTTTTAATATGTATTTTGTAATCAACAAGTGTGTAACACCGGTCAAAGTTTGACACTTCTCTGGCCATTATCTCCGTAACCGTTCAACTTTGGACATAGGTGTTTTGGGTTATATCGGCATAGTTTAACATAAGGAACACCCTCCCAAAGTTTGGTCCATTCCTCCTGGGACACCCTGTATATAGTATTTGAAACATTTCTCTGTAGTGAATAACAAAATATAATTGAACATTTCTAATTCTATCACAAATTATTTTTATAATAACTGATGGGTACCTGCAATAAATGTTTATACAAAAACCAAATTGGTGCACAGGATCAAATGAATACCCTTGGAATATAGTGGAAAACTTACACAATCTGCCGCTTAAGCTGGAGAATACTGAAGACGTAAAAAAAGTTAATATGTGCCTTGAAATAATGTGAGAATGAAAATTAAATACAGAAAGTTACAACCACAGCCACCACTATCAAAAGAAAAAGCAACACCAATTCAAATTTTTATCTACTAACAACTTTATTCTTCCAAGTTCAATTTTCAAGAATGGAAAAGATGGTATATGTCATTCTCCCTATGCATAAACAAAATCCACTTTGGTTAACAAACTTTCATGGAATTTATGAATTGTGGCCGTTATTAAAATTAACCAATAAAATTGAATTTTCATTCATACCGAAACTATAAATGAAACTCCAAGGTGGACACTGTTACATTTCCATGAGATATTTTTAATTTTTATATCAAACATGGTGAATTTTTAATAGAACTGTAGCACAAAATAATACTGTTGGATTGCACTCGTCCGTCAGGGATCTTTCATCAAGCAACAATAAAATTCTCTTGAGCATATAAGTTAACAGCCACTATTAAAATATAATACAGTCTTGGTTTGAAATGAGAAATGTGTCAACTACATCATCATAAGCTCATCACCAATCAGTTTTTCAGACATCACCATTTTACAAAATTATATCCATCTGTTCAAGAGTTTAAATCTTGAAGAAAGTAGTCTTCTGGGATTTGGCACCGTGTATATGTGGTGTTAACCGACGTTTCGGAGGAACGTATCGCCTCCATCTTCAGGGTAGGAGAAAAAATATAAGTAACCCGCAAGCGAAGACTGTGAGAACTGGTAAAAGCAGACTGCTGACCCTGAAGATGGAGGTGATATGTTCCTCCGAAACGTCGGTTAACACCACATATACACGGTGCCAAATCCCAGAAGACTACTTTCTTCATAGTGACTGCCGTGAAAGCCTCAAATCTTACATAGTTTAAATCTTAATAGGCAACTTAAAAGGAAAACATACTTTTAAGAAATTAAGGCATATTTTCTTAACCTTTTAGCCCAGTGATTCTGTGATTTTACATGTGCCACCATAAAGCCCACTGGTTACTATACATGCCACCTGCTTTAACATAGTAAAACTCTTCATTCTGTACACAGAGGATTTGTGCTCTGTATGGTTTTCACAATAAACAGCAACCGTTTCCCTACGCAGCATTAACCAGCTGATCTCTGCAATGAAGATCTAACGTGTTTCCTGTGAGGTACAAACTGAATTTTTATATATTATTAGAAGGAATTCAGTGTTTACATAATTGCGCTTCTCCCAAAGGCTGTATAAAACAAAAGCCAGGTTTAATCAGTCTTTTGTAAGGTAAGACACTGCTATATAAGATGACAATACTAAATACTCACTTTTTGGTGGTATGAGTGGTTTCCCTCGAGTAGCACACCATCCTACTGGATGCACAGAGTTTGAACAAAGACTAACCCAAAAGTCTTTGCTACAGTTTTGACCAAAGCCTTCATAACGAAGCAATGCTTTGTATCCAGATATCCTCAGAACTGTTGCTACCCAGAATGAATCAGGGAATGATTCTGTAAAATCATCACAGTCTGTGTTCTCTACTTCAACCTTCATTCCTACAGTAATATTCTCCCAGCAGTCAGCCAAAGGAGCCTGCAGACATAACATGCACAAAACATTTTCAATTCGCAAAAACTATGCAAAAATATTATGATCTGACTACTGCACATAGACAGTTTATGGCCACAGCAATCTGCTTTCCTGGGAACCCCTATCTTCAGAGAGAGGGGCTAGCTATAACAATTAAGCCAACTGTGTAGGTTTACCTGAAGACAAAGACAGAATCCAGTCTTCAAAATGCTGTGCTTTGAAATATAAACAGGACAAAGGATAATGCTCAGAAACATAATATTTGTACTAATGTACCATCATCACAAACTTTTAGATACTACTGTAACCTAATAACAAAATATTTAATTTCCTGAAATACATTTAGAGTTTCAGGTTTTACTGACCCCTCAGTTGTCCATACTGTAGGCCAGCCCTGTCCAACGCGGCGCCCGTGGTATATTTTCCTGGCGCCCTCCGTAACCACATATAATTGAGCCGATTTTTAATATTAATTCAAATTGTAAGACAAGAGACATTTTTGAATGTCTGAGTACTGTTAAATATTTTCGAAAAATTTTAGTATTATTATTATTGTTATTATTATTGTTGTTGTTATTGTTATTATTATTATTATTATTAGTAGTAGTAGTAGTAGTAGTAGTAGTAGTAGTAGTGTGGTGGTGCCCGCACCTCCATAGGCATCAGTGAAGTGTACCCGAGTACATAAGATCGTTGGACAGCGCTGCTGTAGGCAGTCACCATACCAACTATGCTATCCCAGCTCTTACATATGTATTAGTACACCAGTTACACAACTTACATGACTGAAACAAGAGACAGGAGCTGCAATAAAGCCTGGCTCTGATAACTGACATTTCCACTCGTATGTATTTGCCAACTCTGAACGATTCCTCTTCACCATTACGGGACTTGGTGGATCATCCAGTGGTACAGGAAGTCGAAGGGGGTCCTGGGATACATCAAATGGTTTTATGTCTTCTTTGTAAGATCCATCCATAGAAGAAAACTGCAACAAAAAATATCTGTGGGGACTCGTGGTTCACCAGCAATGACTGTGAAGACCACAGTATTCTAAAGTGACACCATGTAGTTTCATTAATAGGTGCCATATGGTGTCAAATCATTAAAGACAGTAAGTAAGTAAAAGAAGTAAAGCTATCCCTGTAACAGGCCGTGGAGGCCCATAGGGTTGTGAGATGTTGAGGGTCCCACATTATCTAGACAATTAGGTCACAGATGGCAGTAAGGTTGTCAGCCTTACGCACCGGCCGCACTTTACTCCCCAGGAAAATTATTTAATCAATTCGTGGTACTCATTTCTGTTAGAGGCTGAGTCGATCCCAGGGCCATAGTGCGCCTGGAAGGATTAGGTCAACTGAAAAAAATCCCATGACCTCATTGGGACTTGAACTCGCGACCTTCTGGCTTGTATCATAGCCCCTCAACCAACTATGTTACTGTGTGCCCCCATTTAAAGACAGTACTAAAAAAAAATTATATGAGACTCTTATACTGAAACAAAGAGGTAACAGACATGTGATATGAAATACTGAAGAACATATACAAATAATATCTTGTGAAGTTATACAAACTAATATCTCAATAATTAATTGGTATATTTTCACTGCCATCCCATAACTATGTAATGGAATTATGAATAATAAAATTAGCAAAATGGATGTGGTAAAGCTTAAAGTAGATGGATACATAAATAACTCTGTCAGTATATACTCCAAAATGTAACTCACATCGAGCAATGGATACGGTTTGCGAATTGTCTGGCCTGTCCTCTCTAATTCGGAGTACTCCCGAGCACAAGCCAAGCTGCAGAATCGTCGTTCCTTTGTATAAAAGGCGTGTTTCACGCCTATAGCTCCACATTTTTCACACACAGCTGCAAAATGCACATAAACGACTCATTTACACAGTCAAAATTCCTTTCCTCAAAGATGCACACAAATTAAAATTTTGGTTACTGAACATGTTTTCTCTTCATTACAATCTAACCAACAGGTGCACTAATATAAGCTGAAAGTTTCACGTTTATTTCCCAGTCCAGGAAACAATTCTTCACTTAATGATGATGTATTCTGAAAAATAACCATTCCTTAAACCCAATTGCATGGATATATAAAGTTCAACATATCATATTGTACTGTGTTTCGTTACTGCGGGGAGTAACGACAGAGCTACGATGCCGCCACATACCGCTGGGGAGGGAGGGGTGTCCTCCATTGCGCAACACGTCACAATATGAACAATTCATGTCACACGTATATCCACCAAACCATTTTCTAGTTTCTTCAATACTATCACCTGTTTCATAGGTAAAGCCCATGGTTTATTCTCACTTCCTACCTGACAATATGAACATGTCCCTGCAGATATTAACTAGAATACATCTTGTATTTACAGTCATATAAAAGAAATTCATGTAAGCTGGTCTCAAATGTACAGAGTTTAACTTTGTTGACTGGCTCACAGCTCTGTGTGTCATGGCAATCGGTGCCTTATTTGCCGCAGGACACACACAAATGTTGCCGATGAATCAGCATGCCTGTTGGCTGATAATGTTTGGAATGAAGCGAAGTAATTTACTTATGCGCTGCTTGACAGCATTAGTTTCACAGCGAGCAGAGCAGTTCATATGTGGAAGTTTGTTTATGATTTGTCAGCAGTAGGCACCAGTTATCAGCTCCAGTGGACATTTGTTCTCAGCTACAGTTAGTGAGCAGTCTGGTATGACATGGTGCAGTACATTCTGGAGCAACATGTATTTCTGTATGACACCTGTGTGGAATCTGGATCTGCTATAAAGAATCAATGAAAATTTCATGATGAAAGAGTTCCCAGCAGATGAACAATTCACAATTTTGTGAATAAACTCAGAATAATGGGACTCTTTAATAGATAAGAAAGAAGTGCTTACTGAAAAGTTATGTGTCATATGGGCCACACTCGAACTCACACCTAAAAATCACTGAAATGTCTAGCTCAAGAGACTGGACTGTCAGTCTAATGCAAGAATGGCAACAGAATTGCTGAATCTTAGACCCTACAAAACAACAGTATTCCATGCGTTGCAGTCGAGCGATCCAGCTAGTAGGGATCATTTTTGCAGCTGGTTACTACACTCTGCCGTCAAAGGCGAGATCGATCCCCAATTGACATTCTTTCTTGCTGAAGTATGGTTTCACTTGCAGGGACCTCACATATACACAAAATTGCAACTGAGTTCACAGAATCTACATCTAACCCATGAAAAGTCCTGCTCCATCCAGTGAAAACTGGTGTCTGTATGCTGTAAATGCAAGGATTCTTGTTCCTGTGCTTTTTAAAGAAACAATTAATTGCGAAAGATGTCTACATGTAGAGGGCCAGCATTTTCAACACCTCCTGTGATCTGTGAATTGTAACGACTTCATTCTGAATGTTATCAGCCATCAGGCATGATGATCTGTCGGCAAAATTTGTATATGTCTCGTAGCCCGCGGGTAACAGATTGCCATGAAGCACAGAGCAGTGGAACCAGTGAACGAAGTAAATATCTTCCCTGTATAACTACGGTATAATAACTTTTCCAAATTTTGGATTGTATACCTGTTACATCAAACTTAAAAATTCTGAATGTATGTAACTGTAATTATATACCAATGTGCATCAACTCCACTTAAATATTAATGTACATTAACTGACCCCCCCAAAAAAAACAGTAAAGTAATAGACATATACAACACAACTTATTCTGAATGGTGCTGATTATAATCAGCACCAGTCATACATAATTATGTATCATCTACAGCTGAATTACTATTCACACAACCTTCAAAAGTATAAAGCCTTTCATCAGTACCACCACTTTTACTTGTGAATACCATAATACTACATGCATATGGCATGCCCCTGGCCCCTCTGCAAACATCAACAGACTTGATACAGAAATTAAGATATACAAAACTGAATAACAATCCTTATGAACAATATAATAGCTTATTTAATACAATTCTTAACACACTGCTTGTATGATCATGTAACTGATGGCCATCAACACTTTACAGCCTGAGCTACTGACATCATTATTAAACAAACCATAAATAAATACAGCAGATGACCAGTCCCTATGGCTTAATGAATTATTTCTGGCAAACTGTCAAAACCAATAAGCCCACTTAAATAAAGTAATATTAATGATTCAGTATGGCATGAAATTCACTAATGGAGTATACAGCTTCTGTCTGTGACTGTACACCTGTGAGCCACATATTTACTGGCCTGCATTAAATGTATAATTATGAGATAATATAGCACACTGATTCTCAAATCACCATCATGCTCATATATACTTTAAGTTACTCAATACATGGTCATTGTCACACTTAAGAGTACCTATACTACGCAACTATGGAATTTCTGACTAACAACTACTATTTCATTCAAATTTTGAACTCAATATTTCGTTGGAGGCAAGATGGTTGCAAATGGTGTGAAAACATTTTAGATTTCTGCTCTTCCATCATGATTAAATAGATTCAATTCATACATAAGAAGATATACCAATATCATACCAATGATACCCAATAATGTCTTTTATAAGAAGTTGAGTGTTTAAAGTGTTATGACCTAGAACAAGCATATTAAGCTTCTTACAAGGGGCCACGCCATAGCTCAACCAGTCACTGGCTTCCCACTGGGGTGGCCCGGGTTCGATCTCGGGTCTGGTCAAGTGGGATTTGTGGTGGGCAAAGTGGCGCTAGGGCAGGTTTTCTCCGAGTACTTCGGTTTCCCCTGCCAATATTCATTCCACCAATTGCTCCACAATCACCCTCACCTATCATCTGGGGCTGGTACAATAGGCCAGAAGTGGCCACAGTACAAGGGGCTTAGTCCCACCCCACTAGAAAAAAAAATTCTTACAACCGATAAAGATACTTAGTACATCAACATAACATCCAGAAGCAAGGTAGAAGCAATGTGAAATTGCACTCTGATATACATGAACCTGATAACAAAATATTGGGAAAACAGCCTAAGTCCCTAATGCTGGAACTCAAAAGCCTATGTACATTCAGTTAGTGATGTAGCAGAGAGCTTATCACCCACCACCTCCTTATTCACACCCTTAACCTTGCATAATGGATTATTCCTCCGTTTCAATCTATGCACGACACTATCAGTTATGACCCAAATATGGTATCATTAATACTTTAAAGTACCAGGAAATGTATCATTCTATTTGTTTCCTATTCCATTTGCATGTAACTGATAATTAAAAGCAGACTTTCATGAATCATATCTGAAAGATGTCATTTTAGATCATTCTCTGTCTTAAAATCATCTGACCACTCTTGGAATAAATAAAATGACATAATTCACTCTGATGAATGGTTGTCACATGAAAACGGCTACTAGCATCTCAAATTTTGCTGCCCTGCAAATGGCTCGTGCACATACAAAACTGAGTCAAATTATATGATGTTGATGTCTTAACCTAACATTTCTATGGATACTGCTGAAAATTTTTCAGCCATTTGCAAAACTTTCTCCTACTAAAATGTTTTATAACATAATACTTTTCACGAACAGCTCCAAAACGACCTAACCTTAACAACCAACAGTCAAGTCTAAAATAATGCAGGAAAATAAAATAATATGCACACAATTATACCAGTGCTTCTGTTTACCATACCTATGAATTTCCAATCACAAAAGTAAAATCTGCACATTTCTCAAATGCATTATTTCTTATTAGTGTACTTCATGTTCATTTGCTGCTCACATAAATGTACTGCAAAAGCTAATCACATACAAATGCTCCTATACTCCATAATTTTGAATTTTTTTCCTTCCATACATTCACCAACACAGAAGAAAATGTCAAGAGGAGGAGGAGAAAGCCGTAAATCTTAATATGACCTATAATTAAGTAATCTTTCAAGAGCAGATCCTGCAGTACCAATTTATACAATATGCATAGAATGCAGAAGAAAACTGGGTCTAAAAATCATCACTGCCAGAACTGATTGATGCTATGACTATGTCCATGAACCTTATAATGGAAATTTTTGACATCATGCATACAAATGGGAGCCAAAAAAACATTTAGAAAATCAATGCATTAATGAGTTAATAATTTCATGAGCAAATGATGTGGACAAATATAACAAACAAGCCCTTCACCTGGATCTGACATATGCTGGACTCTAAGCTATCAACACCAAGTTTCGGGAAGAGAGCCAAGAGATGCCCCCACATCTGGACTAGATTTGTCAAGGCCTGTATTGTGTGTCAGCAAAAGTATCACATTACAGCCCTTTACAAGACAGTTACAGTTATGTCAAAATGTTCATACAAAGTGGTACTCAGTGTGCACTCTACATGGGAAAGGCAGCAAAATGAAAACTAAAGAACAGGTGAACAACAAAACACAATGTAAGCCAGCACCAAACATTGAAAGCAAGCACTTCAACACAACATGGATGGCCACATGGACACACTGCAAAGCTAACTCAAGCAAGTCCAAAAGGGAAGGAAATCATTATATAAAAGAACTACATCTTTTGTTTGGACTGTACTAATTTGTCAAGACTTGCAATTATTACAGACATTTAAGCAATCCACTGCAGACAGGCCTCAAAACTATTAAAACTTGACCCATCTCCTAGAGAATTTCTATTTTCACATTTAAATAAATTGTTCCTGATAATTTTACTGAAGCCTAATTACAAAAAGTGCAACATCATGCATTATAAGATTTTTATTACCTTGGAACTGTACTACTTCTCCTCTTACATGACCCTCCTAACTGACTAATCTTTAACTTACCCATTCCATCCCTTTGAATTGGTATGACACTTAGGTCTGTGTCTTTCTGATAGGCTATCGGGGACTTCAGTTTGAGAGCTGGATGTTTGATTGGCTTGATTTTCCGTGTAGATTGCTGGCCAGCTGTCTGGGTAGAAGCACTTGTCAAGAAGTGTGGTGTTTCCTCACACAAGGACTCATATTCATCCAGCATTGAGATTGAGAACCCATCCATCTCCTGAGGGTGCAAAATTTAGTTCACCTTCATGTACTTAGCATTCTGGCTGGTAAGTCACCTTTACACTTGATCTGAAGCTGCCCCAGTGACAGTACAGAATGAAATCTTCTCAGGTGATCAGGCATGCTGACAAAGTTGGCATCTGATGTTTCAAAGACCCTTGTCTCTGTTATCAAGGGTTGATGCGATGAGTTACACACTGTATTCATACACAGAGGAAGCTGCTGGCTGTCCCTGAATGTACCACAAAGATAGCAGTTGGCAGTCAGTAAGTGGTGTCCCGTTCCAAGGCAGACCACATGGAGGGTTTACAGCACACAGCCACAAACAGGACAAAACGAGCAAGAGTAATAAAAAAATTGTAAGGAAGGTGCCATGAAAATGAACATGGACTGTGATAACTGACAGACTGATGCTGCCTACTGCTGAAGACAACACTATCTGACTGCCCAAACTGCTCCCTCAGCGGTACATGTTGGGACAGGCAACAGCTTATTCTGTATACAAAAACAGCATGTGGGCTTAACAGTCATCACATCAACCCCTGATGATGGAGACAGAGAGAGTCTTTGTAACATCAGACACCAAATCACACTGACTTTCCCTAGAAGACTTCACTAAATTCACCTTTAATTTTGGAACATTTATGTATATTCCTGGTCACTTCCCTCCATACCTAAGTTCCAGTTACAACATGCTATCCCAAGATGAACTTCAGGGCAATGCAGCTGCAGTGACTGTTAATAAAATCTGTAATTCATCAATGTACCATTTGTAAATAGCTTGTATCTTTTGGTAGTTCTGCTGGTGCACTAAACACCACACAACTTCATGCAAGGTGAGATGTTAATGGCATCTGATAACACACACAAAAAGTAAAATGTTTTATTTATAAGCCACCAAATGCAACATGAACTTTCACCTCCTACAGAGGGACTATATCACAGTTTATGTGTTCCTGGTGTCCAACAAAGAGGATCTGATCAGCAAATACTTCAGCCACCCCTTTCATATATTTAAGTACTTCTGTTGAGCCTGACCTCGTGTATCTTAGAGAAAGTTCTTGTATGTTTAGTAAGTCTTAGTGCTGTATGGGATCTTTGGGCAAACACCAACTGAGATACAATGCTTCAAATATACTTTTCTAGAACTGGTTTTCAGGGACATTTTAGGGATTAATGGTTGTATTTAAACAGTTTAAACTGAGACACTGCAATCTTGATAAAATGGATACTGACCCAGAATGTGTGATTACTAGCACCTATTTTGTACCATTTAATTATCAAACATCATTGTTTACGATCAGAAAACAGGCATAAGAAGGCTGTATTTAATTGTGTCTTGTTTTAGCAAATGGAAAATTATAGGAGTTATGTTACACAAGCTGCATAGAAAGAACCGTACATCCTTGATAAGGAAAACTGAATGCACTGTGCCATGTATAATTAAATAATAATGCATTCATGCTCTGGGCAAGTACATGCAACTGGACAGATTGCACCAGAGTACTTTCAATTTTCCCATCACACCTCAGAGTAATTAACTAGTGTAATACTTAGGAAATAGGAAATAAGCATTTTATTGCAAGACTGGGTTAAAAAATCTTTGTAATCTAAGTTTCATGTTTCTAATTCTATAATAAAGCTCTGTCCATAATAAAACATACACTGTTTATTCACTTCACGAACTAACCTAATGCATGTTTCACCTACTTGAACCTCCAAATCTTTATTTTAGATGAACATGGGATTCTTTTTATGCAAACACTGAAAGGAAAAAAAAAACAACAACACATTTTCTCTTTTGCTTTCACTAGTTTGACAACGCTGGGAAAAAATCGTAGTTCAATAATCCAAAATATACAAAATGTATTTATTTATTTATTACCCTTGGTTTATTTAATGGCACGTTTAACATTTCAGATTATATGGTGTTAACTGTGATCGGTGAATAATGAATTAGTAAGAATATGGAAGGAAACAATAATGGTCTAATTTGAAACAGCTTCTTATTAATGGCATGAAAGAAAACTGATTCTTTTCTGAACATATTTTTCTCAAACACTATTCTTGCATTTGCCTATCCTGTCAAAACACCGATCTCCAGGTCAACATTTCAAAAAGGACTTCCTAGGCTATAAACTAACAGTGACGATGTGATGTTCAGTTGACATCATGTTTAACTTGTAATAACTAATAACTAAAATTATGAATAAGGGTAAACACCTGATTAAGGGAAATATTTTTAAAAAGTTACAGAATGGCTGCACTATGAGAACAACTGCAATATGCGCTGTGATTGAATATTTTCCCAACTGCATTTTTTTCTCTCTGTGATAAACTGCATTTATGCTCTATTCTATGCAGTGCCCTTCAAAGTAGTCCCCCTGCAAACAGAAGGAGCACATCGAGCAACTGCAACACTTGCAGAAGTGACAAGCACAGCCTGCAACTGTTTTTGAACTGTGATGTCATCAAATCTGCTCCCTCTTCAGTGCAAAACTTGAGTTCTGAGGGGGGGAAAAAAGTTCACACACGGAATTGTGGGTCACTCAGAAGTTCTTCCTATAGATCCTGACACACACATTACAACCCAATTCTCTTTCTGCTTGTCAGTTAGCGGATGCACAAATTTTTATGAACAAGTTATTAGTTTGTAATATTAGTCTGCCTTTATTTTGAAAAAGTGAAAGCAGGCTTATGCAATCTCCATGTTGACTCTGTGTCAGTGAATATCCCCATTAAACTTTGAATGCCTCAACCGGTCTTCATGAAACCTGGTACGTACACCATGGCACCTAAGACCATCTCAATGGCATACTTCCTAAATCTCTCTCATTCGTCTGCATGTTAAGCCGGGTCCAGACTTGCTGCGTACCCCCTTTTCATATCTCCATATCGTATCACTATGGATGGTACCCCCATATCATCCTTCCATTGCAAAATGTTGATATGGTGATATGCAACGGGCTGTTCGCTCACTTGGCGGTCTTTTCCCGTCGCATCAAAGGGATGACATGCATTGCAGTGATGCCAGACTGGATGTGCACATGTTGCATCGTGCTTTGCTTCTCAGCTCTGGACAAAGGACAGTTGCAGTGTATAGTCATCACCAGTAAGCGTTCTTCTATTTTTGATTCTGTGTTTATACTCTGAATGGAGTGCAGTAAGGAGAGCATTATATATTTAATTGATGAATATAAGAAGAGGGACATGATTTGGAACCCTCAAAACACAGAACATTTCAATAAAATAAAAAAGCAGGACACATGGGAAGAGATAGGAAAGGAACTGAACAGATCAGGTTAGGTGTACTCATTGCTGATTAAAATCTGGCTCGAAACAGAGTCAGCTCGTCATTTCTTTGTTGCCTTCATGGGAGGAGAAATGTTGTTGCGTTGCATTGGTTGATACACAACAAGCATGGACACAAAATTTTGTCATGTTGCACTGGATGATACGCAACGGAGATACGATACAGGGATACACAACAAGTCTGGACCCGGCTTATGTGTATCCTATTGTTGATAGGCAAAGTTAATCCCCCTTTTCTTTGGTAGGCAAGGGCTAGGTAAACATGTTCCCATGACAGTGATTACATACAACAGAAGAATTGCTGGATGTATGTGTATGTGGGTCTGCCTATGTATCCCACCATTGGAAGACGTTCCTGCAGCAACAAAGAATTGCTGAAGGCATCACTTTCTATGCAGTCTGTGTCACATCAAAAGAAAGCAGACAATCTGTTCTTCCCAGAACTCCTTGTATCTTCATCTGTTTTGCTTATGGATGAACAGCCTAAACGGCCGCGCCATAGCTCAAGGGGTTAGTCGCTGGCTTCCCACTGCAGCAGCCCGGGTTCAATCCAGGGTCTGGTCAAGTGGGATTTGTGGTGGACAAAGTGACGCTGGGGCGGGTTTTCTCCGAGTACTTTGGTTTCCCTTGCCAATCTTCATTCCACCAAATTCTCCATCATCATAATCACCTGGGGCAGGCTACGATAGGCCAATCAATGACCGCCGTGCCGAGGGGACCCAGTAGGACCCCACCCCCCACCAAGTGAATAAAAAACACCCAGCCTAAACCCTTATCACCGCTTTCCCTTGAACTTGGAAAACCAATGAAATGTCTGAGTTTTGCTCTACGTTTCCTCTCTAAAACCAAGTAACACCAAGTAGGTTTATGCAGCAGTTTTGCCTAGTTTGAAGTATCTTCATGCATATGAAATATTGTTTGAAATCTGCCAGTTTATGATAAAATGCATATCCTACAGAGCACAATACACAACCTAACTTCCCAAGGCATTACTTCCAAGTGACAACTTTGAAATGAACAGCAAATGACTCACAAAATTCTACTCCATAAACGCCCAGCAGAAGATATTTGCCTCAATTGCGACAGTGTCACATCGCAACCAGACCAAAAACCGATCACACCACATACACCCAAATAATAATGCTAACTTATATGAATAGAAATATAGATAATAATATGGCATTTTAATAGCACTTGCAAGGCATGATGTAAAAACAAACTGCTCAGTATTTAACAAGCTCAATTAAGTTACTCTTTCTCAAAAATATGCCAAGACCAAGATAGTACATTTGAATGGCATGCATCAAAAGCATCAATACATGAAATATATTGTAGAGAATAAAAGCAGAAGAAATGACCAAGCTACTCGTAAAAGAAACTAAGCTTAGTACTGAAGCCAGATTGGGGGGCACGCAGTAGCATGGTTGATTAAGGCACTATGCCACAAGCCAAAAAGTCATGGGTTTGATTCATGATGTGATAAATGGATTTTTCAAAATGACCCAAACCTTCCAGCCACACCATGGCCCTGAGGTCGACTTAGCCTCCAACAGAAATGAGTACCAGGAATCTTCCTGGGGGTACGGGGCAGCCGGTGTGTAAGGCTGACAATCTCACAGCCATCTGTGAGCCGACTGTGTAGAAAATGTGGGAGGTTTGATATCTCACAACCCTATGGGCCTCCACAGCCTGTCACAGGGGTAGCTTTACCTTTTTACCTTTATGGAAGCCAGACTGCCAAATTCACGTCATTCGGAGTAATGCTATTTACTGACCATTTTCAGAAAGAAAAAAGTTGCATAACTGCTTGTAATAACCTTCCTTATTGTCAGAATTCAATTGTTTTATAAAGAGCTAATTTACCATGTTGCCTTCCTAATTTTTTCCCTTTTAATGGAGCATTTTAGCTGCAGGAAGTGGAGAGAGAAAATATGTAGCTGGGAACTGTGAACATAATGGAGTGTATGTGAGATATCACAGTTGTGACTAACGATTACTCTCTTCTGGTACTCATTTTTGTTTGAGGCTGAGTTGACCCCAGAGCCACAGTTCAGCTGGAAGGATTAGGTAAATTGAGAAAATCCAATGACCTTATCGGGATTTGATCCTGCAACCTTCCAGCTTGCAGCATAGTGCCTCAACCAACTATGCTACCGTGTGTCCCCACATTTATAATCTACAGACACTAACTTAACAAAGGTTATTCATTTACTTCCAACAAACTGTAAGAAAATCTGTACTTCACAATTTCATCACGTAATTACTTTCCATGAACACAATACAATACTCAACAAAAGAGACAATGTGTTGACTTCTATACATCACTGTTTTCATGGCCTGCATATATCTGGAAAAACCAGACATTTTTCCATTAACAATTATTTAACAATTTATTTGTGAAATGAACAGACTGTAAATTTCTGAAGTTTTAGTTTAACTGTTTTATTTAGCTGTGAAGTTACTCTAGGGGGGACATGAGAACAGACTGCATATTTCAAGCAGGGTCCTTTCATTCCGCATAAATGGTCACCCGCAGATTTACAAATTCTCTACCTAAACAACTGTATTTTTATCACATTTTTCCACCCTTCCCTATGCACCACAAAAGGTTTCCAGCCATTTTCTGATAAATAATAAAGCATATGTGGAATTATTTTGCTTGCATGTGTGTTCCAGTCACCACAAAAAGAGTACATGAGTCAATTTCTTTGCTCATCAGCTACAATCTGTAACAGATGAGACATGACTCTTGCACTCTCTCATACATCACAATGTCTACTAAGAAAATCAATAAAATACACGTAGTAGTTAACTGCCAGAATATAAATTCAGCATGTGCGCATATGCTGTTCAAATTAAGTAATTTTTGCTGTCACAACCATATTTAACTAACTTCTCTACTACAGAAGGATAATGTTACACAAATATTTTTATACATGAGGTAGCAAACTGCCAAGCATTTTCTCATCAAAAAGCATTGAATCATAATCTAAAGGCCATACAAATCCCACTACCAAACTAAATTACGATCAGAATTCACAAAATATGTTTTATTCTACTATACCTTGCTCATGCTTCCCGTAACCCTGGACCGTTTTCATTAAGTACACATGTAATGGCATATAAGCATATTAAAGAGAAACTAGCAAAGCAAAACACAAAAAGCAAAGAAATTAGGCTGGGAATAAGCACACATGGGTACTAAGTGCAAATGATGAGACTATATACAAAAGCTTGAAAGTCTTCAAGCTAAGTCTCAGCTTTACTGATACATCACTGTTTACTGTAGCACAACTGCAAACCAGACGGCCATCCAACTATCAACGGCATAGTATTCCCACTTACAAGAGGCACACGACCCCTGGTGTCTTCCAGTGAGTGTGGACTGTAGTTGAATAGAGGGCTCCCAGACTGAGAATCAAGCATCATTTCATTGGATTCATGGGACAGAAGCATGTCCCCCATCCAAATCATCCCTAAATCTAAAACAAGGGCAATTAAACTGTCTTAAATATTCACTAAGATATATGCAAAACGTCATACAAAATTATTACAATCAGAACAAAATGTGTGATGACAATCAAAGGTATGGTGAAACAGTGGAAATAATATACCATATAGACACTAAATTAGTAAAGAAATTGCAACACGATTTTGATGGCTGAAACGCCAAACATATAAACTGCAACATGACCGCAATTATAAAAATTCTTCACTCTAATCACAGCCTATAACATCTATTAAGAAAATACGAACCATCTCGAGTCGCCATTTCCATGACAAAGGAGTTCCTTTAATAATGCAACCAAAGAGAAGTTATCATTTGTGGTGCAATATATTTGCAGAAAACACACTTTATACTATTAAACGCATCGTCATAAGGTATATGAAATATAATTAGTTATAAATATTACGAATTTTAACGGCAAAAACCGAAACTGAACAATAGCTACACAAACTTCCACCACAAGCCCTCCACTATCACCACGTTGGTCATAAGGTACTGAAACATAGTCCTACAACTATCCACGTTAGCTGCAATATTGACTAAAAATCAAAATTTGTAGCTAGTGTTACGACCTAAGAGGGTAAATAAAATATATTAATCATAATCTGCTTGAAAAGTTGTTTAACAAATACTTGATAATAGTAGTGAGCAGAGGATACATTCAAACTTCCACCAGCTCTTCTCATTACGGATGTTACGGATGGAGTCTGAGGGAAATTTAATCTTTAGGCTCCGGAAGCAAAAGCAGTCGGAGTTGTGATACCGTATAACCTGGTAAGTGGTAACCAACGTTTTGGAGAAACAGGCTGACCCACTTCTTCCAAAGTTCACAGGATGCAGAGAGTCACGTCCCAAAAGGTCACAGTGACGACCTCATATCTGGTAACAACGCTTAAAGTTGTCCTTGTACTCAACTAATTAAGCACTATGGCGTGAAGGCGTTGAGGGGCAGCTGATACATAGTTTTACATTTTCTTGACCTCGACACGGCTCGGTACTAGTTTGAATACGTAGCGAATTCATTTAGTGATCCGTGCATAGGACCGACGTCTGCAAAATGTGGTTTCTGTATTGTCCAATAGGAGCAATGTATGCGTCATGAACGTCATGAATAGCGATAAATGACGTTTGATTATGTCGCTTGTTTACANTTGCCCTTTCTCCAATTCAAGATTCCACCCCCTGGTCTGGAGTTCTTTGAAGTTGGATGCAGATTGGAACAGAAAATTTTTTCGTCCTTTAAGCTAATTTTATTACGGCCACAAAGGGGGTTCATTCGGTGTAAGTACGTGTAAGATTTAGTAGTGTCATGGATTTATATACTATCAATGGGGCAATAATTTTTATTACATTATGTTCATCTTAAATTCTTCGCCAAACGAACTCTTATATAGTTGTAGGCTCAGACTTCAGCCCTAGTGAATTGTGTACTTCATTTCCATATATTTACATTTTTCACGAAACGATCTCAGGTTGTCAGGTGACACGTGAACTCAATCATTTACCCTACTTTGCCCCTAATCATGTATAATTTCCCTACGTCTTTGGAATTTCAAGACGGTACGTTTGGGATGTCAGGGCCAGACCTAGCTTTTAAGAGCACGGTTGAGAATTTACGATTTTGACGTCATACGAGTTTTTTAATGCATATAGTCCTCGATTTACGAGTTACGCCAAAACGAACTTTGAGACTGAAGATATATTGGGCATAATTTCCCCATAAGACTCAATAAAAATGCCCGAGATTTACCTAAAAAAATGTTTATTTTTAACTTTATGGATTGCCCTCTGCATGGACCTAAATATTCATTACTGTATTCACAAGAGCCTGCCACTGCTCCCTATCCTGAACCAGACAAGTCCAATCCATACCACCCCATCCTTTCCTCATAAAATCCATTTTAAGGTTATCCTCCCATTGACATTTAAATCTTCCTATTGGTGTCTTTCCTGGCATTCCCAACAAAACCCTATATGTATTCCTCTTAACATAGATTATATCATTTTCTTTTTCTTTATTGAGGGTACAGGCCATTGGCCTATTTTCAACTTCAAGAGAATATGCCCTCCCATCTGGCTATGGGTTGTTTTTTCTTAATAAATAGTATTTTTAATGTTTACTTTGAAGAAAAAAATGCTAGACATTGCTAAGAACGGGGATGGTATGGACAGAGAAGCTGTGCCACTGAGTTAAAAACACTTCCCAAATTGTCCCAAGACATTCAGAAACATTCTGTCCGTCCTGCTCCCTGTAACATTAAAGAACATGTTAACAAGGTTAATGTGAACTGCTTGCTGACTGATCAATAGATGTGGGAAGAAGAGAAGTAAAGTATTGTGTGGGCAGTTGATGAGGAATGCAAGGGGAGAAATTTAAATATTGTTAAATAGTCTATATGACAAGCAGTTTATAATACCAATAAAGAAACAACACACAGATTTCAGGGAATATGTGCTAAATAGCCAAGTAGGAGAAGTCATTAAGTTGCATGGGGAGATGGCTGAAGAATATGAAGCAGGTGGTTGGCATGGTAGAGAAAGTGACTTGATTGGTTGGAAAAATGAGCAGTATTTAATTATGCATTGGTGGCAATAGATGTTACTGTAACATTTCAATGGAGGCGTTTGATGGATATGCTGGTTGTGACTCATTTAAAAATATCCACTTTTAGTCATTTCCCAGCCTTCAATTTCTCAGGCAACAGATATGCATAGACGAGACCGCACTACTGGGTGAAATTTACCCTTCTTCCCTTGCCTTCGTCCTCCTGCACCCCCAACACAATACTTCACACTCCTTTCCCCTACCTTTTTTTGATCAGCATGCAAGCAGTTCTCATTAATTGGAATCATTCTAAATTTATTGAGTGTATTAAAATGAAATCACATTTTTCAAACTAACATATAACAAGGAATACATGTAATCATATTTTCTTACATCTGGATGGGGAGTGAAGAACAACCATTAAACTCTTTGGATGAGAGAAACTCCTAACTGAAGCACAGAACTTATGACTTGTTGGTTTAAAACATGTCACTGATAACTTGTAAGTGTATAATGTTGACATACCTATGAAGTTAATTGAATCACCTCATTTTCCAGGAATCTTTACTCATCACAATAACGATATGGAAGAAACCAAAGATTATCAACATCTCCGGTCTCCTCAGAAGACTGAATCACTGCCTACACATCAGACTGTAGAATTAAAATTCTCTGTCCCCTGGGGTCACATTGCAGGTATTATTAGTAACCAGTGATGATTAATATTAGATGGAAATACTAAAAGGACAGGGGCACGCGGTAGCATAGTTGGTTGAGGCGCTATGCTACAAGCTGGAAGGTCGCAGGTTAAAGTCCCGATGAGGTCACTGGATCCCTTTCAATTGACCTAATCCTTCCAGCCACACTATGGCCTTGGGGTCGAATCAGCCTCTAACAGAAATGAGTGCCAGGAATATTTTTGGAATATTCTTAGGGGTAAAGAGTGGCTGGTGCGTAGGGCTGACAACCTTGCCGCCATCTATGAGCCAATTGTATAGAAAATGTGGGAACCTCAACATCTCACAACCCTATGGGCCTCCACGGCCTGTTACAGGGATACCTTTACTTGTTACTTATTAAAAGGACACCCATTCTTAACCTGGGTTTCCCTTACAAGAAGCTTCATTGAAGTATTGCTTATTTATTATGACAGCCATATTAATAGACCAACACCCTTACTGACCAGGGAGTTCTAATACACATACAAATAAACCCAAGCTGCAGAAACTCAGTGTAGTACATATGTTAACCTCATATTCTTCACCATCCACTCTTCTTACTACAAAACATTCAAAATATTTATTTTAAACAATTAAGATAAGGCTTTGTGTGTGTTGTTAGGAGGAACACAGAGGTTCTATAGTCAAAATAATCCATGTATATCCTCACACACTGTTAAAAAAATAGTTCCTTTATGATGTCATGTGCACTTCCAGTTTGATGGTACCCATTGCCTATGAGACACATTTTGTCAAAGTCTTTCTACACAAAGAATGGTCCCATAACAACCACCTGGTAGGAGCAAGAGAATTGTTCTCTTCTCCAAAGCATCCAGACCGTCCCTGGGGCCCACCCAGCCTCCTATCCAGTGGAGGGCCTTGTCCCTGGCACATAAAACTGACCACTCACCTACATCTAGTGCCAGTGTTAAGAATGTGTGGAGCTATACCTCCATTTTTCCAAACATCTTCGTAACATGTGCTTAATGAATTAAGTACAGAGACAATTTTACCTTTATTCCATAACAAGTAACAACCATCATATGCTGAATATTACCAGTCTGTAGTTTTCCAAATTGAAAACATCTGTATTTCTTGAAATAGATCTTTCTGCGATGATTCTGCCTTGCAGCTTTGTTACAGGGACAGACTACAAATTGTATTCTTTTGAAATATGGAATCACATGTGTTATATCAAGCAGTTTATATAGTCATAAATTTTGGTGCCTTTGCTAAAAAGTATCAGCTGTTTTTTTAAATGGTCTGTTTTAATATTTTTATGCTGGTATGGAAAAAATGTTCATAGCAGATCAAACATGGCGTTAAGTCTTGAATTAACTGTAGTTCAGGAGCATCTGAATCTACACTCAAACCATTTTGGGAAAAAAATTGTCCAACATATTCAGGAATGTTGGTTGGTTTCCAATGGCTGCATTTGGGATCATTTAACCCATCAAGAGAACTCAAGTTCTTGCTTTGTTGCATCTTGAAGAAGTTTGCACTTTTCTTTTCGGAAGCTTTGCCAGGTTTGTTGCTCATTTTGCACTACCCAGGGGACACGTATGACTTAAAGAATGTCACAGACATGAGCAACTTTGTCCCCTTATTCAGGAATGTAACACCATTTAAATCATCCTACTAAGCTAACTGGGGGCACGCAGTAGCGTAGTTGGTTGAGGGGCTATGCTGCAAGCCGCAACATTGCAGGTTCAAGTCCCGATGAGGTCATTGGATTTTTTTCAATTTACCTAATCCTTCCAGCCGCACTATGGCCCTGGGGTTGACTCAGCCTCTAGAAATGAGTACCAGGAATTAAATAATTTTCCTGGGGAGTAAAGCTTGGCCGGCATGTAAGGCTGACAACCTTACTGCCATCTTTGAGCCGATTGTCTAGATAATGTGGGACCCTCAACATCTCACAACCCTATGGGTCTTCACGGCCTGGTGCAGGGATAACTTTACTTACTTTTTACTAAGCTAACTGGATTAGGATATATGGAAATATGAACATAGGTGCACTATGAGAAAGGATGTTTAGGACAGTCAAATGGAAACACAGCATGGAAGGATTTTATGTACAAGATGTCTTGATCATTGTACAAGACTGTATATTTGATAGCAATGTCAGCATGCAGCTATATGTTTCTATAATTAAACTTGTTGCAGAACTTCATAATTCATTATTATATTCATCTGTAGGCTTTAATAAATCCAACACAGAACATAATACAATCTGAACATAACCCAACCTGTCACAGAATTCCTATTTGTCAAGACAGATGGCAAGCATGGATATCCCAAACAAACAAACTCCATGGTTTTAGTCCACAAGCAAACTATACTGACTGAGCGACTCCTGCTTGTCAGTGAACTTAGTGCCAACTTTAGCAGATAGAGAGTGTCACGTGGTCAGCACAAGGAATCCCCAAGGCCGTTAATTTCGGTTTTCTAGACTGCAGCCACTACTTCCTTGAAATAGCTCCTCAATTATCCTCACAAGGCTGAGTGGACCTCATTCCAGACCCACTAGTTCCCAGAAAATCTGGTATCGCCAGGAATCGAACCCAGACCTCTAGATCTGTAGCCAGGAACTATGACCACTAGATGACATACATATACCGATGGTCCACACCATAGTTCAAGCAGTTAGTCACTGGCTTCCCACCATGGTGGCCTGGGTTTGATCCCAGGTCTGGTCAAGTGGGATTTGTGGTGGACAAAGTGGCGCTGCAGCAGGTTTTCTCCCTGCCAATCATCATTCCACCAATTGCTCCACAATCACCCTCACCTATCATCTGGGGCTGATACAATAGATCAGAAGTGGCCGCAGTACAAGGGACTTAGTCCCACCCCACTAGCAATAAAGAAGTACCCCACTCATTTAGTAGTTATACATTTGTATATAATACTGTACAGCAATCAGTATCACAGTCACAGTTACATCACTTCATACTGGTATGGGTTAAATAACTCCATGGAATGAAGTCTCTGAGAAGTTTTATAGTTGCTTAACTAATCAAGAAGTTACCTGCATTTTATCACATTCTTGTTCTGTAAGATCCAGTTTAACATTAACATTATTCCCCCAGTATGCCTAGGTATTCCAGGTGGTCTCTTACAACAAAAATGTTGTATACATTTCTCACATCTTTGATGGATCCTGCATGCCCAGCCCATCTCAGCCTGCCAAGATCCACATATCCTCTTCAGCACTTTGTTCTCAAATGCTGTCAAGTTACTTGTATATTCTTCCCTTAGAGTGAAATACCCATGTCTCATATGCCTACAAAACAGGCACAATTACAGTCAAGTACATTTTAATATTTATATATTTAGATAGGAGATGGGAAGATAAGGATTTGGAAGAGAGCATGCATTTCCTGAATTTAATTTGTTCTTAATTTCTTCATAGATGCTAATTTTAATCTTTTATGAGATGAAATCTTAGAATTGTACATTTACAGTTATGAAAAGTTTACCTTGAACATTAGAATTTGGCTGACTTCTGGACTCTTCTTTGGAAATGTTAACAGGCAAAAATAAATGATTAAGCTACAACAGAAGAAAATAATTAACTTGGAATAGAAGCAGTTCATAAAAAAAAAAACCGAGTACTCCCAAAACATTTTATAATCCTTTCAGCAAAAGTGTGGGGAGATCCTGGTGGTGAACCTATTCTGGCTGTTCATGGGGTGGAAGACAATGCAGCAACATTCGACACACTCATACCCCTCCTGCTGCAGCTCGTTGGACGCCCAATGTATGTTGTATGTGTGGACTTGCCTGGTCATGGACATTCATCTCCATTGGCACCAGGCATCCTGTATCGCTTCACAGATATGCCTGGCTGTCTACATCGTGTGATCTCCCAGTTGGGATGGTATCGATTCCATTACTTGGGACATAGTTTGGGGGGCCTCTTGGGACTTCACTTTGTTGCTTCATATCCCAATCTTGTTGAGAAGCTAATTGTTATCGATGCCCTTACTTTCACAATGTACCCTAGACATTATCATTCAAATATTTTGAGGGCTTATGCAGAAAAACTTCTTGAATTAGAGAAGAAAGTTGGGGCTGGAACTATCCAACCCTCATACACCCTAGACCAGGCTTTGCATAAATTGGCTCATAGCAGAGGAACAAAAATGACAGAAGCTGGAATCAAAGCATTAGCTTCAAGAGGCTTAAGACAAGTAGAAGGCCATGACAATTTGTACACGTTCTCAAGAGACAACAGACTTAAATTCTTTGTCTTTCCAGTAGTTAACATTGAGGAAGCTGTTCAAGTTGCAAGTGAAGTAAAATGCCAATTGTTAATTGTGACTGGAAAAGAGTCTCTGAGAACAGAAAAGGGTTCAGATAATGAAGCTGTGTTGACTGCTCTAACAAAACACTGTTCCTACCTCAAGCACTATGTTGTTGATGGTGATCATGATGTACATCTGAACTTTCCAGAGAGACTTGCCCCCCTAGTGGCCACATTTCTTTGTAAGCCAAGGAGCTCTTTGTGAAATGTGTAAAATGGTAGAATATGTTTTGATGTTCTCTTATCTTTGTTTAAAACATACAATTTAGTATTATTTAATTATTTTTTATTGCATGTGCTGTACCAAGAAGTGTCACACACATTATTGCTATCTAGTAAACACAGCCGGGGGGATGAGGAAAATAAATCATTAATGGTGAAAAGTAACAACTTCTTTATTAAAACCATCACAACACAACTATATCAAGGTCAGTGCCTAGTTTTGGCTCTGCCAAATGATGACAGAAATGATATGTATGATCTTAGTGGGGTTTACCAACTACAATGTACTGACTGTCCATTAAAATATGTAGGACAGACCAGACATACCTTTAAGGTCAGATTCAGATAACACATATGAGACAAAAAATAACAGACAAAGCTCCAAATTTGCTCACCATATATTGGACACCACACATGAATATAGTACGATAGACAAAACATTAGAAGTTCTATATATCGGCAAGAAAAGCCGAACCTTTGATACATATGAAAGATTTCACATTTATGAAATCAGCGAACTAAATTTGCAACTGAATGATAATTTTACCGAAATGTTTAACCCTATATATGATGTAATCATTGATATATACAAAACATAATATACAGTCATATCCCCTCCCCCCCACCACCACTTCCGCATACACCTTATCGCTACCTCCCCCTCCCTCCCTTGCATTGACTTTAATCTTACATCACCAAATCAGTTGTTTACATTCCCTACAGTATGGACAATACTTTGTAAGATGAGGCACTGACTAAACAATAAGTAATAATACACTATATCTTCAATACCAAAATCAATTGTTGATTATAACTAGGGACCGGATTTTTATGCCCTAATAATCCCTTAAATATGTATGCATTTATGCATGAAAAACTTCCGAAATATGCACTAAAATATGCACATAAGAATTTATACCAAATATTAAAATTGATTTTACATTATTTTAGGACCAACAAATCAATATTTAAGTTCATTTTATGTAATCACTGAATGATTCACTTGCAAGAAAAAGCTATACTTAAATACAAATCATGCAACAAAGCCTACATTCATTCATTCATTCATCAGTAATCTGCCAAGATGACAGGTCCACAGTCTCTTCCAAAACAGTTCCTCCACTTGATGTGATCTAGAGTTTTCTCCTTCAAATGAGAATATCCTCTTCTGTCCCCAAGGTCATCCAGCAGCTTCTTACGTCTTCTTCCACGTCTTCTGGTCACTTCTATCCGCCCCTCTATCTTTCCTTCAATAACTTCTTTTAGAAGGCAGTTACTGCATAAGATATGCCGACATATTTCATTACAAATTTAAAAAACCAATGGTACTCATATTTAGCTCTCCAAATTTTCAACTTCTCTTCTGTTGCAGTTCACAATTACTAAATGTTTTAGGTTTTCCATAGTTAGTCGCCTCCTACTGTCTTGTAAGATGTCCTTATAGCGGGAAAAACTTCTTTCCACCTCACAGGAACTTAGGGGCACATGTACAAAAGCCACTATTTGCTCCACTGTTAGTGATTTTTTACTTGGCAGTTCAGTATGTTCACCAGCTAAAATTTCCTCAATTTCACATATCTGTTCATATCCTGGATTTTTTGAAAGAATGCTGTGTAATTTACAAAGTTATGTAAGCTGTGTAATTTTCCTTTACTACTTCAACTTTTCCAGGAACCGAATTCAGTTTGGAAACAGTGGTTTCGAACACACTTAACAACTGATACAAAGTAGTATTACTATTGCTTGCCTCCAGTGAGGAAATGGCAGATGGAAGATGACAGAAGTGAGCAGATATATAGAAAAGATTAGTTTCTAGTTCTGCATTTTTTAGTACATCTTGGGCAATTTGAATTGATGCTGCACTTTGGGATCAAATGTATTCACGACATTCCTGTTTCTAAATGTTCAGTATAATAACTTGCTGCACACAGCCACGTGCCCCAGTGCATTAAAATTGGTTCTGGCAGAAGTGGAACGCTCGGTGCTACTGCTTTAAAGGCTTCTTTTCTGTATGGCGCTTTAACAAATACCTTCTTCACAGAAGACACCAACTTGTCAACAAGTGGAAAATTTGCACAAATTGTTTCTGCAACACAGTGCAACCCATGGGCAAGGCAAGTCAAATGTGTCATATTTGGAAATATAACTTTAAGAGCAGTACCAGCTTTCATCATATAACTTGCGGCATCAGTCACAAAGAGCAGTACGTGCTCATACTGAATGCCATTCGGCCATAGTAAATTCATGGAACTGATAAAAAGTTCGGAAACTGCGGAGCTATTTGTGGTTTCAAATTGCTCTACTGCAAGAAGATATGGGGTAGACTGTTCATCTTTATTAAGGGATCCAACTATACAATTTGCAATAAACTGTCCCTCACAATCTTGTGTTTCATCGATTGATACCCACACAAAATTATCTTTAATCTTAGCTCTAATGCTTTCAATTGTAAGATCATAACATTGTTTCATATAATTTTTGTGCACAGTAGATTTACTGGCACTTTGCACTGTGTATACTTCTCTATGAAGTTTCTCAGAGTAGGATTGGTTATTTTCCACAGCGGAATATCTGCTGCTAAAAAGGCTTCGCATAAATCAAGGAAAACTGTGAAAAACTATTATTAGAAAATTCACTAAGCAATTTTTGAACAGGAGCACTTTTTGTGGATTTAATTTTAATATTCTCTTTGTGTACATTAGTGTTCAAATGCTGAAGCACTTTAAAGTGTTTTCTACAACCGTTTTCTCACATGCTCGGCAATAAAGAATTTCGTTATCCGTACTTATCATCTCTCCTTCGAACTCCCGCTGATACAGCTGTAATTTAGTTTTCTGACATACTTTCACTTTCGGCATGACTAAAGAAAGCTAAACAAAACTTAACTACAGACTAGTCACCACTAATGTGAATAGCCCCCAGATTCAAATGAAGAAGTGTAACGAACCTCATGGAGACTTTGGAAATAAATAAGTGAAGTCCCTTATCGGTTGAATAGTATTACGTTGATAGCAGCTACATGTGAACGCTTCCGACTAATCTCTTTGCAGCCACTTTGACGGTACACGGATGAGGCAAGTTATGAGTAGAGGGATTGGGGAAGTCCCGTCCTGAGTATTGAATCAGAAACATGAATGATGATGTAATGTTGAGTCAAATATGCAACATATTCTAATACAGAAAAGAAAAATTGTATACGCATGACCATGACTGAAAATTTGAACATAAAATTAAGAAATATATATGATAAACATTTTTAAAAGGAATATGCAGTATAAATAGAGATCTTCAAAAATGTGATGCTTATTCATAAAACAGGAAAAATATGCATTTATATGCACCATCAAACCATGTCCAAAATTTAAGAAATGAAGTAATTCATACATATATCCAAACAAGCATACTTTCTGGTTGCAAGAAAGAAATACGCATTTGCATTAAAATCCAGTCCCTAATTACAACAAAATTTAATACTATTACTTTCATATCATTTTCAGATTAACATTAATATTACTACATCTACATCATGAGCCTCCAATAACAGTTTTTTTATATACACACGAAATATAGAATACTCCAATTTGTCCATGGGAACGCAACAAAACTACAAAAACCAACGACTGACTCGATGATGTAAAGCATCAATCGAAGAATTTTATTCTTGTTTTATACTATAACTTTTGTTTTATATAATCTAATTTATTGTATTTTTATGTCAAGTATTTTATATAATTAATATTATTGTATCCAATTTTACTAGTACTGCAGTTCAATGGTGTATATATGTTGGCCATATATTTGCCTGATGATGGTTATGAGTAGCCGAAACTAGGCACTGACCTTGATATTGTAACGTGTTTCGTTACCGAAGACGCCGTAGAGATGGTTAATTGGTTTATTGAACAATCTACAAATAACGGCTACNCGTTACCGTGCGAAGGAGGGGGAGGGGAGCGCTGACTCACCCGCCGCGTCACTGCTGGTGTGTGGGGGGGGGGCTCGGCTTGGCGCAACATGTCACAATATAGTTGTGTTGTGACGGTTTTAATAAAGAAGTTTTATATTATAACATAACAGGATGCATGAAATGAAAAAGGTGAAAAGTAAGTTGTCCCTGTGCTTAATTAATTAAGCACTATGATATGAAGATATACAGGGGCCTAGGTATAGCTTCATTCTTTCCTAACCTAACCAGGAATTAAATTGACTTTGTGTAGGTATGTCTGGATGTAAAAGCCCTTGGGGAAAACACACAAATTCTTTATGCTAGCTATGCTATGTTACTGATTTCCATTAGTGAGAAAGCAGATTTCTGTACATGTCTACAAGAACTTGAGTACTGAGATTGCAGTATGATAGTAGGCATTATAAAGGGGATGGTACTGCATAAACAGCAGGCCAGCAATGAACATGGTTTATGCCTACATTCTCATGTCTTATTCTTTAATGAAAATGTGTACAATTTACCTGTCCCAGGCTTCACTAATAGGTCCTCAAATACATTTATAGAAAAAGCTGTCACAAAAGAGCACATGGGGGTGCCACTTTGAGCAGTGAGAAATGCATTGGGTGGATGGTGGTATTGAATGACATATAAAGGTAAAGCTATCCCTGCAACAGGCTGTGAAGGCCTATAGGGTTGTGGGACGTTGAGGCTCCTACACCTTCTAGACAGTTGACTCAGAGATGGCCGTAAGGTTGTCTGCCTTATGCGCTGCCTGCCCTTTAACCCCCAGAAAAATTCCTGGTACTCATTTCTGTTAAGAGGCTGAGTTGACCCCAGGGACATAATGTAGCTGGAAGGATTAGGAAAATTGAAAATATCCAATGACATCAGGAATCAAACCCGCGACCTTCCGGCTTGTAGCACAGTGCCTCAACCAACTACACTACCACGTGCCCCTGTTGCATGACGTATATCTCTCAGAAATCTGCATAAAAGCACTTAACCAGTTGGATGAAAGAAAATCTGTTACAGCAATCAGTGCATTTCTCACCTTAATATACAACTGCAGGGGTCTGAAACATAAATGAAATGTATAACAGAGATGTGGTTTTATAAAAGAAAACAAGTGTTAAATTTGGCAGAAAATTTCTTTCTGAAATGACTTGTGTACAATTTTTTGCTTTAGGCACAATGAAACAGGTGTTGTATAAATATTTACATTTGTTTCCTCAGGGAGAGCTTGGGGTGATCCATGTGGACAGCCAGTACTGTGTGTACATGGCATCCTCGACAATGCAGGTAGCTTCGATGGCCTTATACCTCTTCTTCCATCCATATTCTATTGTGTGTGTGTTGATTTGCCTGGCCATGGTTATTCATCACATTTTCCACAAGGGCTTCCTCTGGATTTCATGGATTATGTACTAGCCCTTGTCCGTGTTCTGAACCAGCTTCAGTGGGAGAGCTGTTGTTATATAGGACACAGCCTTGGTGGCCACCTTGGTCTGTACCTATGTAGCTTGTGGCCAGAGAAAGTCAGGAAGCTGGTTTTGTTGGATACTATTGGTCCCATGTATGTGAATGCTGGTATGTATCTCTCACACAATAATATGATGATGGAAGAAGTTTTGACTATTGAAAAAAAGTTTTCAAAGGAGAAGAGTCCTAGTTACAGTTACAAAGAGGCTCTAGACAGAGTGACGATCAATAGGTACAGCGAAATAACAGAAGAAGTGGCTAAAATTCTGCTAAGACGTTCCCTGATGAAGAATGATGATGGGACATTTCGCTTCATAACAGATCAGCGTCTAAAAAGTGGTCTACGGCCATTGCTGAATGAAAGGCAACAGCAATTGGTATGTATATTTATAACAAATATTACCTGAAATTAAATAAAATATATGCCGGATTTCAGGTTCTCAGTGGTGACTACAAAGAATTGTGCCTTCTGTACTATAAGTAACTGTACGTAGTGTGGTGGAAGTCAACTGACGTTCTGAAGGAACATACTGCCTCCATCTTCAGGGTCAAAAAATAAGCTAAGCAGAACCTGCTTACTGCCTGCTTCTTGATGGTTTCTTGCTTGGCTCACTCTTCTGTGACAATGAGGATGGAAATGACACATTCATTTGAAACGTTGACTGACTCACCAGACTACATGGCATTATATCCCAGATGGTAGAACTCTTCAGATACAAATCTAATTTAATGACAAACTAATTTTCAGTAACAAAAAACTGCATGTCTGCTTGTGTTTATTCATTTTTCTCTGCTGTACCACTAAATTTTAGAATTTCACAACTTCAAGTTATTAATTTTCTGCAGTGTACCCATGAACCAAAACTATTCAGTACATTCATAGCATTTTGTATAAGTAAATCATCTGGAATGTCAAGAAACATTAATGTTCACGGAAGGTAACTGCTGAAACATGTTTACTTTTATGGCTTTTTTTCTTACTTTGAGATGCAGCTCAATAAATGAAACAATATAATAGGCCCACACATTGTTCTGCACATTCAGAATGAAAGGTTGCAAAAATGTTCCTACCATATTTGTCATGTCTGTCTGCACATACATCAAGAAACCTGAAGCAATTTTAATTTGTCTGTTCTATATACATGTACTTTAAATTTACGAGCTTACCTCAAACTAAGAGATGGTGCTTCATGGCCATACAAAGGAACTGGTAAATTAATATTATACTGAAGATACTGCAGATATATTAAGCAGTTGTTGACAGTTGCAAGCCTTTCAGCTTGGGGTTACAACCACATCTCAATAGAAGTTGTTGTAAATGCAAAGAAGGTAATTTTACATATTACAGAGATAAAGGCTTTGCATCATTTAGATTTTTTTGTTGTGCGTTTCAGGAATTTGAAGACAGAGAAGATAGAATTTAAGAGTATCGCTTTTGACACACTCAGCATGCATCTATTGAAAACAACTGGAAATTCTTATTATGTACATCTTTTCTAATTTCCAGATATTGAATGGTGCAAAATGCCCCATTCTGGCAGTTCTGTCATCTCTTCCAAGGATGATAGGAACAATAGATGATGTGATGACAGATTTTGAACTATTCAACAGTAAACAGAATTTTCAACGTATCGATGTGGAGGGGAGTCATGATTTGTACATGAATTACCCAGAAAGAGTTACTCCATATATTGGCAAATTTTTAATTAATCAGAGGTGCGCTCTGTGATAATGAATTTCAGCTGAAATAAATCAGAATTTTAGATGCCTGTGCATGGTTATAGAGATTGATCAAGAAATCACAGTCCACTGAACTTCATGTATCATGGAAATGTTTATGAAATAGGGGTAGAGTCTGTCAAGTACAAGAAACAGGAAATTCATTCACAAAGGCAGCCTGGCATGCTAAGCAAGGACAAGTCAGATAATGTTTGATAATAAACACACATTTTACTTGTTGAAAAGACATCAGCTGCCCATGCATAAGTGGTGTACGATGTAGACAACTGAGAGAAGTTACACACTGTGCTGGTTTACAGGGAGGGTATGCATACATGAGTACAGTCTTCTGGGTTTATCAACCTAACATCAGTCTGACAGCTTGGAGGAACATATCACCTCCAACATCAGGGTTGAAGCAGGTTACCTGCTTCTGCTGGGTTTTTGCTTGGCTTACTCTTAACTCAGCTTTGTTCCCAAAGATGGAGGTGTATGTTCCTGCAAAACATCGGTTTTTTCTGAACTGCACAGTATTATAACCCATACTCTTCACAGTCATCACCATGGAACATTAAATCCAAAACATAAAATTGGGGAGAGGGGTCCCCAGTAGACTGTTTAACAGCTACTGTGAAGCAAGCTAATATAGCAGCCTACCCATTCATGCATACCAATTCCCACACTGCTTTAATTCCAGATACTGTACTCTACTCGAACTGTGTAATAACTGATCATGAATTTCCTGTATCAAAATGCCATGTGTGAGATAAAGATTGGAACAAGTGTTCATATGTGATAGCTATGAGGAGAGAGTTCTGCAAGAAATTTATGAAGATTCTGCGATAAATTTCAGTATGTTACAGTTCCACATAGAATGTTACTGACAGAACTAAATTAATTTAGAGACGCCTATTACTGAGGGGTGTCTGGAACACTGTTTGCACTGGTGGCCTTCCAGAAATGAAGTAGTGGTGCTAACCGGTCAACTGGGATGTTTTGTAATTTTGTTTCTATCTCAAATTTGTTAATGTTTATAGAGCTTTATTTTGCTATTTGCTACATAATACAGCTTTGTAACTAATTTCAAAGAATATATGAAGTTTACTATGTACTAAACAGAATATACAGCAGTATTACTTTACCATTACATTATTCTGTCCTAGCCTGTACTGCAAATAATACCATGAGTTGAGGTTCTGAAATACTGAAGTTGTGTATGGGGTATATGTGTCAAGCTTCTTCACAAAAGGGGTAACAGATTTCATCAATTGAAGTATCATAATGACCCATGCTCAGTATATTACCTACATAAAAAAAAAACATGTCCAGCTAAAATTCCAGATATTTGTGCAGGTCTGTGAAGAAAGTACATACTGAAACTTAATACTTTCCACAATTCTTATCTCTACAAGTGCCATTCTTCATAAGTATTTACAGTAATCTTGCCTGAACATTTCTTGGGACTGTCAGCAGTCTCTGTGGATTTCCATTCCTGTGATATATCCAGAAAACTCTTTCCAGTGATCATACACATAAGTGATGCTTTCTCATCTCAGTTCACTGTGTGTGTCATTATCTGTAAAAGCAAGCATAAGTTTCTAAGCATACTGTTATAATAACCATAAACTTTCAAACTCAAAATCTTTGATGACTGTCAATAAAAGTTTTAATGTTTAACTTCACTTTTGGTGCTCTGATGTGTAATACAAGAAAACAAATAAAACTATACTGAATATGTATATAGTATTCTTTTTGAAACTTAGTAATTTGTACATATCGCTTGATAACACAAACAAGAACACTGATTCCTGATTACTTGAGCAAAAATGGAAAACTGTGTTACGTACTCTTCATTATTAAAACAATGTATAAGCGGAAAACATGAATATTTTGAGATAAAAGGCACGACTCATTCAAAATAGAATTGGAAATGTAACCTCAATGTTCAGCGAATTTCTGTCCTTTATGCTGAATTCTTCAGGAAAGGGTAAATAATGGTAATAAGATCAGCTTTTGCTACTACTTTGCCTTTTTCTCAGTCATCGCTGGTCCATTTCAGTACCATGTGTTCAACCCGGGCTGCTAACAATTCTCGGAAATTGCAGTTGCGTTGCGGTTGCTAGTTTCCTTGGTGTGCCCTCGCCCTAAATCTCACAGTAGAAACATATCAGTCCTCTGTAGGATTATTCCTTTCTAACCAGTTGGTATCATTGAAGCGGTTAAAGTTTGAAATGCTTCTTAATTTTAAAAAATGGGAGACGAAATAAATGTAGGGTATATGGATAAACTAGGCAAAAGAACGCAGGATGAGTTATACGATCTTATCGAAAAGGTTGAAGATTTGAAATTGCAAAAGCAAGGAGAGGACGCCGAAATTAGTTTTTTTGTTAGCTTGAGTGATCGTGTGCAAGCCGTTCAAAATCTAAGGGAGAATGAAATGAAAGGTTATGTATCGTTATTATATTACAAGATTTTGCTGTGTATTATTTCATATTCGAGTAAGCTTTAAGCAGGTAACCCTGATCCCAGAATTCGTGGTTCTTATGCTTAGTAGACCAAAGATGTGGGCTGGGAATAAACTGAAAACCAAGTGTATATTCATGCATTGAAATTGTATTATGATGTAAACATACATTGTCTTATTTTATAAGTCTTCCTGACAATTGCTTAAGAGTATTAGCAAGATAAATTGACACAATTCTGTATCTAAGACTTTTACCTACTATAGATGTAATGGAATAAGGAAGAAATAATAATAATAATAATAAAAAGGCAAGCTCACAACATGTAATAAATAACCAGTAAGCTCTTCACCGTTGTGCAAAGTCAAAATATCCGCTAATGAAAATAAAAATTATTTTTATGAACTAGCATATCGAATTGGGGAATATTTGTTACCATTCAGTTACCTCTCTTCTGACAACACGAAAATACAAGAAATTTAATTTTAGTTTTGTTTCTATGGGCTTGTCAGCTTTTCTGGCTATCGCCTTTACATAGGGAAGTACCTTTTGCATTGGCTGTATGTGATTAATTCACTTAATGAGGGTTGGAGTGAAGCTGGTTCCACTTGGCATGGCGGCCACTGATTGGCCTATTGTACCTACCCCAGGTGATTATGATGATGAAGAATTTGGTGGAATGAAGATTGGCAATGGAAACTGAAGTACTCTAAGAAAACCTACCCCAGCGCCACTTTGTCCACCACATATCCCACTTGACCAGACCCGGGATCAAACCCGGGCTGCCGCGGTGGGAAGCCAGCCGCTAACCGCTTGAGTCATGGCATGGCATCTGATTTACCATTCATTATTTGCGTATAGAAGTGTTATTTTTATTAATCACGTACCAGACAGTGTCACTTCAAAATAACAAATAAATTAAATTAATTTTCAATTGTTGACTATCCACCATGCAACAATATCAAGATTTAAAATTTGTCAATGCACTACATGTTTTGGCCCACCTGACCATCATCAGGTGTGTCAAAATTCAAAGGAACTGCGCCTTCCATGCTCTTCGTGATTGGTGTTTTCGTATTTACAGTGTTTTTGAGTGAAGTTAATATACTTGCATGGTAAACAAATGAAAATGTATTGTAATACCAGCTGCAACAGAATGCTAAGATACAACAAAATAAATGAAATGTCATACATGCTCTCCATATTTCAGAGCTTGATAGCAGTGTAACTAATTTGAAGAAACACCTCAATGAATTGCAAATAAGTAAGTTTGAATATGAAAATCGCTATCTTCGAGAAAAGGAAGAATGTGACAGACTAAAGGAAACTGAGGTAAATATTAATTCTGATTTTAATACTTTACAAAATCAATTCAATTATATGATACAAGGGGCTGTGAGACTGTGATGATGAAACTCATGCCAAATTTCTTAACTTTTGCTGTCAAAGCAAGGGATTTTTATGATCCATTTTTCTTATTTAAGTTTCTGCATAACATTGTATATTTAGGATCATAGACTGTGAAGTTCATTGGCCCAAAACTTTAAATAGCTGATTAAATTTAATATCTAGAGGACAGCATGCTCTTGGTTTAACATATAGAGACATTCATGCCTGATTGTTAGAAGTGTTAATAACTTATCCTGTAAGCCATGTTAGAAGTGTTAATAACTTATCCTGTAAGCCATTTTTGTTATGCAGGGGATATCTTGCTCTGATTTTGATTGTTCAACATTATTAGTAAAAAGAAACCAGTTCTGCAATCTGTCAGCAATTAAAAATATCTCTGATTATTAACAATCCAAATTGCATGTTACCGTAAAAGTATACTAATAGAAAGTTTCTCTACTAATATTTCAAGATAAAAATAATTAATTTAGAGGTAAAAATCAGCTACATTCTTCGGTAATAGTGTCAATGTAATTTTAAAATTATCAATCCATATATGTTGACGTCACTCATGGTTACGTTCTTAATATGCATCATTCTGACTTCACACTCTTTCACAGTAATCCACCATGTATGCTTCATATTGGCTTGCAGTATAACAGATATTACCTTAATGTAAGTTACATATAAAATTTTTGACCAAGGAACCAGAAATCTATTAGTCTCTCAAAGTCTCGGAAACAGTTGCGTTGCTTATGTATGGCTCTCAGTATGAATAAAGCACTGTTAATGGGTTTCATTACATTTTACATTTCAGGAAATTCTGAGGAAAGAACTTCATGACACCTGTGCAGTTGTACAGAGTTTAAAAGAAGAAATAGATCATCTGAGTGAGGAAACAAAACCAAGTAAAGAAGATGTAGCTATACTCGAAAGAAATCAGTGTGTATTTTCTTTGGTTCACACTTCTTTCATGTGGATGTCACTAACACAGTGGCATCCATCTACACAGATTGTAACAAAATAAAATCACTGCACCTGTAGGTACTATAGCCTGAATAAATATTAGTTACCAAACAGGCTGGTCTAGAGGTAATGCTCCAATCTTGTATTCAGGAAGTGCTTGATTCATATCTTGGCTGGGACGTGAGCTATCCTGACTGGGGGTTTTTGCAGATTTCCTCACCAGGCAAATGTCAGAACAGTCTCTTGATTAGGCCATGACCACTTCCTTCAATCTCAGTCCCAGTGCATCAATCTTGTCATCCTGTCATCTCATGCTGTAGAATCTTGATATCAAAAAACATAAATAACCTACAAAAAACATTATATCAAACAAGTCATGCGTAGTGAAAGTGTTCTGCTGTGAGGGAATGCTGTTATGATAAGCATCATAATCATCAATTTCATCAAATATAGGGAAAGTCTATAGCAATACTGGATATCGCAGTCAGTATAGCAACTGGCTATGGGCTCGATGACCAAGGGGTTGGAATTAGAGTCCCAGTAAGGTCAAGAATCTTCACTTCTTCATGTCATCCAGATGGGCTATGGGGCCCACCCAGCCTCTTATTCAAGGGGTAAAGCGACCAGGGTGTGAAGCTGACCACTCACCTCGAGCTAGTGCTGAGATCAAGAAAACGTGGATCTATACATCCACTCCCTCATATGTCCTCATGGCATAATGCTTAATTACAGTCCATTCGCGGAGACGAGAGAGTCCTCGTAAACAAATGCATGCGGTATCTCCTTTGCTCTTTGAATGAAATCATGCAGCGATCATGTGATGCGTGTTTCATTGCAGGGGCATCCAAAGTTCACTCTTCAGTCTGATTGCAGGTTAATGTGCGTCCGAATGCAGTGAGTACACTGAGTAACTGCGCGCTTTGTCCACTCCTTGCTGTCAGCTGTGGTAACTCGGGGCTTGCTATGTTTATGCTGACTGTCTCTTCTCCACGAATGGACTATAGTCGAGCACAGGGACAACTTTACCTTACCTTACCTTACCTGTAGTAATAATGAATGAATATGTATAATTTTCACTTGAGCGAATCCTTATATAAGGTGAGCACAAATGATCTCTGCAATTTCAGAAATTAGTATGAAACAGTCAGGCAAGATAATATATCAGTGTGGGGTTGTTATTAATGTTCACCACACGCGCTTGCTATTTGCCTATTCTCACTGATTCGCCCTCACTGTTCATTCCACCGCGAGTGTGCCGGCAGATTCTTGCTCCTCTGTAGTAGGCGGTTGCCGGAAGTTGCCTGGTCACGGAGCGCGGTTGCTGGAAGACATCTGGTCGCGGAGCGCGGTCACTGGAGTGGCGGCAGCTGTGCCAGTTGCCCAGTGAGTCTGGCATGACCGCTGGAGAGCTGAGGCAGCCGTCCCTGATGCAGTGAAGTGCCGATGACTCCGAAGTCCGATCGCTCTGGACTAGGTGTGATGGCTGGCTGGCTGATGTGGTCACTGACGATTGCGAGCTTTGGGCTCCACCTTTTATACCATGCTTGATGGAGGAGCGAAACTTGCAGTTGCGATTGTGAGCGCGTGTAATGATTACGAGTGAGCTGGGCATCAAGTGCCGTATAAATATGAGTGGTGGCAGCAATGTGATTGGTTAGCTCGCAAGATGGTGAAAAGTGAGCTGGACAGTGAGTGCTGTATAAATATGAGAGCTGACAGCAATGTGCTATTGACTTAGGAGTGAGTGTTGTCCATTGATTGGCGAAACAGTGTGATAGTATGTGGGATGTTCCCACATCAGATTACAACTGTCAGTTTTTAACCTTGGTGTGCACATGCAGTTGCAGTAACTTGTGATAAGGGGCAATGCAGTGAAGAAAGTGGTGACACCTCTGCAGAAAGCAAGTATTCCGTGGTTTAATAAAACTGAATGTGTGAAATGAGTGCAACGACCCCTTTGGATGGAATTTGAAGCAGATCAACCCTGTAGGCCATCCATTTCTGCATTTTACAAACAGTTCTGTAAAACATGTTTGTGTAAAAGAAAAGTTCTCTTGGCTGGAGAATGTGTGGATGGAACTACAATATCAACTTGTTCTTTATAGTTACCAATAATTCACATATCAAATGCCTCTAAGTGGTAAAATAAACTTTGACAACAGCAGTTTAATATCTAAATGTTTTAAATTGTAAAGTATTTCATATGTAATGCAACAAAGTCAGTCCTTTCTTAAACTACACTAAAATATAGTTAATTCACTAAAAAGTGTCTGTTAATTATTTTAAAATGTCATTAACTATGTGCGTGCAGATGCATTTTTGAAATTGCAGAAGTCACTTATGCCCATCCTGTGTGTAAGTTTTCAAATAATGCATCCCTCAGTTACCTTTAATATACAAGATTTGAGGTTTTCACAGCAAATATTAAAATTATGGTCTGAATATGATGCTTTGCATCCTGGTAGAGGTTATGATGTGGAAGAAGTCACTTCTTCCTTGAAGATGGAGGTAGCATGGTCTTAAAAAATGCTGGTACCTATCTGTTAGACTACAAGATGTCACACCCAAAAGACTGCAATCTTAACTTTAACTGTTTTCAGTGCTACCATGTGTGTTTTCCCTTTTGTTCTTCCATACTGAGGATACAAATAATAATTTAAGGCCTTCCCTTTTGCACTCATCTGCGAAATGGTCATCCTTATTTGCACGTTTCTTACTTTCTGTTGTGGAAGTACACTGTACCTATACAAAAATACAAGGTAGATGTTACAAACATGGAATCATGTAAAATTATCAACCATTTACTAATCATCAGTTTACAAAATCATCTTGCAGTAGTGAGTGAATTTTTCAAACTGTTGGTACCACTCCCAGTATGATCATCTCCCTAGTTTTGCTAGAACAGTTGATACATTTCTGATCACATAGGAATACCCAGTTTTATGGAGCATGTAAGAATTGTCACACACCACAAAGCCTGTTCCTGGACCATTTTAATCCTGGGTATGCCATCTACTGTATTTTCTTGTGACATTATATTCAATTCTATGCCATTTAATACCTGTCATATTGATGATGACATAGAAAAGAAAAGGGTGGGTGTCCAGCTACTCTTCCACAAAGATAACACTATTTTTTAATAACTTTCATTAGTCTGATGACATACTAATCCACATTCTGTTTTTCAGGTCTCTGCTGAGGCTTTACAAAAATCTTACAGGACTAAAATGGGACTACACTGCACCATTGTCGAATCATGCAGGGAGTATCCTTTAATGGCAGGAATACACCAGAAAGTCTAGACAGATATTATTGGCACTTATAGTGGAAGGTCTGACTTTCCTGTTTATTTTCTTTTTAACTGTGAGGTTTGTTCAAATTAAATACGTTCATGATGTTACTACTAAACAAGGCCAGTTGAACGAGTTTCATTTGAACAAGCCCCAAAATACAACAGTAAATAAAGAAAACAGATAATAAACCATGAACAGCAAGGGCTGCGTCAAGGAGCTGCAGATAATTATACATCCTTAACTTGAATTTTAGGTGTTTTTAATTCTGTTAAGAACTACTGCAAGTACTTCTGCTACCCAGCAACAGAAGCCAATGTTGAGCGTGTGTGGGATGAAATTGAGAGTGCCGCCCATGCAGTGTGGTCAGATTAACAGCTAGGAACCACTACCCTAGCTGAAGTGCTTACATATACTCACCTTTGTGTCTGTCTTGTAGTTTGTATTTGCTTTAGACCCATGATCTTTCAAGATTTATTTTTATGTATTGTAATAGTTTTGCTGTAGATGTTGGTTCCTCATTCTAGCTCATGCAGTATCAAATTAAGTTTCATCTTACACATTACCAAAGGGTTTGTTACAGATTGAGAGGCACATAAATAATCATCTTGATTAGGAACACAATTAGTTGAACCTTGTTTTGCCTCACATGTCAAAAGCCACATCAAGAGATCTTTCTTTATTCCAGTATACACTAAAGTATACATTGGCTACTGAAAGAAGTCCCATGGATTGGAAGGATGCTGGTGGTTATTAGTGCTACCAGTCACCAGTTATTTAATTTTTGGAGCTCATGTGTCTAATTGTTGACATATTTGCTATTAAAGATGTTAACTAGCGATTAAATTCTGATAGAAACCAAATTTATGTTGTCTTTCCAATGTTATAGTAAGATTTTTGGCAAGAGGGAATAAGAGATTGAAGATGACCTCAAAGGAGAAAGAGAATAATGAATAAAATAACTTAGATACAGCATTAAGTCTTGGCCCAAATATTATAAGATTTCTCTTTTGTACAGATGTAAAAATATTGTATTTTTAGCATACTTAAATACAATAATGCAAAGAGGACAGTTGTGTAAATATTCATCCTAGCTCATATGAGCACAATTTGATCTCTCTGAACAGTCTTCCAGTTACATATATGAAAATCACCGCATGACAACAGTTTCAGTATTTGTCCAATAAAGTTTACTTCATAAATTTACCAAGATGCTTCTTTATTTGTCTATTTATCGAGCAGTCATTTTATTTCAGATTATAAGTTGTGAAAGTCTTTCTTTCTTTCTAGCTTGTCTTCCAATTCTCTAAAATTCCTTTATTCTTCTATCAGAATGTTCAGTAAACCCTCTTAATAATAGCTTTCAAACTTAGCACAGAATGTAACCATATGGCAAAGCATTTACATAAAATTCATCTTCTAACTGTATCCCATGTGCAAATGGCAATGGAATTATCTTAGCAAACATAAGCTTCACATTGCAGACTAAAATTATTACCTATTAGGGGATGCTAAAGATAGAATGATGCAGTTACGATCTATAGAGATTCTCTGGCTGCTTGTGAGAACTTACTCTTCAAACTATGGCATTAGAAATGACAAAGAATTAATGAATAGCTTTTTCAGTCATACACTTCTTACAGACTTGGTTTCTGAGATATACGGATAAGCTGTTATGGCTCCCGTAATAACAATTTGAAGACTGACCAAATCAGGGCAGATTTTAATTTGGCATGCTTCCTCTGTCTGCCTGCTCAAAACATTGTTAACAACAGCCCTTCCCTCCCCCAGCCTTATCACTGAATTCAGTTCTTCCTCTTAAACTATCAGTCCTCCACCTGCCAGCATCATCAGAAGCTTGTAATTGGAAGGAAAGAGAATCTAGTAGTATGGGCAATCATACCTTGAAGACCAGTGACCATCTGTTATATTTAAATTCATCTGAAATTACTGGGGGTCATGTAGTCTAGTTTGAGTCTCCATCTCCATGCTCCAGTTCCACATGAATGAGTCCCTGATGAAATCTGAGTAACAACTTGATGATTTGCCCATCATAGACAGACACATAAGGTTGAAACAAGATGGCTGCCTGATTCACATGAGAACTTGGATTAGCTGTGCAGATGGCTGGAGTGTCCTTGTGAAGATGGATGTTGTACCAATATGCTATGGCACTGACCATTCCTGAACGTGTAACCATTGTACTTGTAATTTGTGTAGTCTGGTAGGTGGTTCTTTCTAAGCTGAATTTCAGCAATTCAACAGGCTTGCTTAGAACAGCAGTGGCAATAGTTGACAGATTAAGGTCTAGATGTTGTGACACCTGCAATGGAAGTTTGCAGATATAAGTAAGAACTGTTGGTGACACTGAAATTGTTATTGGTTTATTATAATGTAAATGCTGTATTACTGCAAATGTTAGTTTGGTGACAGTACATGAATTAAATTTGAGGTCTTTATGGCAGTGAAAATTTAGCCTGTGATGTGAGGACAGCTATACACAGCACAAAGGAAAGAATCCAACACACCAAAAAAAAAATATATCAGACTCACAACACTGTGCACAACAAAAGTAACCACAGCATGATAATGTAAAAAAATAACATAAAAATAAAATATTTTATAAGCATTTTATATTACTCATAAAATGCAAAATACAACGGCATAACAACAGAGCAGCAGTTTTCATCTACAATCAGATGATGACCAGTTAGGCCAAAACATGTAGTGTTAAATAAATAATACTGTTATATTTCAGAAGTGAACTGCTAGATGGTGTGCACACCAGTGACAAGCTTGGGATGGGACAGATCACAGGCTGATTGATGCATGTGCACATATGCAGTTCCATTTCATTTAAAAACTGGAATAATGTGGCATATTTCTGGCTCAACAAAACATGTGTAGCCAAATTTTGTTCTATCTCACCATTGAAATACTACGATGGGGTACCCAAAATAAACCGAACTAATTTTTTTGTGGGCAGAGCTTTTGTAGTACCGCGTTTTGCAGCTATGAGCGCATAAAGCTAACATTCCTGAGTCGATAAGCCGACTACCGTTGCTTCAGAAGGTAAGGACTAGTTTTGACAGAGTTTATAGTGACAACTGTTTTGTGTGATCGTCGTTTTTGCAATGGCTGATTTTCGTGAACAGCGTACGGCGGTGAAATTCTGCTTTTTGCTCGGGAAAAGTGGAACAGAAACTCTTGAAATGTTAAAAACGGTGTACAAGGACGATGCTATGTGGAAAACTCAAGTGTTTGAGTGGTTTTCCCGTTTCAAAAATGGTGAAATGTCAATTGATGACAAACCTCGTTCTGGTTGTCCTTCCACGGCCCGAACACATGAAAATGTTGAAAAAATTCGTGAAATCATCAAGGAAGATCGACGATGGACCATTGAAGAAATTGTGGAGCTGTCGGGAATGACTTGGAGCTCAGTTCAGCGAATTTTGACAGAATATTTGGGAATGAAAAGGGTGGCTGCGAAATTCGTGCCACGACTGCTGACTGCTGAACAAAAACAAGGTCGCGTGGAAGCATGCTGTGCTTTGAAAGAAGAGTCCCGAAATGATCAAAACTTTTTTTTGTTTCCTCGAATGAAAAGAGACATGAAAGGAAAGCGTTTTGCTGATGTTGCTGAGGTGAAGGAAAAAACGACGGAGGCGCTGTCAAGCATCTCAAAAGATGAATTTAGACAATGTTTTGAAAAATGGAATAAAAGACTAGACAAGTGTATTAGTGTAAGTGGAGAGTACTTTGAAGGGGATTGAAGGTTTCTGCTTAAAATAAATAAGTTTAAAAAAAATAAGTTCGGTTTCTTTTGGGTACCCCCTCGTAATAGAAAATGAAACCCATTCCACATTCTTGGATCATCTTTGTTACTACTACCACTAGATATTTTTAATAATGGAAATGCACATGTGCACATCCATCACTGTGTGCTCTGTCCCATCCCAAGCTCATCACTGGCATTCACGCTGTCTAGCGATTCACTTCTGAGGTATAACAAATACAAGAGACAAAGAGCCTTTGAAGTGTGATTTTAATATATGGATCAAGTTGCACAGGGACAGTAAAGTGATGGAGCTAAAAATAGCCTGTGGTCTTCTGAGTTATGACAACATGTCCTGAAGGTGGTTACCAACACTTTAGAGGATTAAACTGTCTCCATTTTCAGGGTATATGATAGAGGCATCATGTTTCTCTGAAATGTTGGTAACCACCTGTGGAACTATACGGTGTCATATAACTCAGATGACAATTTAAAAACAAATACAAATCCATAACAATAATAAAAGACAAGTGCTGTCTCTTTTATTTGCAAAGTTCCCAAATTTTCCTGAGGTCTAACTGTTCCGACAATTTCGTGGCTTCCCTCAACCCTCAGAACACAAATGCACTTAATAATTCTACAGGAGATGGAGGTAATGATTATAATATATTTCTAAGATCCTCCAACTTTTTTAACACTGACTGGGCACGTTACTCAAATTCATAAGGATCAGCCAAAGTATGACACACCTGATATGTGTTGATGAAGGGAGCTATATCATAACCACAAGTGTTTGAACTGGTTTGAACATGTGACACCTGAACCAACCAATCAGACTCCAGCAGCTGACCCATCACAGAGATATGCTGGGGTAAGAGAATGCCACCCTTGGCCAGTGATGACCTGGAACATTAGGAGTTGTGGGATTACACACAAAGAAAAAAGTGTTCATTGCCATCATATTAAAAACTTGTGACTGAATATTTTGCTGAGCCAGATCAGTAGAGTTTACGTCATCAAAATCTGTTTCTCGAATGTCAATTGTAATACTGCCTTAGCTCCATAATTAACTTATACAGGTAATATAGAATCATTAATTAACTGAATAAATTAACAATTTAATCCAGTAAAATACATTTTTTATATTACTATCTGCTGAAAGAATCTGGGTTAGAAGACCAATCAGAAAGACCACTCAGCAGGTTTAACAAAAAATATTAGACATTGTACAGTACACACCACACGATACAAACAAGCAAGGCAAGTTCATGCCTACTCTCATCTGGCGTACTACCTTCATATTGTATGGAGGTCTGCAAACTGATCACGTGGAGAGCTGTGCTAGTGGGATCATAAGTTCCTGATACCTATGCTAGAGAGAACAATGGGTAAGGGTCAGACGAAAGAAATCCTGATCTTCCTGGTCAGTGGCTGTGCATGGGGGCTAACAATCTGACCACTTTTAAGGGCGGAAAAATTCAGGGAACAAGTCCTCCGGGAGGGACTTTAAGCCGTGGGTCCTGTGTCGTAGATTTACAGCACGTAAAAGAACCTCATGTCTCTAGGAGACCTCTGAGCAAAATTATTAGGTAAAAACTTTCCCGCCCAAGTAGTTTCCAATGCCTCTGGTAGATGGGGGAAGTATCAAGGTACTGAGGGCCGACCTCGTTGGCTCAACGGGGCTGATAGCATGCACCGTCTACCGATAGGGTATGGGGACAGTAGAAATTAAAGGGGGACGCACAATGGACGAATAACTGCTCTAAGTGCATGGGGAAACCCACCCCCTCCAATAATAATAATCTGACCACAGAAAACGATATATGTTAAGAAACCTAAAAACAGATAATTTATGGAAATTATAATGACAAGTTATATGAATGAATAATTTATGAGAGAGGAAAGTGAAGAGATGGAAGAAAAGACAAATAATACAAAAGAATGCGCACCTATCACAAGGGAAGTCGAGGTCCTTATGTGACTGTAAAGCCATGATGTAAGTAAATCATTAACAAAAGAGGAGTGAATGTACTCATACTTAAGTGCTGGTATCATGCCGAAGACTGTCTCCTTAAGTTCACCAGTAAGATCCACCAAGTGTGCCATAATTACATCAAACTGAGCATTGCCATCTTCCAGTATTTCCTGTAATTGTTTATCAGTTACACACTGCAACTGTGTTGTAGTAATACCGTTCAACTCTGCAACCTTCCTTATAGCTGACTCGTCTTCCACTGAACTCACAACACACATCAGTCTGGCTGGATGACTCATGAGCAAATGTAAACCAAGTACAGGGAATGGAGAAAGATCTAATACTGAAGAAATATGTAGCTGTAAAAGAAAACTTCACCTGTATGAAAACATGAATTCACACACATGGCTTCTCTATTATGCAATTTTCCTTTTACAGACTGCCTACCCAGTGGCTATAAACAAACTGTACTTTACACTATAAATCGAACATGAAAGGCTTGATCTAGGTTACATACAGCCAAATCTATAAAAAATGTTCTGAGCACTCTTATTTTAAATCAGTATAGAAGAGTTAGCATATACTACAAATTAATAATTATAACTTACTGATCTACTTTGTATAATTTCCACTAATATAGTATTGGCCTACCTCAAAATTACCAGGCATAACCTTAAAATCACATACTGATGCCATATTTGCAACTTCTAACATAGAACATTATTTACAGAAAATATGTAAGTATTTCTGTGATATACTTGCATATAAAATTGAATATATATATATATATATATATATATATATATATATATATGTGCAATGCTTCATTAGCCATTAGTCATTTTACATTCTTCCATAATTTCTGGTAAAAAAAATCACATATTTTTCAAATACTAAAATATAAAGTTCAGAATCTTACAATCTTATACTAAAAAGTGGCAGTATCTGCCATGAGGGTACTAATGGTGACAGAGTATGAAAGCAGCGTGGATTCCATGAACATATATTATCCACATTTTTGCATCAAAACAAAATGTGAAGATTTTATGATAGCCAACTGACTGTAGACAGTATTATCAGAGAGAAAAATTCATGTACCAAGAAAATAAAGGAACAAGTGAAGCCCTCTACTGTTTAAACTGCTCTTTTCAACTACTTACACAATTACCAAAAGCTTTACCTGTTGATGCAGGACTACAGCAGTCTTCTTTAATGTTTCCATCCACAGTTCATCATTGAGAAACTGTACAACCCCTTGAGATACCACAGCACTGCAATCTAACCTTTGAGTACCACCAATAATGTCTGACTCTGGTACTTTGTGCAGCAATGTATTTGAAGAACTTTCACTTCTTGAAATGTCCAAACTGTCCAACATATTGGTATCATTTAATGTCACTTTATATTTTTCCTTTGTTTCTTTTAATACCATTTCTTCTTCTTCTTCTTCATTATGTTCACATAACAAATGTTTACCTGTTGAACTGTATGATGTAATTTTCCTGCAATTAGTGTTGTCAAGACATGAAGTTTTCCTTTTTGAATTTGCTGAAATATTTAATGGCAGGTGTTTGAAGGACTCATTGTCAGATTGTGCAGTGCTACTAGTATTTTCTGGGCTCTTCTGATCATTATTATGAAGATCTTTTGAAGACTGGGAATCATTCTGTATTGTAGATATTTTACTGGAAGAAAATGCATTCTGTAACTTGCTTATAGTATGTGCGTCTTCTGTTCTATGCTGATCATGGACATCGACTGACACTTTTCCACCATGGCACATAATATGTATGTTTAATTTCTGACCTGATGTAACACAGATGGGAGACTCAACAGGGAATATGGCTTGATCCCAACAATCTGCTCTGTAAACTCTGTCTCTGTCACTGTCATCACCAGGAGCAGATGAGAGGGTGGTGACATCATCAAGGTGTAGATCAAACCACATTGCTATAGCATCAACTTGACCAGACTGGGTGCATGTGAGGCAGTGTTCTACACACTTCTGTCCATGCAACCAAGCAGCCATGTCCTGGCAATCACTGAATTTGATATGCAGAGCACAGCATGGTGATGCAAGGGACCTGCACACAAATTAAGTATGTCTGTGACTGCTTAGGGCCCTGACCACAATTTCATTACTGGAGATAAAAGTGAACTCCTATGATTAAGCAGGCCGGTGTAAGCCTACATGACAAAATTTACTGTCCTTAATTAATTAAGCACTATGCCATGAAGACATATGGGGGAGTGGGGGTATAGCTCCACCATTCTTGACCTTGGCACTAGATGGAGGCTAGTGATCAGCTTCACACCCCAGTTGCTTTAACCCTGGTACCCACTGGATAGAAGGCTATGTGGGCCTCAGAGCTGGCCTCCGTGTTGTGGAGAAGAGAAAAATATTGTCCCTACCAGGAATCGAACCTTGGCTGTCCAGCCTGTAGTCCATCACTATACTAACTGAGCCATAACTAATGCCATGATAATATTTACTTAGAAAGAAAACATGTGCTGGTGAATGAACCAGTATTCACATCAACATCATAATTTATTTACAACTCAATTTTGTAAAATGTAGCAAATATTAGTTTCTCGAGGACTCTTGTTATTTTTTATATTTTCCAAAAAGAAATTCTGAATGCATACCAAATCACAATGCGTAATGTAGATAAGTTACATGAAAATAATCAACAGGTGACTAAATCAGACACTCATTGCTGACACAGAAACTAAAGTAAGTACATTACTTGTAGCCTTCAGGAACTGTGTTTAAGTCCTCGGTGTCATATGGTTCATCACGCTTAGCTGTTAGCCCCAACTTGCTTAGGTCAAGTTCCCTTCTGTTACTGCATACTTCTTGTAATTCAGGTTCTGCCAAACTTGATTCTTTCTGTGTCAGAAACAATTATCTCATATATTCCAATTTTATAGCAAAATATTTATTCTAACACAAACTCAACAGACAAGAAAGAAGTGAAGAATTTGTCTTCTGGGATGTGACACCATGCACTTTGAAGATGTTCACTGATGTTTTAGAAAAACATATTGCTTCCATATTCAGGCACAAATGTAAACCAAGTATGAAAAAGTGGTATTTATATAGGGAGAGAGGGCTGGAATATTGGTAAACATCTACCAGACCACATGGTATCACATTTCAGAAGATATTAATCTTCACAATGAGAGCCTCAATACCAGAAATAAAAGTGACATTGATTTCTTGAAGATTTAATATATATTTTCAGTTTTTAAGGTTTCCTGAAGTTGTAAAACAGCACATCACTGTATATCTTTAACTTTCAGAGAGATCATGCAATTACCTGTACGAGGTATGATAAATCCTGCTGTGTTTTGTCTGACTTTTGAAGCTGATATTTCCTTGCGATGTGAAGGCATTCTATAGGAACTATCCATATACCGGCTGCTTCAGGTACCACTTTCCCTACATTTGCTACTTGGTCTTTAGATCCCGGAGGTAACAACAGATGTTCCCAAGCATGGATAAGAGACTGCAATATACCTTCACCTAATAAGCCTGCATCCACTGTCTCTGTCACCACAAGGGATACTCTAGAAAAAGAAAAGACAAACGCTTTTATATGGAAAGGTTCCAAAAAGCTTCCAGTAACATTTTACATAATCATATAACACACTATGATGTGCCATCACATACATGAAATTTGTGGAAATTCATACAAAACTTCTAAAATTGTAAAGTGCCGTCTTTCACAAATTTGTTGGTCAACACTTTGAACAAAATCACCACTCACTACAGATGGCTGGCTGACCACTTCATTCTTCATTGTGAACATTTGTTTGCCGACCCATCTTTGAACATTCTACACCACTGTCTTACAGTTCCTTCACTCATTACACTTTGACCATAAAATGTGCATAGTTCATGACAGATTTCTGAAGAACTCATGCTTTTAGCATAAAGAAAGTGGATAACGGCACCACTTTTGCATCTGTCAAGATTATCAGTCGCAGGCAACATCATAACTCACATTGTAGAGGCAAGAAAAGACACTAGGTGATCAGTTATGTGATGGTTTACAAGGCAATAAGTCATGGGATATTACCTCACATATGCAACCTCTCCCCACTCCTATATTACTCCTACATGCATATGTAACATTTCTGGTGTTTCACAAAAATGAATGTAGGCTAAATTTGGCATATTCTGTAGGCCACCTTCCTTAAAATACATAATTTTGTGGGTTGGGCCACTTTAGCACTGAGCATCTCAAATATATTACAAAATCTGAACTGTAAATATATTTAAGTTAAGTTTAACATTTCTAAAGGTAGTGTATTACAATGATCATGAGTGCTCTTTTTACATCACACATCACCTTGAGATATTTAAAACACAGAACATGAGGAATTAGTGATATATTATGTTTGAAATATTTTAAGACAGTGGACAATGTCCAGAAAAAGTCATGCTTTAATATATTAATGAGCTTCGACCAGTGGATAGATTAATAGAACCCAGAGTCAGAGAGTGTTTACAGCTTTAAGAAGGAAAAAAGCTTTATTTCTTGCTTCCCTGTTGAAAAATTCAATCTGGTATGCATTCTGGACATAATTGCATGGGGAAAAAATCACCTTGCAGGCATATCTGTTGGAATGACTATATCAGTAGAAAGCTTGTTGATCAGAGTGACTTTGTCTGAAGCTCCATTGGCACACAGTACATCAGAAGCGATCTGAATCATTGTAGAGGAATAATCACAAGCAAACACTTGGCCAGCTCCTGCCTCCACAGCAAATAAACTGCAACCAAAAACTCAGATATTAATATACTTGACTTTGTAATGACAGTGTTCATATTACAAAACTTAATGCTAATAAATGTATGTGACGTGTTCTAAATCCAATGACTTAAAAAATATATAAATTTGGGATACACAGTTTCTTTTGGTTACTGAATTGTTGCCAGTTGGATGATGTATGATTGAGATGGGTATGAAATCTTTGGGTAGCTGAGTTTTATAGTATAGTTGACTCATGTACAATATATATGTTATATTAATATGTAGTTACTGACTTGTTCTTTAGCCAGAGTTTGTATCACCAAATATGGATTCTCGGAACAAATAAAGTGATTGATTGACTTGATGAGTGCTATGTACACTTCTCTCATACTACTAAGTGTTACCATAGAAATTATAATTTACGCTTAATGTAATCAAGAACCAACTAATTTGAATACACAGACGGTATATGATTAGCTTGTATCACAATATAAACACAACTGAGCAATTCCAATTATAATCTAAACAAATCTAATCAAAATGTTAATTCTAGAAGCAGAAGCTGATGTCTGAAACTGCACCTATTGCCAGTCAGATAACAGAAGATTAAATAAATAAACAAGTCCCTTACTTAAATGCCTATGATGAGCTGCTTTTGCAAAATATTACATAATTGTGTTTCAGCAAAATCACACTCATACATACATCTTCCAGTTTTGTTTAATTTTAAGATCAGAAGAATCTCTAGATATAGGACCTAGCTATCTATAACACAGAGAACTCATTATTAATTTATATTTGAAGAAAGCAGTCTTCTGGGATTTGGCACCATGTATATGTGGTGGTCTGCTTTTACCGTTCTCACGGTCTTGTCGCTTGCAGATTTCTTATACTTTTTCTTCTACCCTGAAGATGGAGGCGATACGTTCCTCCGTAACGTCGGTTAACACCACTTATACACGGTGCCAAATCCCAGAAGACTGCTTTCTTCATAGTCACGCCATGAAAGCCTCAAATCTTACTTAATTTATATTTGTTCACTGCACATAGTGTATGTCTGTCAGTTGGTTATCCATGTCTCAAATCTAAAGTTACTGAACAGATTTCTATGAAATTTTGTATGTAATGGTCTATATTGCTCAGTAAATATAATTGTTGTAGGGCTTGAGGTTGTCACAGCAGTGGTTATGAAGTGTACTCTCTTCTGGAATATAACGCCATGCAGTCTGATGAAAGACAGCCGATGTTTCAAGGGAACATATCTTTGGAGCTGAAGAATAAGCAGGTGGTTTGTGCTGTGTATGATTTATGTACCCCTTTTTGACATTGACACAGGTGTCCGGAGATAGGGACTAGCTCTATTGATTGGGCCCTACCTGAAGACGGAGATAGAATCCAGTCTCTGAAACGTTGTTTTGAAAAATAAACAGGGCGCTGCTTTTAGATAAAGACAAATAAATGGCTGCACCATATCTCAAGTGGTTAGTCGCTGGCTTCCCAACACAGCGGCCTGGGTTCGATCCCAGATCTGATTAAGTGGGATTTGTGGTGGACAAAGTGGCTCTGGGGTAGGTTTTCTCCGAGTTCTTTGGTTTCCCCTGCCAATCTTCATTCCATCCATGATATGTATATAGTGGCCGTCTTGTAGTGCACTCAATTTCACCTGTTACTTCACGACATGTTTCGGCAACATAGTGCCATAATCAGGTGCCCTAATTACGCTAATCTTTTGCATTGCTTGCCATTATATGTCTCTATAAAATTATTTAAAAAGTATTTCAAAAGTGCGTATTTGTCAACTATAATAAATTTACACACACTAAAACTTGTTAAGATTATTCGTCTTATGTGTCTTAATTAAAACTTGCATGTGGTTCTTCTACTATGGGGGTCATTTTTCTTATATTCTGTGTAAACCTGCAACGTGAAAAAAGGTAATTATTATTATTACTTTCGGCTTCTATCTGTTATGTGTTGTATTATAAGGTTTAGTACTCTTCATTCCACCAACTGCTCCACAATCACCCTCACCTATCATCTGGGGCTGGTACAATAGGCCAGAAGTGGCCGCAGTACAAGGGACTTAGTCCCGCCCCACTAGCATTAAAAAAAGAAAGACATAAACAGGACGGTGTTTTTAAATAAAGACAAGACGATGGATAATGTCCAAAAACATAATATTTGTACTCAAGCTAAATGCTAAAAGTTTCCTTTTCAATGACCATGATTATCCATTCTACCATGTTAGTGGTCAGATCACTCAGCTCTTGCATTCTTCCTCCATCTTTAACATGATTTGCAGCACCCAGCCATCCCCTCACTGTTACTTCTGATAATGCTGATTCAACAAAGCCAGACCTATCCTGTAGCTTGAAGATAATTATTGTGTCCAGATATAGGGCCACACCGGCTCAAGCCATACACTTAATTTCTCTCTTGATGGTGATTGGTTCGAAACTTGGATAGGACTGAAGTCTTTTGTGGTTTTTCTCAGTCCCACCAGGATAGTACTGTGGGAACATCCCACATATCACGCTATTTCTACAACGCTCACGATTCAACTCACTTTTCACCATCATGCGCGCTAACCAATCAAATTGCCTCCAACGTTCGCATTTATACAGCACTTGCTGCTAGCCCGCATCCACATCATTAGGCGTGCTAGCCAATCAGCGCTCAGCAAATTTTCGCTCCTCCATCACGCTTTGTATAAAAAGGCACAGCTCCAACCCAGCAGCACTGAGATGCACTGAGACACATTCAGTCAACATCAAGCAGCCAGCCAGCACACTTCGTACAGAGTGCTCGGTCTTCGAACGCATCAGCACTTCGCTGTGCCAGGCACGACTGCCTCGGCTGTCTGGCAGTCACACCCGACTCACTGGGCAACTCAGCCACCTTGATTCGCTGGTGGTCATACCCGACTCACTGGGCAACTGGCATAGCTACCGCCTCTCCACTCCTGCGACCACGCTCCACAAGCAAATGTCTTCCAGCAACCAGGCAACTCCTGGCAACTGCCGCATTGCGGCTAGGCAACCAACTCAGCTGCCGCAACATTAGTCAACACACTGCAACCAACATCTCTTTCAACCGGCATACGTAGGGCTACTTCACCGGCCAAACATCTCAGCAGCCAACGGTCCTTTTCAGGACCTACAAACTTTCCGAAGAAGTGGGTTGTCATTGGAGTAACGACAAATCCCCACAGTACCATAACCACTTCCATTCATATCCTTTGCAATTCAGTATTCACTACCACCCAATCATTTGACTGTGTACAGTCCCAGTCTCTGACAGCACTGTTAAATAAAGGACAAATAAGTTAATATTTCCAGTTATGTACCTTCCTTCAATTTAAACAATGGATGATAGATAACTGATTGTATATACTGAATTTTTATTATATATTCTAATTTTTAAATCCTGATGAAATGTATTATATTTGGACTGTTAAATTAAGTATCTGTAGTTATGTGATGGAGATAATTGCATCAAACTTCTATATTATGAATAGGTCTTTTGTATCAATTTATGATTGTGACAACGATAATCATATATCTGCATAAATTTGATCATATTTGAATATTTTATGTACAAATTTTGTATTGTGACTGTATTGCATGTTGATGGGTCCATTGTTTTTATATATGTGTTTATGTATTTTGACATGTTCTATATCCTATGGCATGCATGACCTGAAAGGATCTATGGAATTTAAAATAAAGTGAAAGTGAAAGTGTTTATACACAGAAGAAATTATCAGAAATAAAAACAGGTTATTTCCCAAATTAAACTGTAATTATTCATCCCTTAAGTCAGTTTGATGATAAGCTATGAGCTGGATGGCTAAGGTTCGATTTTCAGCAGGGGCAAAAGATTTTTCTCTTCTGCACAGCATTCAGACCAGCTCTAGGGCCCACCGAGCCTCCTATCCAATGGGTGCCAGGGGGTAAAGTGGCCAGGATGCAAAGCTGACCACTCACCTCCATCTAGTGCCCAAGTCAAGAATGTTTGAGCTATACCTCATTTCCTTATATGTTTTCATGGCTCAGTGACTGACTAATTAAGCACAGGACAGCTTTTCCCTTTTACTATTTTGAATTGTTTCATTTTGGTCCGTTACACTATCAATCACCAATTATCAATAGAACCTCCGTCGAGTGTAACAATATATATTCTTGTCACCATTTTCTCACATTTGCCTTACATGTTTCGGCTCACAAAGAGCCATCATCAGAGGCAACCACAACAAAAACATGGAAACACTTGCACTGCTCAACAATCACAATATACAGTTTTTTGTGGAAGATGTTACACGTATCGGAGCGTAAAACACAACAACATCCAGTACCCCGAGTGCAGGTATCCCATTTGANGGAACCTGAATATTTTACTTGGACGGTTTTAACTTTAATTTTAACATTAACGACCCGCTTTGTGGGTGATATTTTAAATGCAAATGGGATACCCGCACTCGGGGTACTGGATGTTGTTGTGTTTTACGCTCCGATACGTGTAACATCTTCCAACAAAAAACTGTATATTGTGATTGTTGAGCAGTGCAAGTGTTTCCATGTTTTTGTAGTGGTTGCCTCTGATGATGGCTCTTTGTGAGCCGAAACATGTAAGGCAAATGTGAGAAAATGGTGACAAGAATATATATTGTTACACTCGACGGAGGTTCTATTGATAATTGGTTTCCCTTTTACCTTTATCTCAATATTTTAAAGTAATAAACATATGCTTGGTTGATTCTAAAGGGTTCTAACAGTGGTGCATAACACTCAGAATTACTAGGCTTTCAGACTCTGTCCATTGTCTGATATTCTAAAAACTAGAGAACACAACGTTTTGGAAACATGTCCAGCTTCTGAAATGTTGTTTTTTCTAGTTTTAAGAATACTGGACAACGGACAGAGTCTGAAAACCCAGTAATTCTGAATATCCTGGGTCATTCTGTTTATTTGCCTAATTGTGTTTTTGCAGAACTCCAAAACATGCAAAGATATGTATCTTGAATAGTGACACTATATCTTTAACTGCATGTATAGCCAAAATATAATGCTTCATTAACTGACCTATGACAGCAACTGCCAAGCACATACAATGTATTATGCCAAGACTGAACTCACAGTGAACATACAGTACAATAAGCAGATCACTGACCTGAGAATACCTGTGCCTGTTCCAATGTCCAACACAGATGAATAAGATCCCTGCTGAAGAATTCTCCTGGTAATTGCTGCCCGATATGCATCATTCCGAACACTGTCATTAAGCATACGAAAATGCCATCTTTCCACCAGCAAATTGCATGACCCCTGAAAGTTACGTCTTGCAGGAAGAAACCCAGGGTTGCATGCTACAGCACGTCGGAAATAATTACATGCTTCTGTCACATGCCCCCATCTGTAAACCATTCAAATAAGTCATACTGCCCACAGTGCAGTACATGAATTCCAGAGAAACAAGAAGGAAACTGGGTTCATCATAAGATATGAGATTTGAAGTTTTCACTACAGTGATTGTGAAGAATTCTGTCTTCTGGGAAGAGATGTCATGTAATGTGGTAAATGAGAGACAATGATATTCCTCTGAAACATTAGTAAACATCTACCAGACTATAAAATGTCGTGCCTCAGAAGTCTTCAGCTCATGATACATTTAAATAATGTTGCCAGAACTGTGAACAGAAAGAGACTGACTATATGACAAATGCGGTGACTATATCCATCTCTACGTACAGCAAGAACTCCCTTCTCAAATGCAGGCTTCTCTGGAAACACTGTAATAATGCTTACTGTGGCCATAGCTTTCAGTATCATTGGCATGAATGCATACCACTGACTGGTGTATGATACTTCTATATCAGTATTAATCCTCTGACTGCCAAGCCCAACAACAGAACCAAACAGAAATTCCTATCAGAAATGCTGAGGCTGCTTCAGGATAAATGCAGTTGCACAGAAAACACACAATATTTTCACAGATTACCTTCAAATGACTACAGGTGCAGATAACATGCAAGTCTAATCCTTCCTCTGAACATAGCTATATGCCATCTATTGACAGAAACCCTGTACTAAGTGATTATTATCAGTCTGATCTCTTTGGTCATGACCAAGCCAATTTAATTTGTTAGTGGCACACAAAGGATTAAATACTTGATACATAGCCCCCTGCGATGAGCATTGATCTTTACAGCCGATAGTAGCCTCAGTCATCTGTCCTCCTATAAGTGCAACTACCTCTTGTTCATTCTGAAGATTTATCTGGTTTGCATTATACAGAATAACAAATTCAGCATAATTTCTCACAGTTTGCATTCATAAATAGTGAGACATTATTGTTACCAACAGGCCCAACAGCTGCCAACAGGCATTCTCGAAGACAGATTATTCATTTGTTTTATTCATATTGTTTCTATCATTATCGTCGTCATCTCTGTTGCCATTTTCATCACTTCTGTTCTTGTGATTATCTTTGTCATCATTCTCCTCACAAAGGGGGCAAGTGTAATAGTAATTTATTTTTGAGCCATAGTGAGACTATGATACCATGGTATATACCAAAAAGCATACAAGAAGAGCATGAGTGATCCAGAAATCAATTCACTGTCAGCTGCATTTAAAACACTAGGACAAGTTCTTTCAAGTTATTTAAATCTGAACTGCAACTTTAGTACATTTTACTAAGTTAGAAGTAGCATTGCCCCTTTAATTTTACTATGTCCTATTATGTTAGTAAAAGCAAATGGTTTATATTTGTCACAGAGATAATTTATGGAGCCAATCATAGAATACATGATGGGATTGCAAATATCCACATAAACATGCAACCTCAGAACACCAGTGTAAGTCTGGCTCCAGCAATAAAATGTTTTTCAAAATGGAGCAAATATGATTTGGTGAGAAACATTTACAACATTTATACTTTTCAGCTTTCTGGATTTGGTCACACTGAATGTTCATTTTGTTTATTAATTTATTTTATGATATATAAACTACAAAGATTATGGTGATGAAATAAGATATGGAAGGATGATTATGAATTATGAGCAATATTGAAGAAGCAGTCATTGCACATTTTAAAGCATTATCCTGACATCTGTAAAGGCTGCTGAAACCCTAGAATATCTGCCAGAAAAGCCTATCCCTGTTTAGGATTTGGACCTAATACCTCCCAAATACAAGAAATATATTTCAGTGCTGTAGAAAGGATATAAGGAGTGCTATATGATACAGGATAACACGTTGCTGCATGACACTTTATTGTATTTCTGTTTTACAATAAATTGTAACTTCTATTGACTATAATGTGCAGACAGGATTGTACTGGTAATAACTACAGTACCACTGAAGGCAACACAACAGTTTCTTTCAATAATTTCACATTCTTGAAAATTCCTTTTTCTGACTTTACAACCACCAACAAATCCTTAAACCAAAGCTGCACTTTGTGTTCAAGATGCAAAAGGGCATCCCTTGGTACACTGAATGAATACAAATCATGGCCTCTGTTCCGTCTAGGATATCCATCCCCAATTTCAACATTAATTTTGAAAACAGTAAGAGGTACCAAGGAGAGACAAGTTTCTCCATCATTTCTTTTTGGTGTCACTTTATACCAATATATGACAGGGTAACCAAGAAAAACACCCAACAATGTAGGAACACACCAATTCTTGTCAGGGTTCAGATCAAAATACATTTCATTTTCATCCTTCAAGTCTTGGACTGGATCAACAGATGTTTCAAGAACATCTATCTGTGTAACTGAAGTTCCACGCTCCTTCAAACAACCCAACTTGTACCTCAGTCCTTTAGCTTCTTCATCAGCAAGACATAAATTAGCAATTCCTATCTCTGACAAATGAAGAATACTGGTATTATTGGTTCCTCTTTTGTCTTCTGTCTTACATCTTAAATTGATATATGGTTCTGAAACCAGTTTATACTTCATGGCTTCTAAATTACTTCCATTCTCCAACTCACTTGGTTCATTATTATCAGTTTCTATGCAGATAAATTCTGCAATACGTTGACTCACATCTCTTAACATACAGTGAATATCACTTGCTACAGCTGTATCATTTTGCACTATATATGGGGCATCCAACTTTGAGCTAACATCAACAAAAGAGGTGTTGGTATTTGAAGAACATCTAACATAAACATGTCTCAGGTTTGCAACAATAAGTTCCTCTCCAATACTTACAACAAATATACCTGAATGTAAGAGCCTGTTTCTTTTCAAATCAGCTACCAGACTTACCAACTTCATGTGTTCCACTGTTATCTCTTTAACATCCCACAGAAAACCTGGTTTCAGCCCACTGTTTATAGCCTCCAAATTTATGATTAAGTTAAATATTACATGTGGTCTTATTCTGCATTTTCTGTGTGTATGAAAATGGTACTTGAGTGTTCTTTCCCAAACTGAAAAATTAAATTCACTCATGCTGCACTAATAAAATAATGAATCAATGCAATAAAGTGGCTCAAATGATCTGTAGAGCAATACGTACTGAGTTATCTGACCAGTTAAAAAGAAAACAACTGCACTGTATCTGCTTAGCACTCAATCAGCTGCTCTTTCCTAACCTGTAGAGATGAGTTCCAAGGTTGTTGAGCACTTCTTCACTGTTTGGAAAGACTTCTAAAGCTTGTTCATAGCAATTAAAGAGATCTTTGTATCGCTGCTGTTGATCTAATGTTTCTCCCCATGAACCTAATTAAACAAACAAGAGAAGATATGAGATTCTATTATCAGAATTTGCCATATTCTCATTCACCTAGCTTTAACATTTTCCTGGTCTAGAAATTTAAACATACACTCTTTTACCCTGCCACTTCGAAGACTTACACATAAATGGAAGAATAATATTAAAAATGGATCTTAAAACAATAGGACTGAAGGGTGTGGATTAGATTCATCTAGTTCACGATAGGACCAGTGGTGTGCTCTTGTGAGCACTGTAATGAACATTCAAGTTCCATAAAATGCTTGGAATTTCTTTTGTAGCTGAGTAAATATTAGCTTTTCAGGAAACATTCTGCTCCAAGGAGTTAGTTAGCCAACAGCATCATAACACAACACAACACACACACAACAAAACTGTGAAAACATATACATCATTGTACATTGTAGGAGAATGGGCTGCTGTTGATTTTATTTATTTATTTATTTATTCATTCATTTATTTACATGCCATGGATCCTTACATGGCTGGAAGACTTGTTTCTTGCCCTGTAATTGGACCTACTTGAATATAAGAATAAATTAAATTAAATTAAATTAAAATTAAAAAAGAACAGTGGATATAGAAACAGTCAAAGACAACAAGACAAGTTCCATCAATTCTATAGATAAAAATTAATTATACTTAATCCACAACAATTACACATGTTATCCACGACAAATCACAATGAGCAAATCATTAAACAGTTATAAAATACAAAGACAAAACAACTCTGTCCAGTGTGACTATTGAAGTTTTTACTACTTGAAAACTTAACACCCTTACATGTTTCTGTCCCTATAGACCATCATCAGAGGGACATCGTTACTTTTTGGAAACTACTATCACAATGGGTGTTTTGAGTGTTAAAATACATATAAATACAATGTTTGCAATGCACAATATATACAATTCTACATAGTGTAGTGTTAGTGTGATGGATCAGAATGAAAACAAATCAAAGTTATAAAATATATATGTAAAAGCATGCAACATACTAATATGAAACAAGACTACAATAATCAAACATGAAAATATGCTACTAGGCGTCTAGTGTATAACAGACCAAGATTGTTAATTAATACTAAAATTAAAATATTCTTCCAATGAGTAAAATGAATTTAAAAGTAGAAATCATTTTAAAGCAAATCTAAAATGTTTTGTGTCATGAGCTAAGTTCTTTATGCTAGAAAGAAGATTATTAAAAACCTTGATTCCAAAATATGTTCCTCTTTGAAATACTGTTAAATTACATATTGGATAATGAAAATTGTTATCGTGTCTCGTATTAATGCTATGGATCTCAGAGCTTGATTTAAACTGTTCTCTGTTTTAACAACAAATAACAAGAGAGAAAATATGTACCGTGATTGGGGGGGAAAAACTTTCAGTTTCATAAACAATTCCTTGCAAGAGTCTCTACTTCTATAACAAGTAATAATTGTAATTACCCTTTTCTGTAGCCTAAGAATATGAATACTATGGGGAGCATTCCCCAGAAAAGTATACTATAGATCATAACAGAATGAAAATATGAGAACTCATTCTTATTCTTTCCTGTGACATATAAGGTTTAACAGCCCTGATTGCATAATAGGCTGAACCTAATTTAGACATAAGCCAGTCGACATTCATTCATTCATTTATTTATAGTTCCAAAAAAATCCATAGAGGCATCTGCCTCAGATATAGAACAAGTCAATAATACAATATAGCATATAAATATACATACATAATCAGATAGTCATCATCGTCAAAATTTAAATATTCAATACAACAAAACTACTGTACAGCAATACATTCCATATATCAAAATAACATATAAAATTACATATACGATCAAAGACCACCAAGATCCTTAATATAGTAATATAAAATCTATTTTCTTAATATATAATACACCTGTATCATAACAGTAATAGCACCTTTTTCCTGAGTATTTATTCCATAGTCCATTGCATTCTAGCAATAGGCATGTCCTTTTCATGACAACATATTGTCAATAATTAATCCAAGAAATTTGGTACTAGAAGATTTAGCAATCTGACTGTTACCATAGTGAAAATGCATATCCACTGGATAGCTATTCTTAGTAAAAAATTGTATAAAATATGTTTTATCAAAATTTAGTGTCAATAAATTAGCTTTAAACCAATGATTTATGTTTTTTAAATATTTGAGTAATGTTGTTTCCATAAAATAAAGGGCTCGAATTCATGCAAATGTTATCTGTATAACATATGAAAACTGCATTTATTTCTGTTCCTGAAAGTTTACAAGTTATCTATCTTCATGGGGCTTTACATTTGTATTACTATTATAAAGATAAGAAAGTGTTTTGCAGACAAAGTTCAGTAACACACTATAAATCTTATAATTATATGGTGAGTCTGTACATGTTCTACATGAATAATATCAAGGATAAGCAAAAAGAAACGAGGACCATCCGAAAGTTCAACTCAGGACGTTACATGTAGCACTGAGTTGGCATTAGTTCAAATTCTGGACATGTTATGATATCATCTTGATAAAGGCTTGTTCTCAGTGCAAATTCAACATTCCATGTCAGGTAGAGTCAATCAGCAAAGCGTGAGACTATGGGGAGTGAATGTCCACATGAATCATTTCAACATACAAAGCACAGTTATAAGATTAATGTGCTCACTGCAGTATGAGAAGAAAAATGTTTATGTTTCTGTCTTTTTCAATGAATCTCTGGTGGTTCAAATCATCTTGATATACTGGAGGAATGTATAAATACCAAAATCTGAGGATGTAGTGAACTTTCCGATTCCCATAACAAAATTAGGTTGTGATCAGGAGAAATACTTCCTAATTGACAGAATGGGTTTGTGGGTCCTACGAATTGGTTCTCCAGATCACCAGATCTCATTTAAAAAAAAAATCTTCTCAAGTCACTGTGATGATGTCTGTCACACTGCTTGCTGTCAATGATAGGTGAGCTTAATGCGCGCATTAAGAGTCAGAGTATCTGACCATAATAATGTGGCAAGCTGCAACAAATACAGAATGGATTAAAAGACCACGGTTGATTTCCTAGGCAACAACCAATGTTCCTGCAACAATGGCTAGGAACTGGAACACATCCATTGCTATACAACAACTAGCAATTCCTAGGCAGTGAAGCCTAGAAAATTGTTGCCCTAGAAACGAAAATCTGACAGTGGAGTTCCCACCGTTACACACAAGTTGTGTGTAACCTTCAACAAGGTATTCCCTATTGAGTCCGAAGAGTTCAATGTCAGTCAGACACGAGTTCAGTTTGTATTTGACATTAGAAGAGTGGAGTTTGTATTCAGTGTTAGCAGGAAAGAGTTCTTATCCCACTAGAACAGAAGGGTTCCTATCTGACTAGAGCAGAAATGTTGTAACATTGGAGAAGGAACATCTAAGGAACATTATAAGTGGAGAATAACTGTTAAGTGTGAGTGTAAAAGTGACTGTCCAATAAAGGTATTTGTTCAAATCCAAGAACCCACACAATTTCTTGTTGTGTTGCCTAGCAGACACATGACAATACTATTAGAAAAGTATGGTAGAGGTTGAGTACTGATTGACATTGTCCAAGTCAATTACAATGATCACATTAAACTTTATGAACTTAAGTGAAATTTACCTAACTAAATTATATGACTGTCTTCTGCAACAATGTTTTAAACATATCCTGTGTAATAATACTCATATATTAAAGCTGTAAAGATCATTTATACACGGTCCATATTTAGCTCCACTTGCTCTATGCAACAGCAGAAACCACAAAATTCAAAATCCAACAGTTACATAAATATAATGAATAATCTATTGTCCCACAATTGTTTCAAGTACTTGTAAGCTTCTGAACCCATTTTCTCTCAGTGGATTAAACAGGTTTCACTGTCAACTAGAGACAACAGCCACACATTTATGGCCAAAGATAATTAAGTTATGTAAACTTCTTATACAAGCCTACTTCAACTACCATTAAAAGATAAAGCTGTTCCCAGTTAAGCACCACACCAAGAAGATGTTCTGTGGAGTGGAGGTATAGCTCTACCATTCTTGACCTTGGCACTACCTTTACAATATCTGGAGGCAATGAAAGTCACAGAGCTGATTTATAATGATGTCATTATGCATTGTGTAATACAAGGAATGATTATCAGCCACATAGTGCTTATTTATAAATATCATCAAGGGTATATAGCACAGACTAGACAAATGGATGTGTCATGGGAGGGAAACACAAGACGGGGAAGATTCCTGGAAAAAGATGTAAATTGGAAAGCAGAAATGAAGAGAAGTGTTGTGTCTTGTCTCATCACATAACAAGACACAACACTTATCCCTAATACAAGGAACACAAACAAGGATAAAACGTAATCACACACTTACAGGCCAACAAAACACACACTACATGAACACAAGACTAGGAAGAACCCTGAAGATATATATTAGTAGAAAAGACATCTACACACTACTACTACATCCAGACAAAACACAAGAAAACGTTTTACATATGTTTAATTTAATTTAGTTTTAACATTCTAACAATTAATATCTGATCTTAGAGGTGAACACACATTTTTATATATAACGGCATTACATACTACTAAAAAAACAGTATCCCAATATGTGTACACTGGCCAACGTAGGAATACTAGCAGATGAATACAGGTGAATGTAAAAAATTCATACTTGATGATGGCTTAATGAGTCGAAACGATGAATGTATGGTGTGTCCATACTTCCTATTGTGATGATGTAGAATAAAATAAAGAAATTAGAAAAAGCTGTTTTTTTTGTTTTTGTTTTTTTTTTTTGGCTGGGGTAACTGAAGGAATAATGAAATAAACTCAGTATATATGGTATATTGCGAGAATATGAAGAAATTTCCACCAGACTGATTGAGTTATGTTACCACTATCAGGTAGAATAACAGTATGAAGTACAATAATTTATTTTGGATTGACTTCAAGATTTTCGTGAGGCTATGTAACTCCAAAATTTATACAGAAATGAATGAGATGTAAGGCCATTATTCACACCAAACTGAATAGGATACTGAAGGAAGCAATCACGGCCTGTTTCAAGGAATTAACCCTTCATTTGCTTGGAAGGCCTGAGGAAAGTCACAACAAATCTCAGCCAGAATGGCCAGTTCACCATTCAATATTCAAAACTGATACCACTTGAATCCATATAATGTATATCGCTGCTGGAGTAACCTGCTTGACACTTACTATTAATGGATGGTAGATTTAATGATACTTATTCATATATTTAATACTGTATGCAGATAAATTCCAAAATGTATACAAGTTTGCAAGTCACATTTATATGTAACTATATCTCTGTTTTTTCATTATATTTACTAAAACAAAAAACTACTCTAAATCAAGCTGATGAATATGGCATACCTTATTTGTAAAATCTGAAACTGATTGAACAGTCAGAAATGCTCAGCTTTTGGATTTTTTCCATTGTCCGGTATTTCAGAAACTTGAAAATATGTTTCGGAAACTGGACCTGTTTCTGTCTTCAGGTTTCTAAAATACCCAACGATGGAAAAAGGCCACAAACCCAGTACTTCTGAGTGTCATACACCATCATCAGAACCCTTCAGAATCTACTAGGTATCAACAGATTTATAACCTGGATGTCTGGAATAAAATCTGGGTGTACCCATGTGACTTTGCTGTTATCCTAGTTAATAATTATGCTTCTTACACAGTGCTGATGTGAAATGCTGGCTCAGTTCTACTTTCCAAGATGGGCACAGCTTGAGGGCCAGCAGGAAATGTGCAAATGCACGACCAGCATTACCCCTTTCCAAATACGCCTCCGCCTGTTTCCGAGATCTCTTGGCTACTTCTAAGCATGCTTCAGGTTTCATTATCTTCAGAACTTAAAACAGAATAAAGGATATTTTTATTAGAAGTCATTCTCATACATCAACAATATAAGAACTGTAATCCATCTGATAATCAATATTGTAACCTAAGCTACCATAGACATCTTAATAATGTATTTGCCACATCTGGAAAGTGTTATTGATGTGTCTATACGATAATTAACATTAAACGGTTATGTCACTGGAAGTTCTTATCAGTTCTTATCTGATAAGTTGTAATTCCACAATAAAAATGAGTTTCGCAACTTTCGTTGTTACCAAAATGGCAGAGAAAAGGCAACGAGTTTTATCAATTCAGAGTCACGTAGTTTCAGGATACGTTGGTAATAAAAGTGCAACTTTCCCACTACAGGTAAAGATTGCATTTCAATGACAGTATCTGGGTGAAAAATTCTGCCTGTGCTTGTGTATAATTATCGATTTTCAACCACACTTATTATGATCATGTAACAAGTGAGGTTATGTGGTCGAGTATAAAATATCGAGTGCGAACGAAACTATATTGATCTGATTTAACTTATATTCGCGTCAGATTTTTATATATTATATTTATGTACTTTTATGAAGACACTGAAATTTCTGTCAATACCATTTTAATACGTTTCCTTGCGAAATCTTTCAGGTATTGGGATTTGAAGTTGACACGATCAATTCTGTACAATTTTCGAACCACACTGGCTACGGTTACTGGAAGGGTCAGGTTCTGAATGAAAAGGAACTTGGTAAGACCGAAAGTTTCCGGAGGAAAACAAAGAAACTTCATATGAAAAGTGTTGGAAGAAAAATGCATTTGATTTTCATATTTTTAATAGAAAGTTTGTGTGTGCCCATTAATTACGCCGCTTTTATTTCCAATTATGTTTGCATTTTTGCCCCTAGGATAGAAATCCCTCCCCATTTTTCCCTTCAGGATAACTATTCCAAGATGTGTTAAGGTTATGTCGTAGAATAGTTTACTCTGCCAGCCAACCCATTTTCATATCTAATGCTTTTTTTCAGTCTCCATAAATGTTGGCACAGTATGTCCAAACCTGGCATAGTAACAATTAAAACAGTCAAAGCTTGTGAAATGAGGTTATGTGTAAGGATTATTAACTTACAGTTATTAAGTTTGGTATAAAAATTATGATTTGTAGAATTACATTCCAATAGAACTTCGGTTTTCACAGTGAGGCAATAAGTGATTCAACTATATAAACAAATTTCTGTTGAGGTACAACAATGTGAAATATTTCAGTAGTTATTTTGTTTATATTTAGCAGGCATAGGGAATATGAAAGCTATAAAACAGTGAGCCACACAAACCATATACAGTTGTCATTCTCTTATAACAAGGGTCACAAAGGCACAAACGCCATGAAATTTTCCTTTCCCTGACCTTAAGTATTGTGTAACAAATTTTTTTTACAAGAAGTTCCCGACACTTCATAATTTTTTTGAGCCAGCAGTATTGTAATTCAGTTGACACACCTTTCCACAAATCTTGTCATATCTGCTGCACTTTGGCTGCTCAATTTCTGCATATTAATCTGCACAGGATCTTAAGAGCCTAAACTTTATACATGTAATCTGATTATGCTTTATTCCATGATACAGAAGACCTTATGGATGGATTGCATCATAATGGACTAGATTATTATACACACCTACTAACAGGCTACATAGGGTCAGCAAGCTTCTTGAGGTATATTGCTGAAGTGGTGAAACAACTGCGCCAAGTTAACCCTGATCTTGTTTATGGTAAGAATTGATTTATATCTATCAAGTATAAATGGACTATTTGTTTTCAGTTATGCAGTTTTGGAGAAACATGTACTTACATTAGAACAATTCAATATTCTAATTAAAAACTAAGCTTTCTTACTCTGAATGTAGCATCAAAGGTGAGGCTTGCCCTAAGAACTTATATTGTCATGTGTCATCTGCCATGGTGACATGATTACTAAACAGTGGAATGAGAATTGGTACAGAAGTATGAAATACTCAGGGAGGAAGTTTCATTTACATTGAGTCCAGACCTATGCAGCAAAAAACCAAAACCTAACCCCCTGAGACATAGCAAGTCCATTTTAAGTAAAAACAGTTTTATATATGTATACTTCATACAGGGGACTGGCTATCCTAATAGGTTCTTCAGTCTTGCCCATTGGTCTTTCCAGTACCTAAAAACAGATATGACCATGAACTTGCACCTTTCCAAATCCAACATTCATAATCATTCGGGTTTATGTTAAATAACCTTTATGATGATAGCAGTGTCATTAAATAACCTGCCAGTCAATAACCTAGTTTAACAAATCCAAGACATAAAAACTTCATGAACATTTAATATGGAGAAATACTTAATACTACTGATCATGATATTCAATATGATCTGTATGATAGAACTTTGAAAGTGTTGTTATTGTTATTATATGAATTATTTTAAGCAAAATTGAAAATGGCTTGGAAAATGAATGGAATGTTCACTGTAACTTATATTTGTAATATGTACAGTGATATGTGTGTCTACTAGCAGTATTAAAATCAAGTTGTAATGGTTTTGAATTTCAGAATGAACTCTTATTGGTGATGCTTTTTAACCTTTAGTGGCCATGAGTTATACAAATGTGCAACACATGCCTACAGTCCTACTAGCTGAATTCACTATGGTATTTTTTTCAGTACCAGTACCTCAAGAGTTAAAATCCAGCTGCCAGCCCCATACTACCAACAGATTTAAAATCCCCTATATCCAGAAGAAAAATGTTAACACTTTTTTTTTGTGTGTATATGAAAGTGGATAAAAGGTTATATAACATTTTGCAGTATGTGATCCTGTGATGGGAGACAATGGCAGGATGTATGTGCCAAAGGAACTGTTAGGGATATACAAGGACACAATCTTGCCGCTTGCAGATTTTATTACACCTAATCAGTTTGAACTTGAGTAAGTACACTGGTAATGACACATACAGTTGCTCATTTCCATAAATATTAGTGACACATTACTGCTGTTATGGCCATTATTTTGTTTATGAATTCATGATGATTTCAATAGCTCAGACCATATGGTATCAAATTATAGGAACCATCTGTCTGAGCCAGCCTGCTCAATATTGTCAGTGTTGTTATTACAGTAAAATTTTGCTAGTCTCAAATGTACTGAATGGAGAATAGTCCAGATTTATCTATTATCTGGGTTATGCAACAAAAACCACATGAGAACCAAGTGAAAGTAAAGCTATCCCTGTAACAGGCCATGAAGGCCCATAGGGTTGTGAGACGTTGAGGGTCCCACATTATCTAGACAGTCAGCTCAAAGATGGCGGTAAAGTTGTCAGCCTTACACGCTGTCTGCGCTTTACTCCCCAGGAAAATTATTTAATTAATTCCTGGTACTCATTTCTGTTAGAGGCTGAGTTGACCCCAGGGCCATAGTGCAGCCAGAAGGATTAGGTAAATTGAAAAAATCCAATTACCTCATTGGGACTTGAATCTGCAACCTTCCAGCTTGTAGCATAGTGCCTCAACCAACTACGTTACCTAAATAAAATATTAAAAACACTGCAGCAGAGTATCACTAACAAATATTTAATGTCTACACAATGCTGAAGGTTACTTGTTTCCTGTTCACTGAATTTCTGTTACATACCACTATTCAAAATTTAAAACACATTTGTGACCATGAAAATGTTTGAGAGAAAGGTAGACTTAAGTGAGCAATATTAGGGTTTACGAGGCTTGCATTATTGAGGTTTCTCCATATTGCCATAGTAATCTTAATATTTTTTAATTTCACCTAATTATAATCTGGTGGATTTTGTCACCAACATAATCTCCTAATTAATTAACTGCACAGAGCACAGTCTTATGTAAGAAGCAGTCAACAAGCTAGTCAAGAAATACCTTGCCTTTTATGGGATTGAAGGCCAATTAATCTTCACATGAGGCTGCGACTGGCCCATGTTCTGTGTCAGTTGAAACCAGTCCACAAACTCACACAGCAGTTAATCATGTGCAAAATTTGTGAAAGTACTTTATCTCTTGTACACAGTAATTCTTACTGCTAAGTTATCATTTACTGCAAATTGAGAAACAGTTTATGATATACACTGTAATAGCTCAGTCACTAAGTAACTGGCCATAGAACGGAAGGCAGAGGTTAAATCCTTAAATGTAGTAATATAAGATCTAACTACCATGTTCAGAATTGAGTGCAAGTTCCAACCAGCACAGAGAGCAGTCCATTAGGAGTAAAGTGGCCAGGTCTTTATATTAATGATCTCTAACTTTCATGCTATCAAGAATGCCAAAAGTTTTATTTATTCTCTGTGCCTTCATGGCCTGCTGCTTAGGCACTTTTTCTATAGCTCAATTATACATATTTTAAAATCAGGAACTGCTATTGCAGATTGTTAATCGGGAAGCAGATTAAATCTGTAGATGATGCATGGGAAGCTATTGAACATTTACACCAGAAAGGCTGCCGAACTGTAGTGCTTTCATCCACGGATCTGGGAGACGATGAGAATCTTCTAGCACTGGCCAGTAGCAGAATTGGTAATAGTCCTGGTGTTTTGCTTCCATTTATTTAGTTATCTCAAAGGAAACAAAGTTTAAATTGTAATAAAGTAACAGTTGTAACATCATATTCAATTATATTTTAATTAAATATACATTTATTTACACACAGGTATATAAATCCAGCTTGGAGGCAGCTTCATTTCATCATCAGAAATAAGAAACACTCCCTGTACTTTAATCATCCAGAAAACTCTATGACTTGTGGAAAAACTGAGCTGCATATAAAATGAGTTTCATTTCTTGTACAGTTCTTGTTCACAATATTTAGTGCAGACAAATACTTGCCCTGGTGTAGGAGGAGAATGTGTCAGAACAGAGATGAATACAGTACTGGCATACCACCTTGATTATTGATAGAAGAAAATGAACCACGGCTTCAAAATTTTAATTTACTGCTTATGTTTCAGTTCTAATATAGAGTGTCCGGGTGAAAGGTATCGAAAATAAAATCATTATATCTCAGAAAGAATTTATTATACACATTAATGAGTTACACTATTACAAAGGGAAACTATCAAAGTTTTTTCTGCATATGTAACTTTCTCAATAAATTTCAATGTGGGCTCCCTTGCTGGCATGACAGATATCCAGGCTTGAAGCATGTTTGGTGTTACCATAGCCACATCGTCCCTTATGTGGGCTTTCAGATGTTGAAGGTCATTGATCATAACCTGGTAGACAATGTTCTGCACATAACCCCACAAGAAAAATCCACTGGGGTTAAATCTGGCAACCTAGGAGGCCAAGCGATTGGTTCATCTCTGCCGACCCATCTCCTAGCTATCTCTCTGTCCAGGTGATTCCTAACATGGTGGCAGAACTGTGGCGGTGCTTGTGCATTAGCCAGGCATGAAAAAAAAAACTTTCAGAGTTTTCCTTTCCGATAACATAAACTGGATACGTGTATGACAGTTTCTGAGATATACATTTTTTATTTTGGATATCTTTCATCTGGACACCCTGTATATATTTGTTACACAGGAGGCAAGAAAACAGATTTAACCATCCATATTCCAAAGCTACCACATACATTCACTGGAACAGGTGATCTGTTTGCTGCTTTGTTACTTGCATGGATGTGGCATACCAACAACAAACTGAAACCATCACTTGAAAAAATTATTGCCACACTACAGGCTGTTCTCAAGAGAACCCTCCACTATGCCAAAGGTATTACTACATTTTAATCAAATATCCTGACATACTACAAAATAAAATGCCTAACAAGAAAGCTATCTTTACTGCCATGTATATACCTACTTCTATGAATAATTTAAATTAATTTTTTCACTCTGTTTCATTTGAATAACGCTGTTGGACTGTTTCCAGCAAATGAAATGTTTTCTTTATAAATGATTTTCAGTTGCACATCATTCACTTGACAACTCCACACACAGAAGTCTTTGAGAAGCTAACAGTAAAAAAAAAAAATCCTTGCCTTTAACAGAAACTGAAGGCCATTAGTGTTCACAAGAGCCTACCGCTGGGCCATCTCCTGAGCCATATGAATCCACTCCACAATCTCAGCCTATTATCATTCTCTCAATACTAGACTATAATGATTTATAAATTTGTCAAAATAAATATATCAAGTAATTATCACATTAGCCATTTTTGGGGCCGGGATAGCACAGTTGGTATAGCGTCTGGCTACAGGCTGGATGATGGAGGGTTTGGAGTTTTGAGTCCTGGTAGGGTCAAGAATTTTCTCCAAGTCATCCAGACCACTTCTGGGGCACACCCAGCCTCCTATCAAATGGACACTGGGGGCTCTTTCCCCTGGGGTAAAGTGGCTGGGATGTGATGCTGACAATGCATTTCCAATTAATGCTGAGGTCAAGAAAACGTGGATCTATACATACAATTTCCCATATGCTTTCATAGCACAGTACTTAGTTATGTACAAGGAACACTTTACCTTACCTTAGCCATTTTTAGCAGCAGTCAGATGTTTTGTGAGTGCATATTATTGTACAGAATTTCAGTATTCTACATTAGCCCAATCAGTAAAGGGACTGGCTAACCAGAATCTGCTTCCCTTTAGGGGTATAATTCTTCTCTTTGCCTCATCGAGATTTAACTGTGATCAGTCCAGTCTTCTCTCTGCTGAGTAATGGGGCTCTTTCGCTGTGGATACTGGTCCTCTATAAGCCTCCATGTCTAAGTGTGGTGTTTAGGCACTTTACCTGAATGGTGCCAGTGTTACATCAACCTTGAGGTCTCATTGAAAAAGGTGATTAAAAAAAGCACAATGACTTCCAATCATATAAGCTAGTTCCATAAAAAAAGTGTACCTTTGTTAAATGGTAAATAGGGACACAGCAAACACTACCAGGGTTGTAAGATTTGAGGCTTTCACAGCGGTGACTATGTAGAAAGCAGTCTTCTGGGATTTGGCACCGTGTATATGTGGTGTTAACCGACGCTTCGGAGGAACGTTCCTCTGAAACGTCAGTTAACACCACATATACACGGTGCCAAATCCCAGAAGACTGCTTTGTTCACCACCAGGGTTATTCAAGGAAAACAGGAATTGCTGGCAGGCATGAGATGACAGTTTGCCCTGTAAAGTAACATTGAATATTTATGCCTGCGCAGAAAGAAGTAAATCCAGTGACCCAGGGTTTGCTCTAATGGAATTACAACTCATCCAGAGTAAGGCTGATATTGAGAACCCACAGATCACCATAGAAGCAGAAGAGCGCTAAGTGTGCAACTGGATGCGAGCCCACCTACCCATGTAAGCCGACTAAGCCTTCACTGAAGGTTTGCTCACACCAGACGAAGTCTTCCAATGTGTTACTCACATCATTCCATTGGTGTTAACAGTAACAGTATGAATTAACCTTTAATGAACATACACCAAACACTGATTGTACTGTTTCAGAAAATTATTATAATAGTGGGTACCCCAATTATGAATTGTAATATCATGTACACTTCTGTTCTAACTTGTACAGCATCATATGACACAACCAATCCATTTTCGTTTAGTTAAAACCTTTTATACTATAAGTCCAGAAAAATGCTCATTCAAGAGGTCAGGCCCCAACAGAAGAGCAAGAGTTTGTTATTTGACTGGCCTAGAATTCCCTATTGTAAATATCATGAAAAAGATTTTGTACATATGTAATCATAAACATTTATTAACATAAACAGATGTAATAATGCAGCAATTAAAAATAAATATGATTATAAATTTCCCATAACATGTTTGAGTTTCTATTTCACTTGGCAAAGGACTACATATGTAAAGAAATCATTTTATCACAATTACATTCAACAAAGTGTTGTAAGTCCATGATTTATTTGATCCGTCTTGCAGTGCATACACTCATTTATCTCCTTCTCTCCCTCGCACTACATGTTTCGGTATAATAATGCCATCTTCAGGTGCTTACTTATCCACTTACTTACTTATCGCTACGACGTAGCGATGTGGTATCCTGAACAATTTTAATATTTTTAACGTTTGACAATGTATATAATAGATACATATTTTAGTTATTTTAATGTGTGAACATGGCATGCAATGAACTGGTTTGACGTGGATAAGTAAGCACCTGAAGATGGCATTATTATGCCGAAACATGTAGTGCGAGGGAGAGAAGGAGATAAATGAGTGTATGCACTGCAAGACGGATCAAATAAATCATGGACTTAAATCAGTGCAACAGGACGCTAAAATATAACAAAAGTGTTGTAAGATGAAAGATTTCTTGATGTTCCACATTGCCCATTTAGTGTAAGAAAAGCCATTCCTCAGGAGACCTCTGACTGATATACACTCAACTCTCGATTATCCGGGGGTGGATAAACCGGTTTGCGGCTTAACCGGGGCTTTTTTCAGGCTTATATGTTGTTTAATATTCATTCACTTTTGTTTCACATGGTGAGTTTAACACTATTTTCGCACTAGTGTGAACCGAGCTCTGCATTTTTTAGTCCTGTTATGCTAACACAATGTTCTAGGGTAGGGGTGAAAGAATGCAAGGATTTGTGGAAAGTTTCACAGACAGATACACCGTCCCTGTTAGTCTCTTTGTATCGGTCTTCAAGTGCATTAGCAAAATGTCAGGGTGTAAAAGGAAGGGTGTTGTGTTAAGTATTCAACAGAAACTTGAAATTATCAATCAGTTGGAAAAAATAGGTGTAGTTAAACAATTAGCAATGCAATACGGTATTGGAGAACAAACTGTTCGCGATTTGAAAAAACAAAAGAATCAATGAATTTCCTTTGCTGTGTCTTCTAATTCAAGCGGAATGAAGAAGAGAAAAACANTTTTTTCGAAGCACTTGAACTAGAAGGGAGTTTTGACGCTTCTTCCGGTTGGCTAACACGTTTCAAGCAGCGTCATGGAATACGAGAAATCAGTATTCAAGGTGAGAAATTGTCAGGGGACTTGTCAGCATCAGATCAATTTTGCACCAATTTTGATAGTTTTGTGAAAAGTGAAAATCTGCTGCCAGAACAAATCTATAATGCCGATGAAACGGGTCTTTATTGGAAATGCTTGCCAACCAGAACTTTGGCATTTCAAAACGAAAGACAGACTCCAGGTCCCAAATCCAGTAAGGAGAGATTGACAGCCTTGTGCTGTTCTAATGCATCAGGAACACAGAAACTAAAACTAGTACTTATCGGCAAAGCGAAAAGACCACACTCTTTTAAAGGAACAGTAGCTTCAAGTCTGCCTATCCATTATTTTAACCAGAAAGTAGCTTGGATGAATAGAGCGATATTTAAAGAATGGTTTGATTTTAAATTCGTGCCTCAAGTTCGTGACCATCTAAAATCCCAAGGCCTACCTGAGAAAGCTGTGCTCCTCATTGACAATGCGCCCTCACATCCTAACGAAAGTCTCCTGAGGTCAGATGATGGAAATATTTTCCTCCTAATGTTACCGCACTTATCCAACCAATGGATCAAGGAGTTATCTCAAGTATGAAGAGAATCTACAGATCAAATTTGCTACAAAAGTACATCGATGGAGGCAATGATCTGACGTGTTTGTGGAAGTCTTTTTCAATGTTAGATGCCATATATGAGATTTCAACAGCGTGGGATACAGTAAAGCCATCTGTATTGAAAAATTCATGGAAGCAACTGATGCCTTTCATCACTAATGAAAATGATGAAATGCATGGATTCACTGGATTAAGTGAAAATGAGATAGCCATAGAATTGACAAAATTGGCTAACCAAGTTCATGGTGGTGAAGAAGTCAATGAGAAAAATATAAGAGAGTGGTTTGACTGTGACTTGTGTGAGCCGGGCTTCGAAATGTTAAGCAGTGACGAAATCGTAAGTTTGGTGGGGGTGCAGCCCAAAGAGCGGGAAGAAAGTGAGAATGAGGAAGAGGTGGACAGTACTGCGAGTAAGAAAATATCACATGGTGCTGCTCTTAATCATTTGGAATCCTTACTAGACTATCTTGAGAGCGAAGAGAACAGTTTATTAAGTGACAAGCTAATATTACGTAGGCTTTGTACGGATATCCGTAAAAAGGAAAATGCCATGAAAAAGCAAATCACAATATTAAATATTTTTAAGTGTTAAGTGTGAATATTCGTAAAAAGTGTTGGATGTTGTTGAACACTGTGATTGAAATAACTAATTCATACTTCAGTGTAATGTAAAAGTATTAAATAGGCCATGAGATGACATAAACATGAGGTTGAATAAATTTAAATACAGGTAGGCCTATAGTATTATGAAGATACAGTACTGCAGTACTACTTTTAATAAAATTTGTCTTAACCGGGTTTTCGATTAATCGTGATTTCCATCCTCACCATTATCCCGGATAATCGAGAGTTGAGTGCATATCAATTATGACAATGAGTACAGGCATTACTGTCTGGAACTATAAACATTAAGATCTTAAGTATATCACTAAAGATACATTTTCAAAAAGCACTCTATACATGGCATGCATCCTTGTGTCTCTGAAAATAATATACATCCTGATTTTCTAAGCAAATATCTTACAAAACGGCTGTGTTGTCAATAAATGTATTTGCCTCCTCCCCAGGTGTAGTTCTTAGTCATATAAACTTAGTTGCAATAAAATAACATGAATTCCATATAAATCTTAATTAGCATAATGTCACGTGACTTGGTGTGACTATAGGTGCAGTCTGGATTGGTAATTGGATTTACTGGATGCTTTAACACACAAGTCATGACTGCACCTTACAAGTCACTGTCTCACAAAGACTACTGTACTCAGTCACAGTCTTTGCTGCACTGCTTGGTAACATCTACCAACAGTCAATGTTCCTCTGCTCCCAGGCCCACGTCCTCGCCATCTCTTACCAGCCTGCTACTCTTCTGCCATCTCAAGACTCATAAGTCAAAGTCATATTGCAACTGACAGTCAGTCAGTATGTCTTGGTGTCGAGCCCCATTTGGGACTCATAACCAGATATTTATTACTGTTTGACAGTTATGGTCTTGATTTTGTGGGATACCCTCTCTGACGAGAGAATGGGTCTGTCTTTTGTATATGCTGCTGGCCCTCTCACCAGTGTAGTCCTTCTCGGGGTCCAAGTCCCTTGGGACTTGTGACCATATTTTACTCTCATTTCTGAGACTTCCCTTTTCGTCGCTTCCTATGACTTACAGGTCACAGTGGTGGTATTTGACCCCGCCTCCACATGGGTTAGACTCTCGTAATGACAGCTGGTCCTCATAATATAGTCTCGGCATGGATCGCACAGAAAACACTGCTTCCAATAGTTAAGCCACTGTTGCATGTTACACCACCGTTACTTGGCAATGGTTTCTTTGCCTCCACAGTTCTTGTGTTCATCAAATGTGCCACAATAATATATCACAAAGCAAATCATGTTGTTAACTGAAAAGACTGAAGAAAAAAAACTGCAAGATGATCACCTGTTCATTCCATTTTTTTTCCCCTCCCTGTGGCGCTACAGCCCCATTTTGGGCCTAGGCCTACCTCCATGAAACTCTCCGTTTCACTTCGGTTTACTAGATCTTACACATACGGTACGACTCCTTGGGCAAACGATGAGCTCGTCGCAAGGCCTCTACCTGTAGACAAACACAGAAAAACGCACACAAACATCGATGCCCTGAGTGGGATTCGAACCCACGATCCCGGCTTCTGAGCGAGCGAAGACAGTGCATGCCTTAGACCGCTCGGCTACCGTGACCGGCGTTCATTCCAGTTACAAAAATTAAAACTATGTTGAAAGTTCCTGGTATCTTCCACTCTTCAGTTTATAATGCCACAGCACCTTTATAAATGTTCCAGTCATTTGTTTCCATATATTTAATTCCAGTTCTTCAATATCTTCCATTATATTTGCCAAAATTTAATTCCTTATATGTACAACATGCTTCCTGGTAAAAAATTTCCCTCTCCTAGACATTTCCTGCTGATGCTAATGATGGTTAACTACTATATGTAAAATAAAATCTCATTTTATAAAGAAATATTATAAACTGTATTTCACTGTTAATTAACAAAATACAGAACAACAGGACAAATTAATTTTTGAAAGATAGATCATGTTACAGAGTTACATTCGGAAACAATGGTTTTGAGAACTTAACCAGACAGAACAAATTGAAGATTTTCTTTAATCTTAGCAATAGAAACACATTCATGAAGAAATTCTGCATTTTAAAGTTAACAAAATGCAACAATAATAGTTCAGCATATATATATATATATATATATATCACCATTCTAGAGCAGGATCTGAATAACAGAGTTTTCATAGGTATTAATGGTTATTGCCATGACAAACAGGGACTTAGATGTCTGTATAATCCTATGCAGGTAGCATGCTTGTCAATAGCAACTGTCAACAGGTAAAAAGAGTTCACCGATCAGAAACTCATACTGAAGACTTAAAATAAATTATCAAGCTAAAAAAATGTTAAAGCTTGAAACCAAACTCGTATCACTTAAGCGAGATTTTAAGTTCTCACAGCAGTGATTATGAGTATTACTGTCTTCTGGGATATGGCTCATGGTGGACAGATAATTCCCAGCGTTGGTAACAGTTTACTGCACTACGAAGTGTCACATCCCAGAAGACAGTACACTTTCTTATCACAGAACTTTAAAATAAAATACACATTTCAGCACCAAAATACAAACTAAATATAACGAAGAATATGTAAAACATTTCACTGTTAAAAAATACATGTGACTGTGAAGAGTACACATACACA